GAAGAGACTGACAAAAACACACATGTGATCCTGATTAGATCGAATAGTTTCGTCGAACGGAAGACAGTCGGATATTCTTTGAACGGATATTGATGACAGTCACTCATTCACAGTCACACAGGATACAGATTTCGAAATAAAAATAAACAATATACAGTAAGATCTTGTTAGTGAGCCGAAGCTATCTAACATGCTAATCAAATCTTATAAAAATGTGGTTTCCCTTGTCTAATGGGGCATTTTGCGTCCAGAACCAAGAGTTGGAACTAGGGCGGATCAAAAACTCGTGCGCCGCCGTATTGGAGCCGTATTGGAACCGTATTAGATCAAAATAGGAACCTTATTCGAAACGTATTGGAACCGTATTGGAACTGTATTAGATCAAGATAGGAACTTGCGACCTTTCGCTTACCGGGCAACTGTGCTAGCCATTACATCACAACGCACCTCATCTCCCTTACTCCAGAGGGAGTTAACTCAGGAAAGAAATTGAAATCGTGATATCATTCCCGAAGGAGAAATCCAATTGCTCGGATATAAACAAAATTTTGAATTGTAATTTCAAATTGTATTCTCGATTTGCTGCTATAACTATGATTTCCAAGGCCCCTCCACCCCCACACCGGATTACCGCAAAGTTCACTGTTGACGCAAGAATCTCGTGCAACGAAAATACAAATGTTGTGTGAGGGTGGATTGCAGAAATGAAAAGGAAATCCCTACAAAAAGTCCATTTTTGGAAAAATTAAGAAAAAAAATCGGTTTAGAACATTTGAGATTAGCAAAAAGTTAATCCCCACCCTCGTCAAGGTAAACAATGAAGAGATAATCTGGGAAAGGAATGGTACAGGGTATTTACGAAGATAAAACATAAAAGATGTGACCGGATACGGTAGATGAGTAAGCAGTACGTGAAGATTTAAAATGGCAATGTATGAAAGGGCAAGGGACAAACAAATCCGGTGGTACAGAGGGTAAAATGAACGATCGAGGCGAGTAAGTGATGCAAAAGTTTTGAAATACTGTCAAAATTTAGAATATATACAGAAATATGCAGAAGAAATGCAACAAAAAATATGCTGAATATATACAGAAATTTGCCGAAACCATTTTCGTAAGCGGAAAGCGGGGGTTATTTCGGACTGAAAAGGGGATACGGTAGGAAATTGGACGGTGAGATGGTGAGGATAAAACACAAAATGTTCGAGCAGACGAAAGAAAGAAGGCAATTTGTAAGAACAACCAGGAATAGAAATACTTTGGCGCAAAGTTTAGATTAACACGTAGATGTTTGAGGGAAAGAGAAAAGCTAAGATATCGGGTTACTGTGATCAACAAGAACACGGGATTGGAGTTGGGGATCATTCTTACGTAGAGAAATCTAAATAACAACTTTTTAGTGGACTTTTAATGCTTTTTGAACTTTTTTAGTACTAATAGAGCACGAGAAAGGTGCTGATCCTGGCAGTTCTAAAGAAAACTTTCATCCGGAAGCAAAGGGAACAGAACAAGCGCTGGATTGAATTTAATGATAGATTGAATTGACAATCACAATCATGATTGAATGGCAAGCTGGATTAGATGACTTAAATGTTTCAAAACCAGCTTGAAATTCTATGAAAAACTCAGAACATACGTCTGTGTATGTGTGGAGGCTTTTGAAGGGGATTCCTTTCATTGAACGGATCTCCCTCCCCTCCTTTCCCCTTCTTCCCCCTTCTTCCCCCTCCTTTCCCCTCCTTTCCCCTCCTTTCCCCTTCTCTTCCCTTCCCTCCCCCACCCACTCCCCCAATTTTCTCCTTTTTTCTCTTGTTCACCAAAATTTGTGACGCAAACCACAGAATGTCCAGAGAACCACTGAGAAATCTCACCTTTTGACCCAAGAACAAGGAAAACATCGGTGAAGGGGAGGCTAGGGAGGGCACGGTTGGATGGATAAAGGAGATGAATAAATGAAGGGAGACAGAACAAAATACTAAAGAGTAGTAGAAGATTGAGGACAAGAGGAGCCAGGGTACAACATCAGCAAAGTTCGAATTGTTTTGACAAGAAACGAGAACGGTGGAGTAAGTAACTGCTAGGGCTTGTTGAGGACTTGGACTTGTTGGACTTGGACTTGGGCTACTTGGATTTGGACTATTTGGACTTGGACTACTTGGACTTGGACTTGGAGCAGGGCTTGTTTGAGTAAGACCAAGATGAGATAGTTTTCGGTTGGGTAAATGAGTCAGCAACAATTCATCCAGATTCATGATGCAGACCAAATCTCATTGTTCTATATCTTTTGCAACGAACATTCATTGGTGGAAAGATCTCAAAAAGGCCATTTCCTTTTTAAAAGCTCAAACCATTCAGTCAATACATTTCCCATTTTCCCTTTTAATTCATTCGACTTTACGACATACTTGTCTATCATTTTTCATTGAAAACATCGAAAAGGAAAGCCTTCCCTTTTATATTCGATATATTCTATATCCGTCCTATATCGAGGCTCCTTATTTTGACATTTTTCTCGTCAATTCATTATATTTTTTTTGGTCTATTAGTGGTGATGACATGTTACGAAAAACAAATAGGGAAATCCGATTAGAAATAAAGGGGAGAAGATTGAGAAATAGGTAGACTTGTTTTGGAATGAACATTCTGATATCACTCTGCGGAAGAGTTTCCATTTTGAGATCAGAAAGAAGGAAATGTAAGGAAAAGCTCTGCAAAGAGTTTGTTTTTATATAGAATTTTTGAGTTTCTTTTATTCACAGCTTATTTGCTGTGAATAAAGAGGCTTTATTTGGTACTCCTTGGTTGGAAAAAGAAGTTATGTCATGAACAGGAATCAGTATAGCCAAAGACTTTCAGAAATATCATTTGCCTTTGGTTCTACGAAAATTTTTTGGTTAGAAATGGTATTAAGAGTCTGGTTGATGCATTTTTACTATTAGAAATGGTAGTAACAGTCTAATTGATGCATATAAAAGCCTGAAAAAAGTACCTCGAGCCTTAAAATTCGAAATTTGACTATGAGTTTACGGATTTACTGACAAATAAGTACTAATGTACGCATTTTTTCGCTTCTACCCAGCTAATCCACAGCTCAACTCCACTGTTTGCATCTTGTTGTGTTCCAAATTTTACTTCCATTTCTTCCTCATTTTCGCTTTTTACCTACGTCTTTCCCCATATTTAGCTGCCTCCCAATCTTTTCTGATTTCCTGTCATCTCATCCCAAAAAAAGCCGATTTTCAGGAACTCTTAACAAAAATGTAAAGGAAATGAAAAGAACAATGTGGGGGAGAAAAGAACACGGAATTCCCGAAATACATGAAAACTTTCGTGCAAGCGATGACTTTTGTCTGATAGACTCTTGTCTGATCGAGTACCAGGAATTTCCAAAAATAACAGAATACTATTTGGGTGGAAAATATGGAGAACAATTTGCAAAACATAGAGTTTTCTCGGCCCGAATAGATCATATGCTACTCAGACTACAAGATTTTTCGAGGAGATTCGTTGAGTCGAGTACTCAATTTGAGTCCATTTCCGTTTCTCGACCCGCTTTGGCCTTTGCAAAATGGGGAATTTGTGCATACATGTATACATCAAAACCTTTATGAAAAGAAAAACACAAGTTTGAAAAAGGATTAAAAGGTCAAAGCTTTGAATAAAAGGCTATCCGAGCGAAGAATTATTAAACAACATTAATCTTTAATGATCCATTAATCAAAGTGATCATTAAAGATGATTTGTCTCTTTAAATGGCCTTAAATAATTCATAGAACAAGTGTTATACGTAAAGAAGATTGAGGGGCGAAAGGACAAAAGATAAAATTGGAATTCTATTCACTCTCGAGACAAAATACTCAAAACATGGCAATCGAGAAGGAAAAGAAAAGGGAATGGATAAATGTGGACATGAAATGTACGAAAGATCTGTTGATACTCGATGAAAAGATAAAGAAGGAAAAGAAGAGAAAGACAAAAGGAGGATTGCGTCGGGGAATTCGATTTACTAAAAATAAAGAGATAAGTAAAGAAGATTTATTGAAATGAGTCAAGAATGGATAATTTTAGAGACACGAGGGGAAGTGATCGAGGAATTGAACACAAGACAAGACAAGACAAGAGAAGAGAAGACAAGACAAAAGGGAAAGACAAGACAAGAGAAGACAAGACAAGACAGGACAGGACAAGACAAGAGAAGACAAGACAAGACAGGACAGGACAAGACAGGACAAAGATCTAACAGAGATCCATCAAGATAAACTTCTAAAGATCGAAATTTAGGTTCATTTTCGAATTTGCTTTTGGAATTGCATGAAATTTAGGATGCTTTTGGGTTCACTGAGGTAAGGGTTCACTGAGGTCACTGAGGTACTCACAGGCTCTGATGTACTAAACTTTCAATATTCCTGCTTTTTATGGCTTAAGAATGAACAGAATTGGGCATAAGAGTTATTTTTCAAAAGTAAAACATGTTCCATGAAAAGAAAACACCAACACTTCAGGTAAGTGATTTGAAAGTTGAAGATTTTGACGGAATTGTTGACCAAATCGTACTGAATACACTTGCCACTCAAACCGAATAGGGAAATGATGTGTTCTCTTTTTCCTTCAGTCATCCCATCATCCTCTTATCGAAGAGTCCATTTTTGACCAAACATGACGAATGTCCGGGGATTTCCAGTTGAATACCCATTGAATTCCTTCCTTTTTTCCACATTTTGCATCAAAACGAGAATCCGGGGTGAGGGTGGATGGGTATTTTTAAAGGAAAAGAGTTTCCCAAAAAAGAAACACCCAATTTAGACTTGAAAAAAGCATTCAGTCGACCCAAGAATTCTATTTTCAATCGGTTTACGGTGCTCTATTTTGGTTTTTTTAGGATTTTGTTGAGGATGGCTCTCGAAAAGGCCAGCTAAATTTGGAATTTAATGCTTTGTTTTTTCAGTTGATAAAATAAATACTTTATTTACACTTTTTATATCGAAATCTTTGATCAATCAACACGATATCGTGAGCACGCAACCATTTCTCGCCAATTTCCCATTTTGTAGATGGATACTTCTTTGGGATAATTGATTGAGGACATCGCAGCGGTAAACATCCGAACAAAAATTGAGAGTGATGCTGCAAATCGAGATCAATTGGAAAATGTTGTTGGAGATTTATTTACGCTTCAAAGTCAAACAACTGACTATGAACAGGGATTCAAACAATAATTTACCGGACCAGGCCAGCCAGGATTTTAAGATCCGATCCAGGCTAGTTTCAGACCTGGATCGGCCAGATCCAGGGCTGGTCTGAATTCTATTGTATCAGGTTGACCGGAAAGTCTTGTCCGCTTCTTTTCAAGGTTATTTTTTGAAATGAACCAGCCTAATGGCGGGTTTTTCTGGCTGGGTTTTTTGGGGCTAACGCTTGATCTCTTGAGGCAACTCGATCTCTTGAGCAAGAACCAATCGATAGATGGTTTGTTTTATCAGAAAGTCCTATTATTTATTTACAAATTGTCTTTTAAGGAAGCTTTCAAGAAAGTTCAAATATTCGGAAAAGCCGTCACGTTAATTAATTTTTTTAAAGATGTGAAGTCGAGCAATCAAAAACGATGAAACTCAAAGTTCCGATTTGAGCACCTTTTGTCAAAGAAACCCATTTCCATATCAAAAGACAAAAGATAGAGTACAAAAAGTTAGGCAGATAAACAAATTGTCAGAGAAATTGATTCAACCGATTTCATTCTATGTCCATTGTAAGAATTTTAGGAAAAACAAGAATTCCTGTTCGAATTTGCTTCAAAGTGGACTCAAATTTGCCTAAAAATGAGCTAAATGCTAAATCGTTAAACTTTTTTAAAGCAAACCATACGTTAATCGGTTAATTATCTACTATATATAAAAGATAACACTCCGTCCGTCACACTCTGGATCTCGGCTCCACGCGAACCGATTTCGACAAACTTTTTTTCTGATCGATAGGGAATTAAAAATGAATAGGTGCATACGTTTTGGCCAAACAAGTTTTCTAATAAAAACCCATAAAAAATCAGAAAAACCACTTAGCCACGCCCTTTTTTGCCTTCGGTGAGGCGTGGCCGAGGTGGTTAGCGTCCCATCTACAAAACGACTGCCCCAAGGGGGTAACGGGTTCGATTCCCGTCCGTTTCAAACTTTTTTACTTGAAATGTTTTCAGGCATGGAGTTGAAATATGCAAATTTGAGTCGCCTCGAGAGATCAAACTATACGTTAGCCCCAAAAAACCCAGCCAGAAAAACCCGCCATTAAGCTGGTTCATTTATATACGAAAATTTCAAAAAGGCGGACAAGACTTTCCGGCCAAACCAATAGGATTAGATCTGGCTTAGGCACGTGCTAGATTGAGTCCAGATCAGTCCAAGTCATTCATAAACATAAATACGACGAACCTAACATCAGAGCTTGGATGAAGTGCCCATGCATAGATCAAACGAGCAATCGCTGTTGAAGTGACACGACAAGAAGTGAGATCAAGAGTCTCCAATCGACAGCCCTTTTCGAGATTTCTGAAAAATCTACTTTATAGCTTTTCTTTATAGATTTTCACTTTTACATTCAAAAAGAAACCTAGTCAATTGTGCCAGAGTGGCATCAGTGATATTATGCGGTCCACTCTTTGCATCATTCCATATCCGAAGTGATTGAAGTTGATGGACAATTGGAAAGATTAATCGATCTGAAAGGCAACCATTCCATAAAACAAATCAAAAGAAACAAAACAAATTTACCCGATAAATAGACATTTGGACTGCACTCTTCAAATCCGATATCGGTGAGAGTTTCCGCATTGCAAATGATTAACTCTTCTAACTGAAAAAGGGCATTGAGTCTTTCAAAAGGCTTTTAACTTAAAAAAAACCAACCAAAGATATACTTTCCACGGAGAATTTACTCCAAATGAAATAGATCTGTTGTGGTCGCAAATGGAGATTACAAAGACTTCTCAAGACGGGAGTTGCCTCAATTGGGATCAGACCGCGAACAAAAAGGGATAAAGTAGAAAGATGGCGAAGAAGAATTGCTAATCTCTGAAAGTAAAATAGTTAGCAAGGATTGAGTCTAGCGTTCAATTCGTGAAATTGGTATTCTTTGCGGATGAATTGCTGATGAATCGATGAAAAATCACCTGCAGATTCGGCATCGGATATCTCGTTGAAGTTTTTCGAGAATCGAGTGGATAGATCACAATCTCGCCCTCATCAAAAAGGATCCGGATCTGAAATTGCAAGTCCACATATACTTCCTCATTTTACCTGATCTTTGCCGACTTTCGGCAACTCATCCACATGCTTTTCGATGATTTTTCTCCATCTTTTGCACACTCCTTCACAAGCAACCAAACTCGATCCTTCTAGATATGAGAAAACTTCCAGAAGCACTTTAGCATTGAGTTTCTAAAAGGGATGCTTTTTAAGGATATTTATATTTACATTTATATTTATATTTATGATTATGACTATAATTTATAATAAGGCAATGATGTTTCCTCTTTTTTCAGACCTGTATTGGTGGTGGAGGCAATTTGAGTGATCTGCTTCGACGAGCCGCCAATCTCGCCTCAATGTTATCCTGTTTCGGCTTCTCGAAGAGTCTCAAATAAAATAGTTAGATTAGTTTCGTTTGTTGAACTACATTTTTAGCTTTTTGTTCAGTTCAAAACTTTTCTCCTCACCTGTTCAAAAAGGGGAAACATGTTTGAAAGAGAACCAGTGTTAATGCTAACAGTTTCTCGAAGAGATTTGACCAAAATTTGCTGAAATTGCTGAAACGTTAGATTTTGAACTTTGTCAACTACATAACTGAAAAATAACCAAATTTGAGCTCATTTCTTATCTGCAAATGACTAGTGCCGGAAATTAGTGAAATGTTTTGTCGTTGTCCAAAATTGTCCAAAACAAATCAATGATTAAGAAAAAAAAAAGAAGCTGAGAAAACTTTGAGAGTAAACCTTTTCTGATGAATTTCCAATTTTTCCGGTGGAATGTCGAGATCACAAATGGAGAGCCGACCACTGCCATACGCCTGGAAAAAAGGGGAAATTGAGATGATTGAAATGAAAGGAAAAAGAAAATGGATGAATGTAATGAGCTTTGGGAAGAGATTTTGATTGGAATTTTTTTCTGAAATTCTCGAATTTTTGATGAGCTTGAGACAAAATTGGAAATCGGAGCTCCCGTTAGACTGGAGAGCGATCAAATGGGGCAATTAAGCTCTTTGAACGTTTCAAGTGAGTTCAATTTTTTATTTTACATAAAGTATTTAGAAATTGAATGTTATAAGATGTTTATACATATTTTTACTAGATGAATAAGATGAAACGAACCTTTAAATTTCCACCAACAACCCGTTTTCCTCGACCACCGTGTGCGGCTACTGTTACAGAGATCATTCCTGGAAAGAGATCAAAAAGAGATCAAATTCAAATGTTTGAGAACCAATTTCACTTGAACTATAGAAACTTTATGTAAAAATACACAAAGAAATAATAGGGGAAGTTTTTAAGTACTTGAAACCAGTAGATTCCCAGTTTCCGACTGAAAGTTTCCCAGAAAACTGACCATGACAAAACGTTTCAACATATCCTAACTCAAAGCTCTTAAGATCTATAAAAATGAGATCTTAAAAGCCATGAAACACTTCTTAAAAGAAAAAAAGGATTGAGAAAAGAGTGAGGATCGATTGGATCTTTCTTTCTTTTTGGACCTTTCATGGGACTCCGATGAAAAGAGTGAAGAATTTGAGGAGAACACAGAGATTCAATCCATTCTCTTTTCTCTTTGTTGAGCAAGAGCTCTTCTTTGAAAATCCCTTTGAATTGGATAGGCAAAGAGAAATTCGAGCTCTCTTTCACATTAGGATTCATAAACTTTACGTAGCAAATATTATGCAAGCTTGCAAGTTGAAAAGTCTGGAAAGCATAATATGAGGCTAGTGGTCAAAAGTATTGCAAAGCAACTCTTCTTTCAATTCACTCTATTTCCAACTCTAATTTCGAAGACTAAATCTAGATTCTCAAAGGTAAAAGAATGTTGAAGAAAGGGAAATTTCATGGAATCTTGTTGCGGTGAAATCTGCCGTTGTTGGACTTTGGGATGAGAAAAGGAAAAGAAAGGGATGTTCAAGTGATCGCAAATTGAGTTCCCCCGTTGCTCATTCAAGTGGGGAACTCATCTGCGAACGAGAATCAAAGCCACTTTTCAGCTTTTGTATAGTTACCTTTCAAAAGGATTTTTGATTGTCATCTGTTTGTTTATCGATAGTTTCAAGATTTATTCTTGTGAACTGTTCAAAGATTGAACAGATTGAAATTTTCAAACATTTCATTCCCCGCCTTCTGTTTTTGTCGTGACCAGATGAATTGACCCAAAATCGATGAATGATTCAATCGATCAAAGGTCAATGATTCTTCAAGAGATATCAAGAGTCTAAATGCTACGCTGAAGGTATCTTGGATCTTACTTTCTCACCATGCACTTAATCGTAAACATTAAACTTTCGATATTATCGATACAAACGGCAAGCTCATGTTTGACCATTCAGATCTCGGTTTCTAGAAAAGCTATCAATCTGCAAATTGTTTCATTGAAAAGCTAAGAATGTCAGCTTTTGATTGCTATCTCACACATAACAAACTCTCATAGGTGGGTGCCTTAAAAAGCTTTTCAATGCTTATCGATACTTAAATATCAATAAGCTTCTCCAGCCATCCGTTACTTGCGTGAAAATATTCGAATCCCATTAAATTTGCCATTTCTAATGCTTTCTCGGAAAGTAGAGGCCCATCAACACATTCGTTTTAACTCCGCATTTCTTTCAGTCATTCGATCAACGTCTTCTCAAAGTCCTCATGCTTCCCGCTCGACAATCGATACTTTCGATATCGATAGGTTTATTAGGTGCTTTACTCCTTAAAAGACATTATGTATAAAATAGCAATCAAAAGCTGGCATTCTTGACTTCCAATCAAACAATTTTCCGATTGATAGCTGTTCTAGGAACCGAGATCTGAACGGTCAAACATGAGCATGCCGTTTGTATCGATAACATCGAGAAGCAAGTCTAGTAAACATCACACTTGTAGCAGTGCTAAGTAATACGTGTATTCCTGGTAGTCAATTGTTTTTCGAGCCTTGTTCATAAAAAATTTTAAGTTCATGATCTAGTTTGAAACTAGAACTAGAAAATCTAGACACCTCTCCATTTACTTACAGAAAACTTTTAATTTCAGGTGGCATGTAAATGAGAGTCCCAATATTAACCTATTGCGTTTCGTGAGATTCTTTCGCTGCACCAAAATCTCCGACCTTCAGCGAATAAAAACGGGTCACAAAAATGCTATTAAGTAAGTTAAGTTATTAAGTCTATTAGTAATATCTGCTATTAAGTAATTTCTATTGTTTTCTTTCAATCAAACTTCTCCCGTCTGATATCTTGATGGAATTTCTTTTTATCAAAAAGATAAACAAATGCGGAAAATCGTTTGATTGACCATTTCGTCACGGTGGATATTCAATAGATCAGAGATGGATTGACTAAATTGTTTCCAAGACTTTTTGAACGTTAAAACAGAAGCTTACTATTTTTGAGGTATCTATTCTCGCAAAATATTGTTTACAACACGGGATTCTCTCTTTTGGAGGACTCTCTTTGTGAATTTTGGAGGACATTTGAAGTAAGCGATAATATTTAGATAAAAAGCCTTCTCGAAACTCTGAGCTCTTTCAGGAAACTTGGATCATCGTATTTTGAGAAAAATTGTGAAAAGAAAACTCTTTCATTGCGATTAATTTGAAACTATTTGACCTTAGTGATTTAACTTTTCTAACAGCATAAACACTTTTCTAACAGCTTCTCAAAAAGCTAAACATTTCCATAAGCGCCTTGTCATTGACAGTCATTTAATTGTCCATTTAATGACTGTCAATGACAAGGCGAGGGTAGAACTATTAGGTGTGTGAAAAAGTAATCCACGTTTTTAACATTTATTCGGTATCCATTTGTCCAACTTTTTGATAAAATTCATGGCATTCAAGCGTTTCCTTACGGTTGACCCATCACAATTTAATGTAAGGCCTATTTCTGAAAAGGTTGAACGAGGGTTTTCGAGAAGACAGCGTCTTATTTGGTCATCCGAACAGGTCTCAGGGCGACCGCCACGTGGTTCATCTTCTAGGCTTTCATTACCACCTTTGAATCGTTGGAACCAAAAACCTAGCGGTATCATCAGTAACGGCGTCGATCGCCAATCGCCAAACGCATTCCGAATTCGACGTGCAGCCTCCGCAGCTTTCAACCCATTTTTGAACTCATAAAGCAAATTTGACCGAATAACGATACTTGTGTATACCATTTGCAAACGAAAATGAAGGTAGTTTATTGTCATCCTTTTAACAAAATGAATATATCATTCGAAAGAGGAAAAAATAAGCTTTTAAACGATATATATATCGTTAACAAAAAATTAAAAATTGTCTAGATATATTTACAAAATAAAAATAAAAAACGTGGATTACTTTTTCACACACCTAATATAATAAGTTATGTAATAAGCTAGGAATTTCTAATGGCATGTATTCAGTTGAGTCAGAATTACTGATAACATGGGAAGATGGGAGATGATAGAATCGGAAGGCAAAACACACTCGGGCCTTCGTTTCTTTCGCATCAGTTTCGGACAAACTCTTTCTGTCATCATGTTTGCTCAAGTGAACAGCTATTTTTTTTATTTCTGTGTTTTCTATTCATGTATCATTTCTGCATTTCCTATTCATATAAACACAATAAATTATACATTGCCAATATTTCTAAGTAATACATGGGCAACCAAGGGCAACCTCGAATCCCCTCCATTTCCCCATTCAACCTTTCCCCTTTCTATCTGAGTATTCTGTTGAACAACCCGCAAAAGCACCTAGTTGTTCCCAAATTCATGACTCTTGGGGCGTTGTGTTCAGAATTGTGAAGGGAGCGGTGGGGGAGGACGGCTCTCTAAAGGGAGGACCTATGTCGGGAGGTCCGTTGTCTAAATTCTTGTCCTTTCTGGGGGTGTTGAATGCCTGCCTTTTCCCTTCATCTCCTCTACACGGGATACCCGATAGAAAGCACCGCACATATAGAGAAGGACAGCGAAAGGGACTCTCGAGCACTCTTCCCTTCAGTGAAAGAATCGATCCACGCATTCTGAAAGCATGCAAAGCGAAACGAGACACAGAGAAATCGGGGGAATGGAAAAGAGAAGAAAGAGATGGCGCTGTTGAAGCTTTCTGATTCTCTTTGCTTTCTTCTTTCTTCTTTCTTCTCCTTCTTCCCTTTCTTCTTTCCCTTTGCCCCTCTTCGTCATTGGTTTCCCCCCGTTGGACACCCTCTCCTCGTGGTGCCCCTCTTCCCCATCGCTTTCCATTCCTTTCCCACCTTCTCCTTTTCCATTTCGTTGGTTAGCACCCCATCTGTCATCGCTCTTTTCTCTCACTTTCGTGTACCCCATCAACAGAATCTTGACAATCTTTAGTTAACTTTGTTCGAAGCTCTGCTGGGTGATTTGACTTCGATTTTGACTTTAAAAGTATTCTCTGCTTTGTTTTTGGATAAGCTTTGCAGTGAGACTTGGTCACAATTGTAAAGCTTACCTAATTTACCTATCTAATCATACTATATTGCTTTCAAAAGAATTTAAAACCTCATGGCAAACCTAAAATGCCATTGAAAGTCAATTTGGTCATACTACAAGGTTGTTATATATGTCTGCGACTCTAACGTGGCCTAAATCCGCTATGGATTTAGCTCATTTTTTGATAATTATGTAATAAAAAGATAAAGTATACAAAAATTAGAATATAAGCTCATTCTGTGACAAATTGGCTGAGAACAAGTTGCGGTGGCAACTTGACTTTTATATGTCCTTATTTCGCTACCAAACTATTTGAATTTTTGATACCAAGTGTTTTATCGTTTAAAACTCTTCAAAACCTCTTTATTTGTTCAATTTAATCAATCAACAATGTAATTTCCATCGTTTTCCAAAATCTGAGCCCATCGGTCACGGAAAAGCCGGAACCATCTCTTAATTGAAAACTATCAATTGAGGTTTCAATCAAATATTAAAATCAAAAATCTGTGCTATCAATTTGATGATTAATATTTGATTTGCTTTATTTGATGGTTTTCTGAGATGTGTCTATCAAAAGTCTATCAAACCAAAGGCCTCAAAACAGTTTATTCAATGTTTACCTTCTGATGCTTCTCAATGCTTCTCAATGCTTGAGCTTACCTTCCCCATCTCATCCCATTCCATTTTCTCTTCTGTATTCTCTTGTCATTTCTCTATTTCCTTTCGTACCCTTTCCAATCTTTTCCTCTTTTTCTTTTCTTCAGTTTGTCCCTAATTAATTTGTGACTTGCCAGCTGAGTGAGTGATGAAATGGGCAAAGAAAAGAAGATGTGAGAAATTGATTCAATGATGAAAACACATCAAAACATGCAATCTCTTATATGAGTCAATGTTCCTTTTGTCAATGTCAATGTTCAACAGCAACAATCTTCCTTTTGTAAGCTTGGATTAGGTTTTAGTAAGTTTTCAACCTAAACAGAATCTCGAAGTTGAATAAAGATCGAAAGTCTTTTGTTCTCTGCAAAAGCCATAGAACTGGCCTTTTTTTTGTCCATCGTTGGTCACGGGTTTTGCACAAACCAAAGTAAACAAACTTTTCACATATCGATCATTTCTCTTTTTACTGTCTTTTTTGTTGTTCTTCTTCCGAAGAGTGTTTTTGTTGGGCATTTTGTTGGGTGTGCCTGCCGGGTTTTCCTGTTATTTGGGGGGTTTTCTCCTCCTTTCCCCCCTTCACCCGTTTTGAAGCCTCTGTTCAATTCTCTCGGGACCTCTCCCCCAAACATTTCTTCTCCTCCTTTTTGTGCCTCTTCTAAACCAAAAAAAAAGAAACAAAATTCAAGTCACCCAAACCAGTCCTTTTCTGGCTCAAAATCGCATATCCATTTTGGCTTTAGATTTATGAGTTTGATTGGTGGAATAGGGATTGCATGTAGTTTTGTTGCAGGGATTTTACGCTCAACCTTATTTTATTGATTTAAATTTTCTAAAGGCAGCAATTTGGCGCAGTTCTTGGAGTTGGAAATTCATTTCTTCTAATAGCTTTTCAATAGTAGTTGTACGTTCCAGTTCTTGATTCAGTTCTTGGTGCGAGTTGGTTCAGTTATTTTAACTGGATCAGTTTCAATATGAATGCACTAAATATAAAGATTCTAATGCTCAACAAAAGGAAATATTCAGAATTACAACAACTACATTGAAAAACTATTAGAAGAAATGAATTTCCAATACTTCTTGCCCATTACTTCTTGATCGATTCAATCATTTCTTTCCCTTTTCCTTTCCAAACATGTGTACAGTGAGGCTCCTTTCCCTTCTTCTCCTTTTCTCCTCTTTTCGTATTGTTTGTTTGCTCTCCACTTTGCATTTCTCATTCCCTTTCATGAGACTCTGCTAATTTTTGAATAAAACCTATACAACCTGACAAAAATTTCAGTAAGAAAATACAGAAATTTCTTCTTTCAGATAAACGACTGTAAATTGAATCTAACATCAATCGTACCCATATGCGAATTCTCTTATTCCCCTTCACCCATTTCCATGAGCGATTACAGGTGCTTTCACCGTCCCCTCCAGCCTCCCCTCGAGCCTCCCCTCCTCCCCAACCCTTTCCTCCCCTCTCTCTTCCATCCACCCGCCAGCTAATTACCAATGAATTTCCCCGTTTCACCATATTTAGATTCCATTTATTTATTCATACAATTGTACAATACCAGTATTCCCCTTTTTTTCAAAAAATTACTCAAATTACTTCACTCAAATTCTCTTCTTACTTCAAATTACAACAAAACCCATAACTCATAATTGGCTGAGTTTTTAGGACATTTTGTAGGAGAAGTTCTAGGAAATTTATGGTTATAAATGGTTATAAATGGTAATGGTTATAAAGCTGAAAGAAACTATATTCGTTTTCATTTACCTTTTCATTGTGCCTTACTTCTTTTAAATCCTCAAATGTCAATTCAATTTATTGTCATTTTTTGTATACGCATTTGATGTGAAGGGACTCATTCCCTTCACATCAAATAGGGCTTTCTCTTCCGAAATATAATACCCATTTCTCTTTTCTTCTTTTCCTCTTTTATCCACTTCACTCACTTCATACTCACTCTTTTCTTCAAAATGCCCACATTTAGCCTATGAAATTCGATGAAGAAAAGAAACGAAGAATAAAGAAAAACCCCTATAACAATGCAAAGTCTTTGATCAGCCAGGGAAAGAATAGGTCAAATGAAAACTTTTGGATTCCATTGAATTGCTAAATAAAATCCATCGGGTTCTACAACGATCGAAAGTTCTTTTCAACTGTTCTTCGCCGATTCATTGACTTCAACAATAGAAGCAATCTGTTCTTTTATTTTACATGCTCTTTCATTTTAACATACTAGAGTTGAAACTAGGGCAGATCAAAAACTCGTGCACCGCCGGGATTCGAACCCGCGGCCTTTCGCTTACCGGTCAACTGTTCTAACTATTTCACCACAACGCACTCGATCTCCTTTAGTCCAGCGGGAGTCAACTTCCCTCCTCTCGGGACGAGACGGTTCCACACAAATCGATTTATAGACCTGGGGTGGGCTCGAAACTAAGCACGAACCCTTAACCAGTATTGCAGAACCCATCCTTCCGTGGCCGCCAGTTGGAACTACGGCAGATCAAAAACTAGTGCGCCGCTGGGACTCGAACCCGGGACCTTTCGCCTACCGGGCAACTGGGCTAACTATTTCACCACAACGCACTCCATTCCCTTACTCAAAAGGGAGTTAACTTTATTGTACTTGTACAATACCAATAGCTCAATTGTGCGGGTCCATACGGAACTTGGGTAATTAAACCAGTTGGGTGATGCTCCTCTAGCGTACCTAGTGTAGTGTACCAGATTCCATTTCTTACACCAATAGTGATCTAAGTCATTGAGTAAGAAAAAGCCTCAAACTGGTGATCTGACTCTTTTAAAACACCTTTCCTTTTCAAAAAACGACACTTTTTTTAGGAAAACTAATTTTGTACAAAATAAAGACAAATTTAATCCCAAATTAGTTCATTCTTCTTGGGGTTTTTCCCGATCTCATTATGTCAAAAAAGAGGAAATTTTGTCTCAAAGTGTTTTCTTGTCTTGAGAATTCCCTTCTCACCTTTGTTCTTTCCCCGTTATTCCTTATTTTTCCCTTCAGAATCTCTCAGTCTTACGCCAAAGAATTCACACTTGAATGAACAAATGCTTTTTCTTGATCATCCCCCTTTTCCCCTTTTTCTTTTCCCATTCTTTCATCCATTCATCCAACGTCTTCTCGTCATCCGTTTTCATCATTTTTTTTGAGTAGTTTTCGTGTTTTTGTTTTACTTTCTGCAACAATTTTTCTTTAATTATTACAATAATACAGTTATTACAGTTATTACAGTTGCCAAAATTTTGCCAAAATGAAAGAAAATGCGCCTGAGGCGCCACAGAATTTTCGCAGGTCTGACAATAGGAAAGAAGAGATTTTTGACTCTTGGCGGAAACTGGAAACTATGGGAAATGAAAGGATTTTGAAGGTTCTGAGGTTTTGTATCTTTGCAATACATGCATGACACTCAAAATACCTGGATTTTTGAGTCCTGAATTTTTCCATAGCCCATAGTCCATAATACCTGGATTTTTCCATAGATTCCAAACAAAAGTCAGCTTTTCTTGTGGTGGCTTCTGAAATTTGAACTTTCACTAACTATTTGTGTGTTTCACAGCGTCAAAACCCTATCTATATCTTTGTTTTCAATTTCGAAAAACTATGATTTCATTTTGAAAATCGATTCTAAGTTCTTGCTTTTGTGGCTAGCGCTTGGCTCAGTTATATCTGCAATTTGAGAGCACAAATCGCCACGTAATTTATTGGGTTGCGGAGTATGAAATGGTCTGAAAGTCTGAAACACCTAAAAGCTCCATATAATCCATTGTTTGTACCATCAAAAAGGGCTATCATTGCTCTAGAAAATGCCTTTTGAGAGATTCCGAAAAGCTTTTGTTTTGTGGGTTTTTATGGGCTCCTAAACGAAACGAGTCAAAATGACAAGGAGTCCGATTCGTCGTTTGATTCGTTCCTTACACATAAACTTAACTTGATGTCAAAACAGCCTGAAGGTAGCTGGCTTTGTCTGTTTGTGAAGCCTATCGATGTTGGCCTGATGATTATGATTTTGTAGAGAAATAAGTGATCTTTCTAATGATACTACCCACCTGTCGTTTGATAAAGACTACTCGATGTTATGGAAGTTTCTTTGAAAGTCGGCGCCATTTCATACTCCCCAACCCAATAGGATGAGTTGATAAAAAGAATTAGTTAAAGCCATGCCAAAGAAATGTTAATAATGTAGTACTGTAAGTGTGAATTCTAATAGTAAATGAATTTCGACGATCGAAACTGTTTCTCATTTGTTATGACAACTCACTTTCAAGATGGCTTTCTGTTTGAAATGACTCTCGTCTCTTTATTTTGTTGTGGCCTCTCGTCGTCGTTTTTCGCTTTCAGCTTTTCATTGAAATAGTCTCTTTAATTGTTGAAATTTCAGTCGAATCCTCGCCATGATGAATGGTCGAGGAGTGAGATCATATCTTGTAAGGAGGGATAGAAATGGAGAGGATGGAGGAAGTCAGAGTATTGATGGAGGTTGGTTGAGGGAAAGAAGTAAGACCAAAAACAGTGCCATGTCTTGAATTAAACCTGCAACATAGACATGGGAAGATTCCAACCCAAACCTAATTCCACCTTCGTTTTCTTGACCGATTCTTGGTCAATTCTTGGTCGATTCTTGACCGATTCTTGGCCAATTCTTGGCCGACTGTTCTGAAATTTTGTCTACAAACAGAAATCGACATTTTCAGCTTGTAGACAAAATTGCAAACGACCGAGAAAACAAAGGTGAAATTTGGTTTGGCTTTGATTTTTCCCATGTATACTGCAATATCTAAACAAATAGGTTCACAAAAATCTAAAGTGTTAAACCTGAAATGCAATCATTGAACGTTTTTCAAGAATGCGGCGATTATGAGGCTTCAGCTAGTGTAGACAATGGTAGGAATTGTAGAGGAATTGAAAATAATAGAAAATACCTAATCTCACAAAATAGCATGGTTTTGGAAAACTTATGAAAGTGTAATTTTTGCCTGTTTGCCTAAGCCAAAATCAACCTAAAAACTGCCTTGCACTCAACAGTACAAAGTTCCCCTCAAAGTATAACCGTTTTCATTGCAGTTGCACGAGTCTTTTTGAGAAGAAAATGAATGAAATGTTATTTGTAATCTGTAGTTTGACTATTCAATTTTCATCATAATTGATTGCAATTTCAGTTCCATCAACAGTTCAATTCGATGAGAGTTCCGATGAATACCGGTGTCTCTGTAATTGTTTTCACATCAAAACGGGTACTTACATTATTGCTGGTCAGTTTTTGAAGATATTTTGTGAATAATCGCTTAACAAACAGTCCTTTCTTTGCAAAATACATTCTTGATTAGTCAGAAATGAAGCCAGAAACGATGATCATATTGCTTTGGTCACTAAACCTGAGCTAACCAAAGTTCAATTTCAATCAGCTATCGCTTAGTTTTCAGAAATAACAAACCAGATATTCCTTAATTTTCAAAAGAATATAATCAGCCAAACTAAATAAACACCAAATAAATCAACCAAAAAAACAATATAATAAATGATTAACCAAAGGAACTTCTTAAATTTCCCTCTTATTTAGTTGTACATATGTTGATGATTCTCTTCTTCTTCGTTCACACATTATTAGTCTATTTCGAGCACGACTCACGATACTATCAAGCTGCAAAAATCAAGGTTTGATTGAGTTGATGAATATAACTAAAAAAATCAACACTTCTTTCAGGAAAAATACGTATTTGGTTCATTTCTGGCGGAAACGATCGGATTGGGGATCGCTTTTCTTGCAGTCCTTCTTCTCCTGTTGGCTGTCTCAAAGAATATCGCCCCGTTATTGATACCACATATTGTTGTACAGGTAAGGAGTTGAAAGAGATCTGAGCTAAGCAATTAAAAATTTCAGGTATTAGCGATAATTTGTTTCCTTCTCGTGTTGATTTCTGGTATCATCGCTGTTTGCACAGATACAGCTCTCTTCTATCGCTTAATGAATGCAGCTCCATTCAGAGAACATCCAAATCAGAGCACTGTTCGATTAGATACAAGTGAGTAATAGAATCTATAGGATAGGAACCTAAAAGGGTTGTAAAATCTTAAGTTGTAAGTCTAGCAGAAGTCTCGATGAGACAATGCCGATGTCTCGGCATTGTCTCAAGACTCAAATCTTAACAAACTCGATCTTTTCAGCGACAACAGTGCGAATGTACTCAATGATGGTTATCTATGCTGTATCACTGATCCTCGAAGTGTGGTTCATCGTCATTGTGAGTCTTAAGAAGGATCATATGCTAGCCAAGGACCAGTAGGTCAAGCTGGCCGGATCGCTAGCTGGACCTCAAGCTGGCTGGACCTCAAGCTGGCTGGCCCTCAAGCTGGCTGGACCTCAAGCTGGCTGGCCCTCAAGCTGGCCGGACCTCAAGCTGGCCGGATCGCTAGCTGGCTGGACCTCGAGCTGGCCGAACTGAAAGCTGACCTATTACTCGAATGACTGTGCTCGAAGATTTGACCCATGCTCTGACCAGACCTAAGCCTCTTTCAATTGCAATTTTCAGATTTACAATTGTTATCGATATCTTCAAGAGAGAAGTGCCTATATGAGATATTGTCTTGCATTCAGTACTCCAATGAAGACGCTCTCTGCACGATAAACGGATAAAGATAATATAAATCTTCTAATGCCATAAAATGAACTCAGGAATTTGAAGATCTGGTTTTTGTGTGTATTTGTATTTGTAATATTTGTATCTAATCTATTTCCATGTATTCTATTTCCCCTTAGAGATCTATTTACAATGACGGTGATTTGTGCCATCATCGAATCTCTTTTCGAAGCTTTCCGAGTTTCCGACATTTGGTCTAAACATTAATTGTAAATTTAACCTTAACGTAAACTTGAAGCTGGGTAGATTGGGCGTCAACTTTAGCTACGATATAGAATATGGGAATGACATGGATCCGTCGCCTAACAGTACTAACAGTCTACAAAACTTTTGAGTGGATGAAGATGCCCGAGAAACACTTACTAGTTTAAACTTTATAAGAGGACGATAGTTTTTTTCTGAAGCGCAACTTTAGACAAGCCTAAAGAGCATTGTCCAAACACCTGTACTGTATCAAATTAACTACAGTACAGCCAGAACCAAATGTCGTAACCCTTTCCTTTTCTCTCATTCATCCACTGCCCCAAAATCCCCTCATTAGTTATTTGTTTCCGCAAAGATTCTCCACAAATATCCCACTTGTTCTTCGTTTTGAGATGTGCATTTATGTACAAAACATTTGAACTGCCTTTTGTGAAAAGTTTTTCTTAGAAATAGATCTGAATGAATGAATAGACCAAATTCGGCCATCATAACTTATTCCCTTTGAATTCCCCCTTTTGATTTTTGTCTTTCTCTGGTGATTTTCTCCGTTTGTCGATGTTGTTCACCCGATTTCCTCGACATTAGCTGCATATTTTGTCGATTTATTTGAATTTGCGCGATGTTCAAAGCCGTTTCATGCGATAAATTTTTGATTGATTCAAAACAAACTATTGGATTGGTGAATTGAAAACTGCGGGCTATTTCGCGGGACTCGCAGATAAAAAAAACAACAGCATTGTACCAGCTGAAAGGGGCTTTGGTTACTTCAACATTTCCTCTAATTATTGCGAAAAAATTATGCTTCCAGCTTTTTATTTTTTGGTATTTTTCTTCACTTCTTCTATTGCACTCGACAATCTGCCACCGGGACATATTCGTCATGTCATGCTTCATGAGTTCCTACAAGAGCAGGCTTAGCAGCTGCTAATATCAAAAAGATATATGGGAAGGATTCACCTTCCGAAAGAACGTGTCGAGTATGGTCTGCCAAGTTTCGATCTGGGGACAAATCTTTGAAAGATGCAGAGGGCCGTGGAGCGGCACCCCAACTGGATAGTTCCAGATTACTCGAACTCATTACGAACGACCATCGGGTATCATCGGGTGAATTGGGAGAAGAGTTAGGGGTTGATCATGCTACAGTGCTAAAGCACCTTCATATCCTTGGATTTAAATCGAAACTTGGGGCTTGGGTGCCCCATGACCTCCATAACCCCCAGAAGTGGCAGCGCGCCTCGACCAGTGCCGTCCATCTCTCACAATAGAAAAGGAAATCTTTTCTTTCTCGAATTGTGATAGGAGATGAGAAATGGGTTTTATCTGTGAACTTTCAGAGGAAGTGGCAATGGGTGGAGCCAGGCGAGAGACCCGAAAGTGACCCTAAGCCCGATTTGCACGAGAAGAAGTTTATGCTCTGCGTTTTCTGGGATATAGAGGGAGTGGTGTATTGGGAGTTGCTGGATAGCAAGACAACCCTTAATGCAATCAAATGCATCGAACAGTTGGGAAAGGTGAATGAATCCCTGAAGAAGAATAGGCCCTCTAAGTCAAAGATCGTTCTCATCCAACGCGCCCTCATGTTGCGAAACTGACTCGCTCTAAAATAAATAGCCTTTGGGAACTTTTGGCGCCTTCCCCATACAGTCCGGACCTCGCTCCTTTTGATCACGAGTCAATAGTAAGCCTAAGTTGATTCCGGATCATGAGTAATGAGCTTGCGGGAGAACACTTCGATTCGGTAAGAAGCAGTCACAAATTGGCTTTGAAAGTTTTTCGATTCAAAACCAAAATCCTACCACGAAAGAGGAATCCGCAAATTGCCTGTAAAATGGGCAGAGGTCGTCAATAATAATGGAAATTATTTGGAATGAATTTATGGTTTTATGTGTAATAAATTTTAGTTCAAAGTCCCACAGTTTTCAATTCACCAACCCAATAGATCTTTCTTAAAAAAATCCTTTTTTTTAAGTCGATTTCCTTTTGGATTCGTCTTGCAATAAATTGCAAAATGATGAGCAAATATTGAGAGGAAAAAGGAGACAAATTGATGGAGATCATCTGTCTACGATAAATTCCCCGCCATATTTAGCACCTTTGACGAAAGCATTGCAATGTTCGTGTCTCGGAAACACAAAGAAAATATTTTTATTATTGAAAAGATCTCTTATTTTCAAATCCCTATTGGAAATTGAAGGAGGTTTGTGATGGAATGGAAAAGGAATAAAGGGAATAGGAAAAAGGAATGGAATAGAAGAAAAGAAATCTTCTCGAGTTGCTCTCTTTTGTGATCTCTTCAAATGAAATTCGACACTCTCAAAGCTCGCCTTCTTTGGCTTTTGCGGATACCATTTTAGGGAGATTGGAAATTCGGCATTTTTTCAAGTTGATTTTTCGTCTTCTACAATTTGCATATTTGCCCAGCCTGCAGCATTTTCACAAATAAAGTGCTTTATGTTGAATTTCCTACCATCAAACCTTGTATAAGAAAGAAGTTTGCCTTGACTCTTTACTTTTACTCTTCTACTCTTTTAATCTCTGGCTTTACTCTTTACAATAGTTTTACAATAAAATCTTTATGTATACAATTAAATCTCTTTACAATAGTTTTACAATTAGTTCCTTATCTTTAAGTTTTAAATTTAAAGGTCAAATCGTAGCTATTTCATCAAAAAAATACACTCTATTTGTCATTGAAGTCAGCTGGAAAAGAAGCGAAAAAGAATGGAATGGAGATGATTTAAAAAGAGACAAAACATAACCTTTTTTTGACCGAAAGTTAGGATTGAATTTCCAGGGGTGAACACATGGAAATGAGAAGAGAATTTCAGGAGATTTATGTACAAAAAGAGAGAAGACAAATAAGAGACAACTAGAGATCACGATCATTTAAATAGAGAATGTTTAAAGAAACAAATCTTTGTCTTTTGATTAATCCAAACTCTTATTTTGTATTCAATTTTTATCGCTTTCACTTTGTGATAATGATTAGACGATAATGATGGCTCTTGTTGATTTCATTGCGCCAAGGTAAGACAGAGTCAATCAAAGAAATTCACTCCAAAAAATATAAGTGATCTATGCTTACAAATCAGATACCTGAATGTACGCATGTATGCCTAAAGTTTGATTGTTTGTTTTTAATTTCCACGTACTCAAAACAAACTCAAAAACTCCTCAGCATTTTGATTGCTTTTCTTCCGATTTTTCTGATCAAATTGAACCGGTTCAGTTCAATCATCAAAATCAATCACAAAATCACAAAAATTCCCCTTTTTCCACCCACTTTTTGATTACAATAGAATTTGATTCCATTTTGTTAGTCTTTCTAAAGATTTCTAGCTAATCAAAAATTGAAATTTGACCTTTTGTTTTGAAGATTATCATGAAATATTGATGAAAACTTGAGTCTATAGTTGCCAATAGAACGAGACAGATCAAAAAATCTGGTCGAAAACTTCAGGCGGTTGATCTAGCCTTCAGAACATCGGATTCCAATGAACTTTTTTGATTTAAAACCCGAGATTTTAAGCTAACTAATGATACTCATCACTTGTATTTTTCTTTTGAAAAAGTGGGTCAAAAACCTTCTCGAGACTTAACGAGACAATTCCTCGTTATCTTGTTAATCGAGAAGGATTGTCTCGTTAATTCTCTAGATGGTTTTTGATCGACTTTCTCAAAAGAAAAATACAAGTGATGAGTATCATTAGTTAGCTTAAAATCTCGGGTTTTAAATCAAAAAAGTTCATTGGAAGCCGATGCTCTGAAGGCTAGATCAAGGGCCTGAAGTTGCGCGACTCATTTGTCTCGTTAATTCTCGTTAAGTAAATCTAGTTGCCAATCTCATCACATAAAACTACAAAGAAATTCAAGTTATTTTTATATTTGCGATCTTTGTTATTGTTATCCTCTCACTGTATAAACTTTGCGTCTCATCAAAACAATTTCTCAGTCCAAAAAACAAACAATAAACTGAATACAAGCTAGAATTGCTTCTCTCGAGCAATACATCTCAATCTCTGAATCCACTCCGTCCTCCCCATTCCGCTGTTTATTGGGTTGGGTGGGTGGATTTGAGCGTGAAATTTGAGCCCGATCTCTTCCCTCAAAAAATGCTCCTCAAAATTCAAAATTCCCAAATTCCAAAGCTCTCATAGATCTTTTTGCGTAGAATTTCCCCAAAAACAATGACGTGTCGTTTTTCAGGAAAAAAAACTCTCTAAAAGGGACTTTTTGGGGAATTTCCCTCGATGAATCGATCACTTTGCAGTTCATCCATGGGAAGTGCAAGAAGAAATGCTGAGAATTCATTTCAGATTTATGTTTTTGTATGTTTGGTGTGACTGTCAGAAGATAAGGAAAACCTTTTGAGTTTTTTTCAGAAATTTTTATGAAACATTAATTTGACATTTTTATTGACTTGAATATGAAGTGAGGGTAGCGATCAAAATCAAAGTTAAAAGAAAGAAAGGAAAGAAAGAAAGGAAAGAAAGAAAGAAAGAAAGAAAAAGACTGATTACTATAGAATTTGCTTCTATTTGTTTGTTAGTCTTTCTAAAGATTTCAAGCTTTGAAAACTTCTTTAAACTTCGGATTGAGTTATTAGGCTGTCGAGAAAGGCTTTTCATTCCTTTTCGTACTTCCGTTGTTAACAAATTCACCAATTGACTTGCTATGGTTTGCTCTAAATAAAAAGTGTTGTTTATTGTTGCTGTTTAAAGTGTTCTTTAGTGTTTATTCTTCAGTTTCCCATCTTTTAAAGTCAATTTTGGTTTGCTTTTAAGCAAATTCGAGAGTGAAAACGTGTTTTTTGAGATTTGTTTGCAAATTCCAAAGTGTTTCTCTTAAAATTCCTCTACGAAGAAATTGGCTGAATGAATTTCTCTGAAAATTTGGTTATATACCAAACTTTTTGTGCTCTATCTTTTATCTATTAAAACAAATATAGGTTTCTTTAGCTAAAGTATCTAATTTTATCTATTTTATCTAGTGACATCATCGAGTCGTCGCTTTTTTTGACTACTTAACTCCACACTACGAAAAAGATCCACACATAAGACGTTTTAAACCCGTTTTAATGTTATTTTGCAGAAGACTAACGTGATTTTCTAATGAAACAAACCGTAGTTTAATTGGTGGATTTGTTGGTTTTAAAAGGAAGTACGAAAAGGAACGAAAAGACTTTCTGGACAGCTGAATAGTTCGGAAGATTTGATTTGAGAAAGATTAACAAAATCGGATCAAATGGTAAGCTATCATATCTCGATTATCTCATTGATGTCAAATATTAAATCATATCATAATGAGCACCTCTTCCTCCTTTCCTTTCCTCCGATTTTTCACTTCGAATCTCCTGCTCCATTTCTTCACCATTTGAGTGACCCATTCTTAGCCCCGCCCATCCTCTCCTTACCACCCCGATTTTTGAGGGAATCCTTTCTGCTTGCCAACCAGACGTTTTTGAAGAGAATTTTAAAATTTCAAACAACACCAAAGTTTTGACCGTGTTTTCACTACAGTAAAATTAATTGTTCTAACCATTCACCCATGGATCACTTGATCCAAGGGTGATCTAGGTTAAAACTTGATCCAAGTTGCCAATTATTGTTCTCAATCATCAACAACTTCAATCAAAATCAATCTCTGCACCCATTCACACAAAATCGCCTTTCCAATCATTTCATAAAACACAATGCTTCTTCTTTCTTTCTTTCTTCCTTTTCGCTCTTCTTTCCCTATTTTCTTTTTGGTTGAATTGCCCATTTGGTTCCTCCATTTTTATGCTTTTTATGATGATATTATTGGGTGAATGAGTCAGATTTGTCTGGGGAAAATCCTTTCATTTTTCATCTTTGCTATAAAGTCCAAAAATTTAGAATGAAATCGTTAATGTCCACAGATGAACCATCAACTTCTTCAACAACTTTTATTCTCATTTCATCATTGAATCCATTGATATCACCGGTACAAGGAAATGGAAGTAAAGCAACGGAAAGTGATGAGGAAATTTTGTGGAAAGTCAGTTAGACTTAAAGCCTTACTATTACTTGTAATAAACTTAACTAAATAGTAAGCTGAACTGGCATTTTTTGAGTGAACAGCTTTTTGAATGAACAGCGATTACCTTTCTTTCCAGATAACGATGTGTGGAGTGGCACTAGCGATGATCGCGTGTACTCTCATCGGGAATGCCCTTGTCTGTATGGCGGTTCTGTTAGTCAGAAAGTTGAGACAACCGGCGAATCTCCTGTTGGTCTCACTGGCCGTCGCCGATTTCTTTGTCGGTCTCATCGTGATGCCCTTGGCTCTCGTTGATTTCATTGCGCCAAGGTAAGACAGACTCAATCAAAGAAATTCACTCCAAAAAATATAAGTGACCTATGCTTACAAATCCAAACTCTAACTAACCCTCCGAGTCGCTCCTAGCTCAAGCATCAGTTCCTAGTTTCTTGTCTTTTCTGTACGGCTTTTGATATCTACTATATATGTTACGTCCGTTTTAGAAACTCTTTTTTCATTGCGCGTTTCTATTAAGAAAAGCCAGTGAACCCCTATCGACAATAATATTTTGTAGAGAATTTAATTTCCTATCGAGTGGCTTATAATATAGCTACTAAAGTTGTAGCTATATTATAAAAACCTATCTTGTTACAGCAATAATTCTAAAACGGACGCCTTTGTTACGTCCGATTTAGACACGGCGGCCGATTTAGAACCAAGGTACTTCCGGCGCTCTTCCAACTAGGTTTTTGGTGCCAATAGATTCAGAACCAATAGAACCAAGATTTTTGGTACCAATGGATTCAGAATCATCGATAATTGTGGTAAATTTTTTGATTGAGCCCGATCCGATGAAAGGACAAAAAAATCGAGCCAAAATACAGAACAAGGGGAGTATTTTGGCTCTAACTTTTTGCCCTTTTATCGGATCGGGTTCAATCAAAAATATCCACAATTATCGATGATTCTGCATCTATTGATGCCAAAAATTTAGCCGGAAGTACCTTGGTTCTAAATCAGATGCCTTGTCTAAATCGTACATCTGTCTGTCTGTCTGTACGGGCGTGCTTTTACCATTAAAGCTAAAACTTCTTTAGAAAGTCTTAGAATATATTGTAATTGTACCATTTAAGAAAAATCTTTAAAAAATGCAAGTAGGGCGAAACACCCAGGAATCGAACCCGGGTGGTGCGAACCGTAGACAAGCGTGCTCCTGATTTCGCCACGGTGACAAGGCTTCCAACCCGAAAAATCCGCTGTTAAGCGGACTTTTCTGTTCTGTTCTAATATTTCTCCATCATAAACACCCACGTGTACCCATAAATGAAATGGGGTTCCCGAATTGGTTCCATCCTATTGGGTGGCCCATATGAGAGAGTCCCTTTCATACGGCCCCCCAATGCTTTAAGGGGAATCTCGGGGTGCTCATTATTCTTCCTTTCTCCTTTCCTTTCCCCTCAGCAACCGTCGATTTCACTTCTCCGTTCTTCTTTTCTTTTTATTTTTCTCGAAGGCCATCTCCTTCCACCTTGAAGAATCGAACGGACCTCTCTTCACTAGAGAATAGAACGCAAAGACGAAAATTGAAAAGAAAACACGAAAAAGCCTTGTTTATTGTTTTGTTCTTAAGTGCTTAAAAAAACGACTGATTAGTGAAATCATTTGCTTCGTTTTAAACCACAAGAGACACAGGAAATGATTGATCGAAACAATGCACAGTTGAGAATCGAACTGTTTTATCAAATCAATTTAGTTGGCCTCTCGGTTTGATCGGTTGTCAAATCTGGACAACAGCCGATCTCACTCTCTGCACAGCTTCCATCTGCAATCTTTGTGCAATATCGGTTGATCGATATTTGGCCATTTCGAGGCCGTTGCGGTAAGCTTTTTAGCTGAACTAACGTTGAAGAATTATCTAAAGTACGGAATAAACTAGTTAAACTGCATCCTTCACAAAAAGCAATGAACTGTAAACCAAAATTTTGCCCTATTTAATTCCTCTGCCTCCTCCTCTTCCTCCTCCTCCTCCTTCCTCTCATCTCATCTCATTTTGGTTTTCAAAAAAAATTCCGGTAAAGAAAGATGGCCAATAGGAACTGAACCCTGAACGTTCTGCCTCTGAGTTTCTGTAGCTCTAACCACTGAGCTACGGGCGCCCATTTTGCTAGCAAGAAAGAGGATAGAAAAGGAGCGGAGGCAATACCCTGTCGTCGGTGCTTATAAAGGATTAATGTAAACTGAAGCAAATCAAGCTCAAACTATTAAACAAAGAGTTTACAGAAACAGCCTAACCATTCTCTATTTCTTTTCAATTACCGATCTCCTATCCAGTTTCCTCACTCGAGTCACCCCCAAAAAAGAGCCGACAATTTCTATTCCTTTGCTATTCCTTTTCTATTTCTTTTTTGATCCTTTTCACCTCCTTATTGCCTTGTCGGTCTCCTCTAAAAATAGGCTCGAATATTGCAATGAAATTGTGCGAAAATCTGAGAAAACGAAAGAATCGACAAAAGAGAGAAGGAAAACCTGAGAAAACACATGTTTTTGCTCTTCACCTTCTCTTTCTCTTTTTTCTTTAGCTGGCCTTCTACATTATTAAACACGGTTTTTAACGACTTTTTGTGTTGTTTGAAATTTTACGATGAGAAACATTCGGAAATGGAAGAAAGTCGATATTTTTGGGGGAGTGACAATCGGCTTGTTTTGGGATATAGGAAGTACAACTAGAGCAAAAAAAACAAACCGAAATAAGATTTTTGCAAAGAGATATTAAGTTTTGCAAGAAAACAATACTCTAGAGAATTTAACATTTCCAAAAATAGAGAATTTAATTTTCTAGAGCATCTAACGTCTTAAGTTTTGTCTTTCTCAGATACTCAGCGATGCGAACGAACGCCCGAGTCGCTTTGTACATCATGGTCGTCTGGGTGGTATCATTTTTCGTCTCATTGACATCACTGTTGATCACTCATTTCCTGGATGAAGAAACGACGAATGATTCGTGTCAGGTGAGCCCAAAAATATCCATGTTTGGATTGAAGCAGTAGATCGATCTAACAATGATTACATGGTTCTAGTAGAGTTTATCGATTTCGATGAAAAAACCAAAACGAATATTTTTACTCATGATTGTCACAAGTCAAAAGTGCCAATATTTGCCGAAAAATCCTCTCAAAATCATAAAATAACATCTCGCAACTCTTCTGAAAAAGAAATGAAAAATTTGGGTGATTATCAGAGTGGAATAGGTGGTTTCTTTTAGCTCCAAAGCTTTAAGCGTTCATATTTTCTGCCAAAAAATGAAAGAGTGAAGATGACCAAAGATAAGAGCCTTTTAGTCTTTTAGTTTTGATTTTTTTGCCAGGAAATCTCCTCTCCATTTCGTCCTTTCTCCTTTTTCTGATCCTTCCAGGTGTTCCCCATCCACATCTCTTTTCCCTTTTCCCAATGAACATGTGCACATCAGTGAAGGCCAACGCATAGACGGGCACATTTTGAAGCCCCTCGATTACACATTAGATATTTACTATGACACTGAAAATATGAAGACAAGAATAGCAACTGGACGGGGGAATTGGAGAAAGGGCTGTGGTTAGACATTGATCAGCTTTGATTGTACCGTAAACGTTGCACTAATGCAGTGAATCTGTTTTCCCTAACATTTTGCCATCTAGTTGTCAAAGTTTTCAACAAGAGAATCGTTCAAGGCCTTCAAGAGAATCGTTTTCCAAAGATTGAGAGCTTCTTTCTTTTTTGATTTCAAATGGGTGTCACTCTTGCACTCAAATTGCTTCCACTGACAAAAACGCTCATAAAACAAAGTGGGATGCCGTGAAATCCCCCGAAATAATCAGAATTGAGTTAGAGTTTATGAAAAGCGAAATTGAATAGGCTTTCTCCTTTCTGTAAATAAGTATCAGTCAAAGTTTTTGCATTTCCTCTCTTTTCTTCAAAAGGATCGATGAGAAACCATTTTTCCATTAAACGGAAAACGAGAAGACGTGACTTACAAGGGAAGATCAACTGGATGTGCTGGCCAAATCACATGAACCATAGACCATTCGACGCAGAATTTCACGAACATGATGCTGCTTTTCTTTTTTTGCTACGGAACACTCTGACAAAAGTTATATGCATTTAAATCTTTGTAAGTTCAAAAATCAAACCGCCACATTATAACCCTGTCTTCTTCCAGCTGAAAAGTTGCAGCGGGAGCCGAGTGGTAGTGAGTTTAGATGGAACTCAGCGATCTCTGGATCTCTGGTTTGAGTTCGATAGCTGACTGTCCTTTTTTAGGCTTTATTGCCTTGCGTGGTAACAAAAACATCAGAATATCATCGAAAGAAACGGAAAAGAGAAGAAAACAGAAAGAAAAGAGTGAGAATTGGGCTTGGATTGAACGGGATTTTGAGGAAATGAGGGAAATCTTTAAGGGGAAGATAGGAGAACTCGAAAGGCCTTTGAACTAGAGATAATAGCTGAATCGATGTAATCCATTTACTTTTAGGTCACACAAAACCTCGGCTATCAGATCTACGCCACTCTTCTGGCCTTCTATGCACCAACAATGATCATGGTGATTCTCTATGTGAAGATCTGGAGAGCCGCGAAAAGATTAGCGAAACAAGACAAATTGTTATCTTATCATGTGAGTAGAGATCTTGGATTTTGTTTTTTTTTCTTTTCTATTGGTTTTGATCATAACTAGTTGATTAAACAAAGCTCCAGACGGGTACTCGAGCCTCAGCTGACAGCTCGAATCTTCTCGCTGCCGGTCCGATAAACGGGAAAAACGGATCGAAATTCTTCCATCGTCCATCGGCTCTTCTTAATGCTGTGAAAGTAGGTTTGAAAGCTAATTAGTTTTAAAGCTCTAAACAAAAACCTTGGCTTTGGTTTAAAGCCAAGGCTTTTTTTAACTCCACTAAAGCCTTGGCTTCAAAGCCTTTCTTCTAAAACTTCTATTTTTCAAGCTTTGTTTTCAGCTTCGAACTTTTTGAGTTGTCAAAATTACAATGTCAAAAGAAGTTTTGCCTGATTTATATTTATTTTGCCAATTTAAGATCTAGGCAACAATTTTCCGAATTCCGCAAAAGGAAAGTTTCCACGCAACGCGAGGAAAAATCAAATTTCTGATGTTAGGCTAGAGAAATTCAAGCAAACTTTTTGAGAGCTTGGAGATCCGAAAAAGGGCAATTTTGGGAGTCTTGAGTGGATGAGGTCCATATCGAGCATTCGAGCAGGGCAAAATTTGGGCTCATTGTTGGAGATAATCCTATTGCTGTGTGATCTTTTTTGAGAAATCAAAACGGAAAGCGAATAAGTTCCGATTCAAAATCCGTGACAAAACCAGGGCAAATGAAAATATGAATAATAAGGAGTACCAAAGACATCTAAATCTTTCAGTACACCTCATTTCTCTTCTTTCCGATCAATTTGACTCGGGTAAGGAAAGAAATGACAAAAGTGGCAAAAGCTCGAAAATCTCGTGAAACTGTGGCTTTGAGCGATGGAATATAAAATGCAATAAGCGCATGCTTCTCAAAGAAATGGCCTTTCTAATGCTTTCACCCAATTGACATGGAAGAATCGGCTTATTTTGTGTTGTCTTTTTTTGACTTGTTGGCTATTGAACCTAAACATTTAGTACCACGCTCGACAACACGAGAAATCGGAGACGAAAGCTCGACAGACATTAGGAGTGATGATGTCCGGTGAGTTGATGGGAAAACATTGGCTAATGATCTTCTATAAAACCTATTTAGCTAATGTTTGTGTCAAATTTGTATCTTTGTCATTCTTTCAGTATTCATCATCTGTTGGCTTCCATTCTTCTCATTGGCCCTTCTAAAGCCGGTGCTTGAGCTGAACGTCCCATGGTGGTTGGATTTGGTCACACTGTGGCTCGGATACTCAAACAGGTTCTTATTGAAGTTTAATAAGCTCTAATTCGTAAAATTACCTCTAACTCTTTCTATAGTTCAAAAGAAACTACAGTAAAACGCCTAGATCTTTCCATTTCTGACTTTCGAAAGTCTTTTCCTGTTTCTTTTCAAACGATGACCCATCCCGGTGTTCGATTTCACGACTTTCATTCACAAGTGCCAAAATGGAAAACTTTTTATGGGAAACCAATCCATGGGTGTGAATGAAGCTTAAATTTGACCACTCGTTTCCAAAAATGAAATCTTCAATGATCCCTTTACCATTGAACGAAAGAACCCTCCCCTTCCCCCCAATCCATTCATTTGATCTTTCCTCTCTAAAAAGAGATTTCCATTTCTGAATTCCCCATCAAAAGCCTCAAATTCCCTCAAATTTCAGTTCTTTTCTTCTCCTTTTTACCTTTTTTGTTCCTCGTCCATTTTCAATGTTGATGGGTGCTTTGAAGGGAAAAATATCGGATTTCATCGAGGCGCCAACAAAAATTCCACAAAATGCTCCGATAAAATGGGCGCAACATTAGAGTCTAATCAGCCTTAGAGTCAAAAAAAGGATAAAGTTTGGGGAAAACTTTAGAGATTCTATGCCTATGGATTTTTCCACGTTTTTAGTTCTACCCCATATGCAGAGCTTTTTGTACGATTCGAATAGCTAAGAAAGCAGTTTTCTAATCTCCAAAAAAAAACTCCAGAAAGTCAATTCGCATAAATCCTACCCAATTGCGGTAGATCCTACTCAATTCTCCCTTCAAATGGGTCTCATATTTAACTCACTCGAACTCATGTTTTTCACCTCAATAGATTAACGAGAGAATTGTGGAAAAACTACGCAAGCAAAAAGCAAAATAGCTTATCTTAGACCATCGATGAAATAGGGAGATTTGGGAAAAGAAAGGGAATGGGACTCCACTAAGCTCACGCAAAAACGACGGAGAACAGAGAATAGGGGATGATGAAAATATGATAGATAGATTGATTAGAGATTTTAAAGATTACCCAATAATTTTGTTATTGAGCTTTTTTCGATCTTCAAACTCCCTCACCACCCCACTCTTACGAGTTTATTCCTGCTTTAATTTTCTTAAAATCCTCAAGCATATTGCCCCCACCAAAAATCTGTCCGGAATTTGCCGTCAATCGGAGAAAAGATCTCGCTTGTAAAAAGAAGAGAGCCACCTCTTCGTCTGATTTATTCCGCGCACAAATCGGAACCACAAATTATGGGTCTCCGTTCGCCTTTTTTCTTCTTCACATCAAAAATGGCTCTTGCGGGTGGATGGAGGGAGAAAAGTCACTCTCTCATAACTGCCTTTCTTTCGATGTGAAAAGGAAATTTTGAAAAGAAAAACTGGATTTAATTTTAGGATAACACTAGTGCAGAGCTGTAAAATAGCAATACAGTTTTCCGGGAGAGAATTCAGTCTTGTTGACTGAATACGTCCATAGCATACTTTAGTGAGACAGGAATGATTTTACAACCAATGAACTCTCAATTTAGTATGCTCAATCCAGCAATCTACTGCAAGTACAACAAAGAATTTCGAATGCCATTTCGAGAGATGTAAGTTGTGCCAAAACGTTTCATAACAACTAAATTATCGAGCAAACAAGAATGGAAACAACCAAATTATAATAATAACTAAAGCAGATAACATATTAATCTTTTAAATAGTTCACAGTTACAATATTAAAAAGATGAAATGAAATTAATGAAAATTGTGAGAAGAAATGTGTTTTTGTTGTGATGGTTACAGTATCTCGAGTGTCTTTTAGGCTCTTCTGTCGTTTCCGCACTCTCCAAACAGTGATGAGACAACAGAGTTTCACGAGTAAATATGGCCCTACGTGAGTGAAGAAAGCATTAATCAGCATTTTTATCCAAAAATTTCAGTCCATGTCGAGCGGCCAGCGTACAAGACCGAGCCGAAAGACCGGAATCTTCCGATTTGTGATATCAAAAACAAAAGGAATTTCGGCCTTAAATGCAAACGTGTCATCCCATTCAGATCTTACTTCTATATCTTGCCAAATTCTATTGCCTTTCCATCCAATCAAAAACTTATCCAATCAATTGTTCTCTACTCGAATACGGGCATCCCATTTTAAATGCAAATAGTGTTTATTGTTTGTATAACATTTGATAGGCCTCAATATCATCTCTGAATAAAAATAAAATGATTTTATTAGTACAGGACCTGCATCTCAACGGGGTAGAAATCGAGCTCTCTTATTTCGTTCAACTATTTGAGTAATGTGATGCCTATCATTTCGTTAAATTACAATCAAAAGAAACCACCAGGAAATTATAAACAAAAAATACAAGGCAGCAAAACAACAAAAATCACTACAATTCTAGGCTAAACTACGCTAGAAATCGAAAACTTAAAGAGCCAATAAAACAGGAGAAAATCTCTACAATGCACACGATATTCAGCAAAAATGATCACCGTTTTGTAATTAGTAGGTGCTGCGAATCGATTGGATCGCGGCGTGACTAATAAGGAGCTCGACCAAAAGGCGAGTCTCCAAATGGGTCCGAGCATCCACGATCCAGTCGCGAGCCAGCAATCGGGGTTGACCCTAAACATATAATTTTAAGTCAACTATAGCAACTTTAAACCTTCCTACTTTAGAATCAGCTACTTTCTATAAATGATCAGCACAAACAAACCTGCAACAAATGAAGCAACTTTATAGCTGAAGCAAAATCGTTTTGCTCGACATACCATTTCGCCCGAGAAAGCACCTAGAAAAAGTTAAATCCCAAAAATGAGAAAAAAAATCAACCTCAAGATTGTCAATAACCACTGGGTCAAATTTATCATCCTTTCTGAAGTTGTAGGGCAATTCAAGGCTCAACACAGATCGGATATATGACCAAGTGTACTTGGATAGCGATCCCCCATTTTCATCCACCCAGGCGGTTCGACGTCCAGATCGATATAACTAAAAGATGTTACATGAAATTAAGGTAATGGGCTGTTACTATCAAATCTAGTGCAAAGTCTCACTTTGTTGAATCGACTCTTCAAGTCCAATTCTGTGTACACTCCATTTGATGTAGCTTGATCGGGGAATGCATGGATGATCGTCGAAACGAAATTATCATCTGGGTTGACCTAAAACATAATGTTATAGGTAAGTAGCATGCCTAATCGTGCTAAAACTTAATATTCAGTAATTTAAGGCAAGAGCGCCAACCTCTTCCAACACTTTCAAATTGTCTCCAAGTGGCGCTCTTCGTTCATCCATTGTTGCTCCAGCTAAAATTTATAATGAAGTAAAAATATAAGCCTCTCACCTTTTCTTCCGTGAACAATTGTGTCAATCAAATTGTGACATGCAATCCAAAACTGTTTTGAGCGTCGATTTTCCGCGTCCTTAAATTGCTTATAGTTTTATATATAACAAGTCAACTTACCAAAGCAACACGACTATTCAGCACAGTTTCAATTCCTTCTAATCTTGACAAAGCCTGCCCGACAGCTTTTGTGTGATGCGATCGCTCGATAAGAACTGCCTACAAAATAAATGCTGCTAGTATCTCTATCAAAGCAAACCTCTTCAACTTTCTGATTGTGTTCGATTTCGAAGAGTTGACGCTGAGTGCGAATCACCTAATATACACAATAAAAGGTTAATAACATAAACACACTTGTTCAAGATGTTCAGAATGCGCTCCAGCGGCTCTCTTCAAGCGATCCTCAAGTTCTACCTCCCAATTTGAACGAGTCGACAGCACCTGAAAGAAAATTTAAAATTATTTAACCACTTGTGATCATATTTCAACTTCAATTGCTAAATAATAATACGACCAAAACCAACTTGTTTCTCGACTTCCACATCCTTTTGTGCCTCCACTCGCTGTAGTTCGATATGTAGCGTTTCTTGAGCAATTTTTTCATCGGCCACTCTTTGTTGTTCTATGGCTTTAGCGATGTGCTGTTCTTCTCGGAGCTAAAATACTATGTAGGTCGATATGCGCTGAAGAGTGTACCTGTTGCTCAGTCAGTTGCCTCCTCAATTGGTCAACTCGAAGATGTGCGTGAGCAATCAGCGCATTCAGCTCATCCTGAAATCCTTTGTAGGCATTGTTAAAAAGCAACCACACCTCATTTAAATTCTTTCCCTTTGCTTCAAGGTCTACAGCCGGCAGAATACTCTTTACTTCAAGAGCAAATTGTTGACGAGAACGAGCAATCAATTCTTTGTATTGGTTTAGAATTGTCGATTCTTGTCGTGCCTGAAATTTACAAGATAAATTAATGAAAATACGTAAGTTTCTGCTGATTTGCGATTTATTAACTTTGGCATTCAGATTGCCCACCTTGTGCACCAAGTTATTTAATTCGTCGAGTTGATGTTGGAATTTGTTAGCGGACTCCGTAGCATTGATAAGGAGAGGATTGGCGAGGGTGCTTTGATCGGATTTTCCTTCAGAAATCACCTACGCAAGTCATTAACCATGAATCACCAATTCACTAACTGTTCTCAAAACGTCAATTTGATTCCGTCCATCGACTTCCGTTCTTGTATCAACCGCCGACAGTCCCTCAGCTCTTTGCAACGCTTGCGTCACCTAGAAGTGCAAATACTTAAAAGCCCACTACAAAATCATACTTTTTCCCAATCAGCGTTAGGTCCATCATCAACGGTTTTCTTCAAACAGGCTGCATGATCGTTGATTGCCTAAATAAAAAATAGTTGAATGTAGGTAGTTATCGATTTCAGCAAAGAATTGCGCCAAATTTCATCAGTTTCCCAACCTGCTGTGAAACCGAAAAAAAACGACTTACCCGAATCGTTTGCAATTTCGCCTCACTAGCCGTTTGCACATGTGTTTCAGCAGCTCGTAAGGCAGCAATCAGCCGATTCTCCAGTTCTAAATTTATTAAAACTCATATCACTCTTAGATATAATTGCTCAACTTACGTTTATTTCTAATCTTCACAAGCTCTTCGCTGGGCTTAGTATGCACAAGATCGGCATTTTTCTTGTGAACCTAAAAAATTGAAACGATAAAAAGGGACAATCAGCTCACATCAACTGCATCCACTTCAACCGCCGGTTTCTTGGCAACTGGTGGCGGCTTGTGGACTTCTAGTGGCGGTAACACCTATAAATTCAAAGCTTTTACACAGAAATTCATTAACAAACTTTTTCTTTCGACTTAATTGCAGCAGGTTGTAAAGTTGATACTGGAGCAGCTGGTAGAGCAATCCTAAAATGAAAAGCTTAGTTGAAAAAAAACAAAAATTTACTTATGATGTGGTTTCCCAATGATCGCATTGAATACATCTTTCGTTTGAGGGATCGTTGTCTCCACTTTGTTTCGGAACTCGGGATCATAATAGGCGTATCCAATTGTTCCTCCCGCAGCAACCGTCGTTAGTCCGAGCATCCACTTCAGACCGCTCCCGCTTTTGCTAAAACAAAGAGTTATAATTTTTCGAATGCAGAATGCAGCTTTACTATTTGCGAGTAATTAACGCGCTAGCAAAAAATAAAAATTTTTACCCAGTAGTTCGCGAAGGGATCGGTGGAGGAATGGGAGAAGGTCCGGTCGAATTCGAGCGAACCCATTTTGCTCCACTACGCACCGACTCTTTCTAAAACAAACAAAATTAAAACCTGAAACTTTTGTGGCTTTAACTACGCTATAATTTAAGTAGCTTAATGAATAAGCAATTATATTTGATCATAGTTAAAACTCTCACCGTAGCAGCACGCAACATCCTTTCCGTCTTTTCTTCTTCTGGCCTATCCCTCTTCTTGTCGGGATATGATTACCTGTAAATTTATTCATTAAATACAGTTACTAAACAAAGACAAATCCAAAAATGGACATTTAACTCTTATCATAGCTAGCTCTACCAACGCATTTCCTATTCGCAAAATTAACCAAACAGGAACACAAAAAAAAATTAAAAACAAAATTTTACATATCACGAATGCTACCAAAAATGACTTTTTGCAGTTTCGTTTTAATGATGAGCGTGTAGGTAATCTGGGTCGAGGTTCTTCATTTGTGGATCTATAACGAGCTCCATGGCGTTCCAGTTATCGTACCACAGCTCTTTCCACCAATACTCGTACCATTTCTCAGGTAACACGTGGAACGTCCTCCAGTTGTCCATTCCTGCCATTTCATCGCCTTTCTTCAGATTGTATCCATAGGCGTATGGTGACTTGAGCACTTCTTGTCGCATTACTTGCAAGAAATGACCGGCATCTCGAGGGTTGATGTACAACTCGCCAACGTCATGTGTTTCAATTCCATCAAAGGCATAGAAGTGGGCGTTGCTCTTGGAAGTGACGTATTGTCTCCAGCCATTCCAGGTGATCTCATCGACTGGAGCATGCCACTCCTCAAACACATCTCCACTGTGCCATTCGAAAAAGTCCAGATCAGTGGCCTCAATGTCTTCAACCACACTGTCAACATCTCCCGGTGTCGACCAGTCAAATGCAAGAATTTTCGAATGTTTTCGATACTCGCGGAGTGAATCCTTGTACGATTCCTCGATCGTTCCCAAGTACTCCTCATCCAGACAAGCAATTTCCTCAACTTTGCCTCGTTTTCGGATGTTCTCCATGCACTTTGCCACTGGGACATCCAAATAGATGACAAGATGTGGCCAAAAGTTGAGCTTTGGTAAAGCATTCTTCCGCACAAAGTAGTAGTACTTGAAGAACTCGTGTCCGATGTAGTTCTTGGCTCGCATTGCGTTCGCGAAGACGAAATCCGAATGGGGAGCCCTCTCCAATACCACTCCTTGTCCCGTATTCATGATGTGAGCCAAAGCGTTGAGATATTGATCGAATCGACACCGGAAGATTCTCTCTTGCATGGCCGCCGACAGTTCATCCATTGGATTCTTGTAGAACATCTGCATATCGGGAATGCGGAATCTCTTTGGAAACAAGTGATAGAACTTGCGAAGATCATTCCCGTATCGATCAATGAGCACATCGTCCATCTTGAACTCGGGCATGTGATAGAAGCCGAGTTGATCAGCCAATTGACGAGCAAGAGACGATTTTCCGGAAGCGACGTTTCCCTCAACAACGATGAGACGTGAATTCTGCGTGAAACGGTCCTGCGTGCAATCGAATGGCGCATCCGTGTATTGATATCCTTTATTCTTGTAGTCCCATGGTTGAGGGTAGTTTTCCGGGAGTTGAAGGATCGATTTGTGGACGATGGATCGCATCTGTTGTTCGCCACCCTTCCATCCTTGTTTGAGGGCCCCCGCTGGCGCGAGAAGCCGCCGAACCGCGAGCGAACTCACTCGGTCATACACCACCATTCGCCCTGAAAAAAATGAAAAGATTAGCAATCGAAAAGTTAAGAAGAAAAAACCAAAAATAAAGGCGTTAATCAAAAATTATTCCTGTAAAAAGTAACAACGATCTCTTATACCTTAATATGAATCTTTTTGTTCTACCAGCAAAATATTATCGATTCTGCAAAATGTTTTCCAATAACTTTTTGAGCGAAAGATTCAATCTTTAAATGAGTACAAGAACAAATATAATGTTTTCCATTTGTTTGTACGACACAAAAACGAAACGAATCAATCCTGAAGAGCAAAGAAACGCAATAATACCAAAAACGTTTTTGGCAATATGGAGGGTACGGGAGAAAGGGCGCAGAATAGAATGCACCTTTTTCACCATAACAAAATTTTTGCAATGTCTTCGTTTCATTCTGTGGTGTAATTAAACTTGCATTTTTGGTGGCTTCAATCTTTCTAAGATTTAATCATTTGTAGCTGATAGTAAACTTAACCAAATAGTCATTTGACTTTTGCAAACCCGACATCTGAAAATTTCTGGTAGAGTTATTGCACTGAATCTGTGATCAAAAAAGCAGAAATTTTTAAAAACTGATTGACATTGCAAAAAAATAAAAACACAACAAAAAATATAACTCGAAGCGTTTTTTACATGACTGAAGAGGGGCCAGCTGCAACGGTGTCCGCCATTGCCGCGAACTAAAGTTTTCAGTTAAACAAGTCTCATAGGATTTCAAGACTATTCTGCTAGGCACTTATAAGGCTTAAAATATGTTAAAAATGCATTAGACTGCTAAAATCCTACAAAAGATTTAAAAAACTAACGCTCGACTCATCTCTCATTTTATCTACATCAATTTGCACGTCACCTTTCCCCTTTCTTCCGGACTCGGATCACTGATTGTCACCATTGGAGGAACTCTGTAAAACAATGAGCATCTTTTTATTATGATCTCTTTCAGTTATTTCATAATTTTCTATTCTTGCTACCAGTTTTCCAACTCACATGCTTTTATTCATCGCTGAATCGATCGCCTCTTTTGTGTCTGGAGCCTTTGCGTCTGGCTAAAAAGGAGTTTTACACTATACTTTCAAAGTGTCCCCCTTGCCCACTTAGCTGAATATCTTCTAGTCCCGTGGGGAATTTCAAACAAAGGGGGCAGCTACGAAAAAGCTACGCAGAAAAAGGAGCGGGGCTTCGTAGCTTTCATAGGTATCCATTTGTTTGAATCTTTACACAAAATTAAAAAATGTTCAACTAAAGCTTAAGGGGACACTTTGAAAGTATATTTAACACATGCACGACAATGGGGAACACGGGTGGTCCCCATGTTATCTGGCCCCCGGGACGACCCAGTTGTTACAATATTTTGTGGTTCCTTGTGCTACCCCATCGGATAAATTTCTTCAAATTCAAGTCCTTTTCGATCTCTCTTCAGTTACTTGATCTATAGGTATCTTCCAACGTTTTGATAATAAATAAAGTTCACATTGGTCTTGTAGAAAATTTTATAGGAGTAACTAAAGGCCACGATGAGATTCTAAGGGAAAACTTTTTCCTAAACATCCAGTTGACTTGTTTTCAAACATAAAATTAAACCAAAAATCTTTCCAAAATCAAACCAAAATAAAATTTTTAAAAAAATCCAAAATAGTTTTCGTACACAAAAAGGTTGCGTTTTGATCAATTTGATCAATTTTGAATTTGAATTTTGATCAATAGATCGATTTTTAAATGTAACCAACTCTAAGCTCTTGAACGTTTTCCGATCTTTGGTAGCCCCTTTAAAATTCTCTGTTTAACCGATATGAACTTATTTTATTATCAAAACGTTGAAAAATATCTATAGATCAAATATCTGAAAAGAAATTGAAAAAAATCTTGAATTTGAAAAGAGTTATTAATTTTTTTGATACGAAAACCCTCAAGGTTTTCCTTTTTCACCCTGATTGTGCGTTCTTTTCATGTCGCTCGTAGGAAAAAGCGGCATGAAATCGTCTTAACCGTCTTCTGCCAGTCATAACCGAAAAAGATAGGTTTTTAGTTTGACAAAAAATACGTTATTTAGGCGCCGGATAGAAATAATGAAGATAGTAGTAATTCTGAAATCAGCACCCTTGAAAACCCCCAGGTACAAATTTTGAGAACCACAGCTATCATAGAGCACCGCCGTCCGAAACGGCAGCCGAGCAAAAGTCGCAAAAGTCGGCAGCCGAGCTTACTTCGTCGCAAATATATTAATAAACGGAATACGGACAATCGTTTTGTGCCTTACAAAACACAAAAGCTACCCGGTAATTTGGCTGACGCCTTGGGTTGAAGTGGGCGTAGGCAAAATATCCGAGAGTCGAAACTGTCGCCGCTCCTGCCAAGAACTTGGCCGTCTCACCGCTGAAAACTTTTAACATGCTTAATTAGAAATACTGCGGTTCAACTTTTGTCTTACAGCATGTCAAGAATAGTTCACTCACATCATTGGCGGTTTCCCTCCAGGTGGATCTGTCTTTAGTGGAGGCATTGTCGGTCTCTCCTCTCTCATCGTTGTACCAACTCTTCTAGTTGTTGATTTTAATAGGTTTGATGGCTTCTAGAATACTTTTTGTTACTGTTAGTTATCCTTTTCGTTCTCAAGATTTGTATCGGATGTTCTTGAAATTTTGAATTGGCTGCAAAACTGAAAAACTCACTGGTGTAGCGCGAAACATGTTTTGTTTTTCACTGAAAGATAAACTAGTTTGAAGTTTAAAGTTAACTTTTCAAGATCAAAACGCCAAATGGATCGTCTTGGAGAAAAACAAAAAAATCTTGCAATATTTATTGAAGGAGTGAAATGGAACAATTACACAATGGATAGGAATGCGTTTGGGGAATGCAGTAAAACGATAAAAGATAAAAGGATAAAAGAATTTGTTTAGGGAAATCACATAACATTTACAAGGTGAGCATCAAATGCACTTGATTTTGATGAAAGGATAGTACTTTACTGCTGTCTAGTAGCGAGGTGCCTGAAATGATTTTCACTATTGTTTGACCACCAAACAGTTTCTGTTCCATTCAATCACTAAATTGCTTATTTTCACCTTTTTATTTCTTGTTCACCTGTCCACTGGATGGAGTGGCCGTTCCCGGTCCTCCCTTTTGTCCTTGTTGTGGATTAGCTTGATTCTTTCCCGGTGCCTTTGTCTCTTCTTTTCCTTGTTCTTTTGCTCCTTCTTCCTTTGCCTTCTCGAGTTTTCCTTCATTTGATGAAGCCTGAAATGATTTGTCGATGATTTGAGTAAGCTAGCATCTTTTACAAACACTGTTACCAAGCCTAAGCCTAAGTACTATCGCTTAAGCCGTCTACGCTTATTTCCTTGCCAAATCTTTTGCAAAGTTTTCTAAACCCACTTTATGCGAGAATGGTCGATAGTAGGCCAGAGCTCCTCCACCGGCCAAAGCAGCAGCCACAAGACCATAGAAGGGAATCTGATTGGGGCTTCTAAAACAGTTATCTTTTGTGGTTTGCCAATGACTAATAAGGTCATATAACTCTAAAAATGTTACTTTAATTTTTCACTCACTTCTGCAATCCATCATTCTTGAATGGAGCAGACATTCCTTGATGTCTTGTCGAAATGGCAATAATTCTTTTCTAAAAAGTTTTTAGATATTCTAATTGCAAATTGTACCAACCACGGGATTCATTTTGTTGATTTGTTGATTTGAAATATATCTGAAAACTCATGAATGAGTTTCTTTGAATGAAAAGATAAATACAAAGACACAATTGAGTTGAAAATTTGGAAGGAGTCAGGGAGCAGAAATGAGAACTAACAGATAAGATAGTCAATCTTTACAAAGTAAGTTAGATTCGAATCTTTTAAAAAGTATAAAAAACTATAAAGGACTTGTATAAAGTGTATTTTAAAAGCATTGCTTTGAAGAATAAGATTTGAAGAATAGTTTGAAATGGTTTCCTTTATAAACTTGACCAACTACAACACAAGTAGCAAGGATTTGGTCTAAATGAAAATAAGATTAACACAAATTGTTTCTATCATCATCGCAAACATTTAGAAATGAAAACAGACAAGAATTTCTTCAATATTTTAAAAGATTTTTAGGAAAAGGGGGATAGGACGAGAGAAAGACCACCTCGTAAACAGCTCTCTCTCGAAAAGAGAAAAGAGAGAAACCGAAAAATGGTCCGAAAGTGCAAGACAACAAATAAGTACAGAATGGGTGATGTCTGTGAGGAAATTTCCAGACATTCACAATGAGATGTTTTTGAGTGATTGGGAAATAGTTGACCTATAGATTGATCAATTTCAGAAACAAACTCTCGATCCATTTATTGTTGCTATTTTGATTCGGTTCAAACACAAAGAGCACTCCATATGGGAAAAATAACCCTTTACATCAGTATCCCTAATGTTTTTCTTTGCTAATTTCTTTTGGAATTCCTTCGGCTCTAACTTTTTTTCGGTTTTCGGTTTTCGGTCTTCGGCTCTTCGGCTCTTCGATTTTAATTCGGTTCTAAGCCTACCTTTGCCTTTGCCTTTGCCAAGTTAAGATAGTCATCAAAACCGAGATATTTGAAAATAGCTTTATAAAGTAATAAAATTAAAGAGGAATATGGTAGATCAATATGAAATCAAGCAAGTATCAATAGGGAAATGGTTGAGTTCTTCAAAATTGCAAGGTGTTTTAAATCTCTTTTGTTCTTTTAATACTCTTTTGTTTTCAAGCTCGTTAGCCCATTAGCCCATTAGCTCAAAGTTTTGCTCAAATCAAGTCTCTATGGTTTAGGCGCAATTGCTTCTTTTTGCAATTTTCCTGGTGGTATGTATTTGCTTTTAGTACTTGCCACAAGCAATTATGTGTGTATTTTTAAATGGTAATGACAATGATAAGGTCTTTTCTCAAGCTTAGCTACAAACTATTATTTATTGAACTCAATACAATATTTACACGATTTCGTTATCTCCAAATCAGTTCACTCACGAGCAGCTCGATCCACGGCCAAAGCGGGAGAGGTTCTAAAGTTGTAGTATTACACAAGACAAAACTTTTAAGATCTTTGTTCAGTTACAGTAAGCTTTGATTCAAATTTACATCTCAATTCCTTATTTCCAAAAGCTCTCACTTGTCAATGCTGTGCGAGGATGGCTTCAACAAGTTTTGATTGGGCTCATCACGGTTCTGAAAAAGGAATTATCCGAATGAGCTTTATTGCAACTTGACTATTGACTATTTACCACTTACTAGACTAAATTCTGAAAATTATAACCTTGCTGACCTCCAAGTTATAGCCTTGCTTTTACCGCTGAAATGTCAGAGTCAAAGTTCCTCACCATATGCTTCGGCTTCAGGTAATTGTAGGCAATGATTCCACTAGCAGCCACTGTGGCTAATCCAAGATATTGAGTCATGTTTGGTCCACGGCTAGAATAACATTTTGGATCATATATTAGGCAAGTTTTAAGGCATCATATATTAGGCAAGCTTAACCCACGTTGTCATTGTTTTCTCCTTGAAATCATGAAGAGAGATTCGGTGGGCTGAGAGGCAAACTGACGAATAGATTGCACACCTTTTCCAACGGATTTTCCCTGGAATTGAGTCACAAATATATCTACCAAAAAGTTAAAATAACAGTCTAGTACTGAACAAAACAATTGGGATCCATTCAAATTGAATTCCAATCTAAAATTGAACTCACAGTTGCACGCGAGAACATCGTCGAGGCTTTGAAAGAAAGAGATCTGAAACTTTATGCTGAAATTTTATGATAAAATTTTGAAAATCTAGAAAAAGAGGTGGCCAAATCTAGAAATTGCAAGTAAATTTTAGCTCTGTAAGCCTCAAAAAAAGATTTGATGGTTGTTTTCACGGCCTTGCAATGCACTCTCAAAAAAAGGGCACAATTTCACAAACGAACATGTTCGGTGACCAATTTTTTGAATGAAAATGGCAAAAAAATTTTGCACTTACAAAGCAAAATGAACAAATATTCTTAAATAAGTATCAGAAATGTCAAACTTTTTATAAAAATCTTTTCGCCTTTCGGTTCCAGAAGCTCAAGCTTAAGCTCAAGCTCAAGCTCAAGCTCAAACTCAAGCTCAAGCTCATTGTCAAAGCTTTCATTGTAAAACTCCTTTCTCTTTGGTGTTTATAAACATGTATTGTGGTAGATTTTTAAACTTTTATTCAAAATTTCATCGAAAAGGAACTCTGCTTTATCTTGTACCCAACGATAGCGCCATTTGAAGATTTTTCAGTGCCGGGTATTGTCTCGCTAACTGAAAAACATTGTGTGCTCATTACGCTGAAATACACCACGATTGTTTAAGGTTTTCTTCTATGATTTGTAACAAAGATCATACCTTATCCATTTTCGTCTTATTAATCAAAGTTGCCGTAATTCCAGCCATCAAAATCAGCGGTAACATTCTCATCAAAGGGCTTCTGCTGCGAGGAAACCTGAAATCTGATGAATCGCAAGAATACTCAAGCATCATAAACGGTTTGTACTCACATCATAAACGGATTGAAGGCCAATCTTGTTGGATAGGTTTTTACCGGAGCAAACTCTTTCCGATCGACCAACAAATGGGTATTTGCCTAGCAATTTCATGAAAAAGCTGAATAAAGCTTTGCTTTTACCGTCAATCCTTCCATTGTTTCGATCATTGCTTTCAGTGAGAATGAATGCGTAGAAAAGAGATTCACTTTTGCGAAAACTCAATATTTCGAGGTTTTTATTATCGGCAAAGAGTGCAATTTGTTGTTTATCTCTCTTTTTTCACTCTTTCACTGAAAAGACACGCTTTCACGTCAACAGTACATTGAAAATTCTCTTAGGAAATGGGAATGAAAGCGTTGGTTTGGGGGAAATTTGAAATCCGTTTGATTTTGCACATATTTGTTTCATGTCTCATCACGTTCCCCTTCCCATTCCAATCCTCTCATCGGATTAACAATTGGCAATACTGGTTGTTTTGAAACGGACCAGTAAATGATTGTGAATCATGCAAGAGTTGACGAGTTAAAACAAAAATAACTATTGGAAAAAATAACTATTAAAGATTAAGTTCAAAGAAAATAATTATTGAAGATTGGAGCCTTAACCAAATTTTAGAATAATCCTATACAACGTCTCTTCACAAAAGTGACGTCATTCGCAAATAATCGCTTTTTTGTTGCGCGACTCAAAGACTCGAACGATTAGTCATCTTTCAACTTCCGCTTCAAATCCAAGCTACTTTCCCAATTCAATCATTTACATTATTATCCTCAGCCAATGTACAGTCAAACTCAATAACTGAAAGAAATCTTGTATCAACATATTTTACAGATGGACTCGTTTATTGAACTAACCCTTTTTGAAAGAACTAAAGCATTTTTGGAGAAGGCCCGCGTCTCAATGAAATCACACATTTGGAATCATTTAGCAAAGAGGAAGAGGTTCAAAGATAGGAATTCCACAAAGTATTTCAGGTGAAAAGTCAATGAAACAAAAAATAGAAAAATGAATGGCAATGATTTGTTGAGAGAAATGAATTATATCTTAAAAGCATTGACAATGTTTTAGTCTAGCTCAATCCTTGTACTTGGTCTTTCTATCTCACGAGCAATGACAATTCAATCGGATCATTCATGTACTTGTCATACGTGTTCGGTACAAAGACTTTCACTGGAGGAAGGATATCGTAGCATTTCTCTTCTCCATTTGGCGTGCATCTGAAAGAGTTTTGAGTGTTTATATGGCTTTCAATTTTATTACAATTCCACAACCTGTTTACAATTCTACTATATTCTCATTTTTACTTTTATAAATGTTTATTTGTCAGCTACTAACCGGTGAAAGATCTTCAAATAGAACTCGGGTTGATTCTTTCGGAAAAGCCAATCCTGATCCGATGCACAGCCCTCAACTCTGAATACAAAGATACAAAACTGAGACTTATTAATAGATTGTTCATTTCATAGTTTTTAGTATTCGCTTTCATTTCTTTTCATTTTTTTCGATTTCATTTTTCCGGTTTGTTTTCTATTCAGTCCTATCACTGACTTGAACAGCCCAGTCTCATCCTCAACAATTGTCACTCCAGCTTTGTCATCGGGATCGACTCGATCAATCAGACGGAGAATCACATCGGTTTTCACCTAAAAATTCGGCATGTCGGATCAGATTTCAAAGTTTAAAAACTATTATATACCAGCTGTATACATTGATAGCTGTATTCATCTAAAGCTATCAACAATTAAATAAAACTTGAAGTTATTATGCTTTTTTTTTCCTTGTTTTTATGGTATAATGTTATTTTTCTTTCAGGAAGCTCTTTAATGGAGAGACCCGAAGCTGGCCAAATGCCCGAAAGAACGACACGCGCCCAATTTTGAACGACAAATCAGAACGATAAAAGTAGGTTTTAGCTCTATTTGTTAAATTTGAAATAAGTTTTTATAAATAATAACTTCAAGTTTTATTTCATCTGTTGATATGTTTAGGTAATGTCTATCTTGCGCGCATGCACGAATTAAAAGGGAATCGACGAGTGTGGCGTAGCTGTAGCAATGCAGGCTATTCATTGAATTCAAGCAACGTCTACCTTCACCTCTGGGATTATTATTTGACGAATCAATGTGAGCTTCTCTAACGTTTCTGCACCAAAGAAAGGGAAATGACTTCTGCTTGAGGATTTGAATCGACTGAAGCGCGAAATCAGGTTTGTTACATCAATCTTTTTGTTAACTTTGCGAGTTTAGGCCTTGTGGCGAGAGGGATAATGCCTTACAAAGCCTACCAGAATTTTAACGACTCGCTTTAAGGGAAGACTTAGCGCCGCCAACGCCAACACTGCAATACATCTAGAGGTGTGCTATCGAAATGAAGAAGACGGGTAAATTATTTCGTTATTAGCATTGGTGTTTTTTAGTTAAGAGACGCATTTCAAAGTGTAGAATTCGTTTCCATATCATTTGGCGGATGGCCTGGCCCAAAAAAACCACTTGAAATACCTGGGGTTCCTTGTCCATTTCATCGATACAATTCAAGCCAAACTAGTGGTTTGTTGTATTTTCACGGTTTACTATAGAATGTATTTTCAATTTAGATGAAGATTATCATGCCGGCCAGACAATTTCGTTATTTCGATGGGCTCAAACAAGCGTGTAAAAGTATATTTGACATCAAAACGTAAGAATTTGAAAAAATCTGACCACTCCCCCGTCTTCCCCACACCCGATTACCATAGTTAGATATTTTACCCTCTGCAAAACGCAACTGCTGAAGAGAAATCGTAGTAACAGACACACAAACCGACAGAACATTTTTCAAAATTATAATATAGTGGATATCCTTGCAAATGAAAGCTCACTCTTGGTGTTTTCGGGCCATCCTTGTCCCAGACTTCGATTCGAGTGTCGACCACCTAGAAAGAAAACATTCAAACTGTAATTCTTATAGTTAAATATGACAATTTGTTTAGTTTTCTATTATTTGAAACCTTTGTCTGATTGAATGTACATGTCACTCGTCCAATCACCCAAATACATTCAGTATTCGCCATTGAGAGTGGAAGAAATAATAAAAGAGAAAGCGGTAACAGTTTAGAGAGCATATCTGAAAAGGAAACATAAATTCTGGATGTTTTACGCGTAAATTTGGGTAAAGTGTCTAAAAAACAAAAGGTTCATAAGAAAATAAAAGTGAAAAATGCGTAGAAAAACATTTGAAAATCATTGGATTTTACGCTTGGTAGCATAATAATTGTCAATCTGAAAGATTGACAATTATTAATTCTAAAAATCACGGCAATTCTTCAATCATATGACCTGCGGCTGATCAAAAAGAAAGAGATATGCATTGATTGATTGAGAAAAAAGGAAAAGGGATTCGATGTCAAAGAAAAGAAATGAACAATGAGAGAGAAAAGAGGTGAGAAACGGGGGACAAGGGAAGAGACCCCAACATCCCCTTGCATCACCCTTGCCTCTCTTTTCATCCAAACACTCCGCCCATTCCGGTTCCTTTTTTTTAACACCGGTTCCTCCCCAACAAACAACGAAATTTTGAGTCGATCGGACCGATTTTTCTACAAGTAATGGAAAGAGATTTGTGCGATAAAAAATGTATTCTAGCGTATTCTAGAAATGTATTCTAGTTATACTGCAGATCAAAATTAGTTTGTTTAGTCTAAAAGTACCAGGCGTTGTTTAAATTCATTTTAAAGCTCATTTACCTCTTTTTCACAGACAATTAAGCATAAGTTTCCATGTTTTCAGAAGAAATATGTTATTGTCTTTGACCATTGTTGAGCAGTTTTCAGAAAAGCACCGGGCAAGAAATGGCGAAGAATCAGAAATGGCAATGGAAGATTGACATGAAGAAATTGATGGTGTCGTTCATGGGGCAAAAATCGGATGAAAAAAAAGAAAAGGAAAAGAGGAAGATGAATGAAGATAGCCATTTGTCTTCTTTTTATCCATATCCACATTTCCCTTCTTGCAAACCAAAGATGATGCCCGGAATGGCACTTCTCCGTGAATTCCTTGTTTTGAATCTAATATAGGATTTGATTTTTAGTGACTTTTCTTGTAAACTACCAGGTTTAGTCTCTTTTCAAATGCACGATTCTCCCTTGAATTCATCATTTTTGATCTCTGAGCAAGCCTTGAATTTGCCTTTCTTTGTTTTTTCTTCATTTCTCTCCATCATCCTTTTTTTCCTTTACGATCACCCAATGTGTAAAAGCAAAATTGTTTTTCGATTGCTCTTTTTGGCTGAAAAGCAAATATCAAGTAGAAAGACAAATGTTATGACGTCTTAGTCTTAGTCTTAGTCTCAGATCTGATGGGTGCTTACATTTTAGGATTTTAAAGGCCAAACATATTTGAAATTTCCGATTTTTTCAATTCATCTTGAAAAATTACTGTAAGATCTTTAATATTTCTGACTCATCATTCACCTTTATGAGTTTAATACTTGATAAATATTTTCTAAAAATATTCAATATAACAAATGAGCCACCAACACGCAAAGTAGATCCCTCATTTGGATGAAGGGCCTCCTTTCTTCTTTCTCCTTTCTCCTTTCTCCTTTCTCCTTCCTCCTTTCTCCTTCCTCCTTTCTCCTTCCTCCCTTTCTTCCTCATTTTCTTCTCCTTTCCACCAATATACGGATCACATTTCATTCACCTTCCCTTTTCATAAAACTCTTTATTTTTCATAATATCAATTATATAACTATGATTTTTGTTATGATTATTTTATCTGAATTTGTTCTTGGTACTATGGGCAGCAATGATTTGAAAACTCCCGCACACTTTTGCAATCCAAAATTTCTGTTTCATTCAACTGAAAATCTCTCGATCTCACCCAATCTTTGCACCTCAACAAGTCATCGTAAACATTTACCCGCAAAATTTCTGCAATACTTAGCTACTTTTTGTCATGCTGGAAGAAAAATGAAATCCAGGAAGGAAAAAAGGAAAGAAAGGAAAAAGGAAAGAATATGAGCCTCATTATGGCCAAGACGAATAGCTTTTGAAGGGAAATAAGAGGGGTTTAGGGAGAAGATATTAACTAAAGACTTGAAAAGAGTTTGGGAAAAGAATTGACTCGGAGAAGAGCTAAGGAAAAGATCCAATAAATGCAGGGAGAATAATTGTGGCTGAGGAGAGTTTGGGGGATAATCTGGGGAAAGAATAGGAAGTTATGGAAGGAAAAGGAGAGAAAAACAAAGAGATCCCTTTCACTGGCAGTCATTTTGCGCAGTTATTTTCCCATCTCTCTATGCCATCCATCGAGTGAAGGGAATGGCTATTGAGAGGAGACCTCTCCTCCCTCCCTTTCCATTCCCACTCTGTCCCCCTTGAGCCCCTCCCTCCCTTCTTCCCTATCATGACTCCTGAACCCCTTCAGTGGAAGAAAAATGAGCCCCACTCAAAAATAGAGCCCTTCTACCTCTGACACTAACTGCTTTTTTATGGTTTCTGATAGTTTGTCTTTCAAATCCACTCATCTTCACTGGACTCTAATTTTTCTTCATAAAATTGTTTGACTGTTATTGAATTGTGAAAAAGCTGAAATCTTTTCCAGACTCTGATATGGAAGCATTGACAAGTTAATAATCTCGAAAAAGAGCACTCGTTGATTGCTTTTCTTCCCAAATTGAAGCAAAGTCAAATTAAGGGAAATCCGATTATCGGCAAAGATCCTGGTTCATTGTATTTCTTCTTTATCACAAAAATCAAAAAAAAAATTTGATAAATTTGATAAATTTGAAGATTTCTACAAAGTTTTGCTTTATTGTTTGCAGCCATGTTAACTCCGCCCCTTTTTCGGTCCGTTTGCCGTTGGCAATCTACGAATTTTGCTCCTATCTTAGCTGGGTTTATTTGAAAACATTGAATTTGCTTTCATTCGATAGAAAATTGATTTCGAGTCGAATGAAAGTAAATTCAACGTTTTCAAACATTCAAACAAACCCGGTTAAGATAAGAGCAAAATTCGTAGATTGCTAACGGCAAACGGACCAAAAAAGGGGCGGAGTTAACATGCCTGCACCGCCGACCGACAAATGGCACTAACTGATCGAGGTCAACCATCCAATACCGATCAAATCCTAGCAACGCATCCCAGGCCTATTGCAAGGTCTAGTGCCATTAACATGGCTTGGTGTTTGGTAGAGATGGTGAAGTTGGTAGCTGGGTTTGTACCGAATGTTCTATGTAGCCGAATGTACCGAATGTTCTATGACTTTTCATGAGACAAGCTCAGAAATCCCGACAATTCGATTTTTCCTGCACATTACTCTTGATTCTCACCGAATCCGGAACTCAAGCATCCATTAGATTGTTAGATTGAAGGAGGAGAGGGGAAGGCGTTGATTGAGTGACTCTCAGATCCTCTTCCAGCCAGCTCCCTCTCCTACCCTTTCTACCCTTCTTTTTTCTCCCAGTTGGGTGTCGTGTCGAAAATCAGATTCCCCTCTGCCAATTCTGCAATTTCTTTTTTTCTCTATCCAAACCGGAAGCAATGTCGCGTCCAAGACTCCACATTTCCCACCAACAAAAAGCCACTTTTCGACGCATTTTGAGTTCATTTTTATGAGTATCGCTTGCAAGTTTGCAAAAATTCACGGAACTCTTGAGTCAGTTTTTCTTGAAACTTTTAAAACTAGTCAACATTTCCTTTTGAGTCGAAAATGCGTCCAATTTTTGGTGTTTTCCCATATAGCCATTCTCCTCTCTTTCCCCATTCCCCTCTCTTTCTCCCCCATTCTCTCCTCAAATCTTTACTGCTTCCATTTATTTTTTGCCCAAATTGCACACATCTTTGACTTTATGCACACAATTGATCCATTTGAACAAAAGAAAGAAATTCGAACATTTTTTTTGCTTTTCTTTTCTGGAATTTCTCACGGTCGACAATTATTCAAAAAAGCTTCAAATCCAGATTTCAAGTTTGCCAATCTTCTTGTCAAAAACTTTTTCTGGCAAAATTCTCTTTTTGCTTTGGTCGTTGAATCAAATTTGTCGGCTTTATTCGGCTAAGATTTTCTTCTTTTCTTTTCCTTTCATAACAGAAATAACCCTATTCCTTTTTGCGTTCTGAATATTCATAAAGTGAATAAAGTTTCTTTTCTTGAAACTTCTTCAACTCAGTTGATCAGAGTTCTATAGCTTCTTCAACATTCAGTGCCAGTCGTAGAGTTCACAGCGTGATTTTGATAGGCTAGACTGGTATCATTGATATAGACCTTTTTATTTCTCTGCAAATCCATCGCAAACTCTTTGACGAAATCTCTCCTTTTGTTTTGTCCCGTCAATGAATAAATCATCAAAAAACTCATGACTTTTGAGGGGAGAACAAAAGGTAAACGAGTCACAAATAGAGTCATTCGAACGGGAGGATGTCTGGAGGGAATGACACCAAAAATCTTGTCTCTATTCAAAGTTACAATTGCTTGAAATGATTTTGAAATACTTTTATTCAGTTGTCTTTCTTTATTTTAACGACAAGAACTTTTGTTTTTGACGACAATCATTGCAAAGTGCTGACTAGCGAAAAGCACAAACTTTCCGTGAACTTTCGTTTCCGGATCACATACATCTTACTAAATCGAGCATGGAGATTCATAATCTGAATTCATCTCCCAAATAAGCTTGCAAACGCGTAAAAAAAGAAAAAAAACCAAAAACTGAGAGCGGGACCGAACCCCGACTTTAAGACCGAGAGGCCGTCCCACGTCCCATAACTTTTTGTAGAGTTGAGCAAATTTGATGATTTTTGCATCAAAATGTTCGTAAGAGTCTCTAGAATAAAACTTATTTCTTCGTTTTTGGCTCTAGACCCTCGTTGTCGAGTATTTCGTGCTTTTCCCTAGTGAGCTTTGTTTTGAACGCTGTGTTGCGCGCATTGTTAAATTCTCAAAAGCAAAACAAGTTTCATTTAAATTTATCGAACTTTTAACGATTAAGATCTAGACCGAGCCTTGAGTCCATTTTACTAATTGTTCGATTGTGGTTGTCACGTTCAATTTGTCCTTCATCTTCCCTCTTCAGCCAATCCATTTCCTTCAAGTCAACAACACGTGCTTCTAAAGCATTTATCCCACAAAATCTCCGTCAATTTCCATAAACAATCTACAAAAAAGCAAGCTGTGCACTCTTCTTCTCACCTCTTTTCCATCGAAATCCCATCTTTTTCAAACCGCAGCTCACGCTTTATATTGGACTTTGACTAATCCGGATTTGTATTCATCCGCTTTTCTTTCTTCACAAATATGATGGAATCGATCGGAAATAGAAATTGACCTGCTCACTAATATTCCCTTATTTATTTCCTAACAAAACTATTGATTCGTTTAAAACTGTGGTGGAAAGGAGAATCGGGAAGAATATCGAGTAGTGAATACAATCAATATCAACAACAGATACCGCCTTGCAATGATTTGGTGAGTTTATTTTCATGTTCTTCTGTCGCCTAGTTCATTTTTCAATAAACAAAATAACAATGTAGGCTTTTAGTAATACAATTTCTAATCTAAATGCAGACTAGTGACGGAATACAGTTTGTCAACGCTTCTTTTTGTTTTTTTTGATCAAAAAATGTTTTTTAATGTTCCATTTCAATAGCTTAAGCTAGAACTAGGGCTCATTTGAATATCTTAAGCTAGAACTACAATCATCCTCCAATCCTCCAATCCTCCAATCCTCCAATCCTCCAATCCTCCAATCCTCCAATCCTCCAATCACTTCTGTTTGCCTTCAACAAATATACGAATGTTTATTGAATTTCTATGGGGATAAGAGGAAGAAATATTCTCAAAAAAGGCGAAAAGCTGAAGGGTTTTTCTGCAAGTGAGAGACATTGAATAGAAAGGAAAAAAGAGAAGAAGGGCTCACCCTCCGAACTAATTAGGATTGGCTGACTGAGCCATTCGATGGGGAAAAAAACAGGGGAAAAGATATCCTTTTAAATGAGTGAAAAGGAAAGATTCACTTCACGGATACGGGTTATTTATTTGAAATAATCAATACAGAAGCATGTTAATAATTTGTTTCAGGCCCAATTTCTTTCTATCAATTTGGTTTTGTTGCTTTTCAGATCTGATACCAACCTTTCCTCGCAACTTTTGATCTGCAAAAATGCAAATTTCCTTGTGTAAACTTTGTCGTAATGAGATACGAGTCTTTTGCGCATTTCTCTGTTTTTCTTTCTTCAAATGAGACAAAATTGTTTTATTCTCTTGTCGACATTTCCGAGTAATTATCCTAAAAGGATAGCCTTTGTCCAGTTCTTTCCTGGCAAAACATTCACCTTTCCTTCTTTTCCAACTAATGATCTCGATTATCAAGGATTCTGAGGTCATGAGGAAATAACTTCCGCTTACTTCATAATAAAGTACGATTCAAAATCGATTCTCAAGCCTTTTTGTTGAGTAAACTTGCTCGATTGAATCTCCCTGCCTTCACTGTTTTAGACTTGCTTTATGAAGCCAAACCGTACTTGATTTCATCGACTATTTATGTAATCTATTCATTGCATTACTCATTTCGATCTAGGATGTGGCAATGATGAGTTATGGGGATGGTGATGATCCATCCCCCTCCCGACTTCCTTTTGACCAACCGCCTTGGTCATCTAATGGAAATAATCCCGGAAATTCACCAACACATCTAGGAAATCCCGATGATTGGGCTGGTGAGTGGAAAGAATTAAAGAAAGAAAGGAAAAGAATTTCCTTTGTTAAAGTTTAATATTTGGGTGATTTTTGTTCTTAACGTATCTGACATTCAGGTGTACCCGTATGGGCCGTTTATCTCTTCGCTGGTTGTGCTCTGTTAATTGGAGCCGTTCTATTACTCGACTATTGTGTTATACGAAGGAATGCTTTAGGTAGCTAAGGCTTGCTTTTCCACTCAATCATAAGGCGTCCGTTTCCATTTAACACAAATACGAATAGGCAACACTTTCAGGAAACACATGTTGTGCTCGATCAAAACAAAAGCGATCCTCGTCTTCAGCGCACGCAAAACGATCGACGAATATGTTGTTGAATGTACGAGATATCTGATCATGAGATCTTAATGAGATCTCTCCATCTCATCTCAATTCGCAACATTTTTTTTGAGTGAATGCGCTTGGGATCTCTCACTCTCCTTCTTTAGAAAAAAACTTGTGGTACTTGGAGAGCTTATACAGAAAAAGAATTTGCATTTAAGACTTTGACCGATGAATTTCCAATGACGGCCAAGCATTACAAATTGTATTGCAAATTTCCCTGGGATAAGATCTCCAAGTGCCGTCTCATTCACAACTCACCCAGATCATTTCCGAGTTTTCACTTCAACCGTTTTTGGTTTTATTTCATTTTCTCTCAAATGACAGCACTGTTCGGGATCTATTCTATGCTTTGATGTTGAATGATGGATTGACGATGCTTGGATGGATCTGTCTTCCTCATCTCATTCACCCACTTCACTCATCACTAATCGGCAAGATTTTCTCAATGAAATTCACTGACTTTCGCTTGTTTTTTTCTTTGATTTGTTATGAAGTGGTTTGAAGAGTTTTACAATCGATTTTAAGAGAGCTTGAGTCACAAAATCTTGTTTGTCATTGCGTGTAAAAGAGTCTGTTTGGTGCAGTGGTGAGCTGGTTTTGATTTTCTTTCACAACTCGACTAAAGCACTCTTTTCCGATCAAGTGAAACAGTTGAAAGAAGATTCTATGTAAGTACAATAAGTCTCACGATCAAAATCATGATCAAGATCATAAAACAAGTTCAGTATACAGGGTGCCCCAGAAAAAATCCACTTCGGGTCAAATCTTCAAAATATTTTCGGTGGCTCAAGGTGCTACCTATGGTGATGCAAAAATGATTCTTTTGAGGTCGGGAAATTTTGATGTTTTTTATGATTTTCATCATATCATGAGCTCTCAATACAAGAAATTTCTGAGCCACCACCCTGAGATTGCCACCACCACGGTCACCACCACCATATGGGCCACCACCCTGAGATTTTTGCCATAAAAGCGAAACTTTTTACTGGCATCATGGTATCATATTAGAGTTATTAAATAAACTAAGATTTTTAGCCAAAAACTTTATTCATCTACATTATATGATAATCTGTCATACATAATAGATTTTCAACTCGCTTTTTGTAAAGAAGTGTCCCGTTTTTCCAAGGAAACGCTGATCAATAAAGTGTATGGTTTAAATTTGTAGTTATCCTAATAGTGTTTATTAGTGTTTATAGTGTTTATATGCACCACGATGTCAGTAGAAAGCTTTAATTTTATGGCAAAAGTCTCGTGGTGGTGGTCAAATTTTTAAAATTTGACCCAAAGTGGATTTTTTTGGGCACCCTGTATATCTTGTCAGACATCACAAAGTATTTGAGTTTCATTTGTAATAAGCTAAATTTGAGGCAAACTGCATTTAGTAAGTAAAGAAATGTTTAAAATAAGGGCAATTCCTATTTTTTTTCAAGATATTTCATATTTTATTCACGTTAGCACGTTTCACTTTTTCTTAATTTACTACAAAAAAAAAGTTTTCAACTTTTTGATGCATGCAATTTGACTTTTTGATACTTTGGAATGTTTTCGCGTTCGTTATTACAAAATTCGAAGACTTTGTAAAAGACTAAACGCTGATTAAGGGGAGTGCGACAAATGCGACCTTTTTTTTGCGCACCCGAACATTTGCGCACCTTTTTTTCCGCACCTTGCCCATTAGCGCACCTTTTTTCGCGTTTTAAAAAGCTCTAAAAAGCTAATATTAACCAATTTCTATTCCAAAAGTTGTTTTTCTAGGTAATTTTAGGGCGTAGAATCGAAATTTTGACATATCAGAGCTTGTGGAAACAAACGGACGTAGTTATACAAAGAGAAAAGTCGACAATTTTCTGTAATTAGCCGTTTTGTCTTTCAAATTGGTTCCACACGCTTTGTTATGTCAAAATTTGAATTCGACACCCTCAAATTACCTAGAAAAACAACATTTGGAATAGAAATTGGTTAATATTAGCTTTTTAGAGCTTTTTAAAACGCGAAAAAAGGTGCGCTAATGGGCAAGGTGCGGAAAAAAAGGCGCGCAAATGTCCGGGTGCGCAAAAAAAAGGTCGCATTTGTCCCACTCCCCTGATTAAGTGCTTTCTTTAGAAGTTTAGCATAAGTAATTCATAAGCAGCTTTTCACAACTTTCATAAGCTCAAGAGCCTGATCATTCTTTTGAAAGATTTTGTCTGACATTTGACAATTCTAGCAATTGCTTAAAGTTTGAAATCTAGTGACAAAAAGACGATTCGTTTTTTCAGAAAATGACCCGAGTGCCTCCAATGGATCCCGAGCAGTTTATGTGTTGAATAAAGAAAAAAAATTCCCGTAATCCCCTTCATTTCATCCAATAATGTCTCATTTTCTTTTTCACTTCCATATTTTATTTCAAAGTTTCTCTTTTATCTTTTCTTTGTTCTCTAAATATCAAATACAGGGTGCTATTTCTGGAACAAATCATTATTTCTGAACGTTTTTCTATTTTATCAAGTATTTTTGCAAGGTACAGGACCAAAGGCTTGTAAAGAACTCAGTATTTTTTGTGTCAAAATAAAGTTTTTATTGATTTAAAAAAATATTCAGGCAATTAAAATCACATGGCGAGTGTTTTTGGGGGAAAAGATTGCGAGAATGGTAGTGAATGCGGAAAGATGAAAGGACCCTGAGCAAAATGGAAAACGAAAACATTCCAAATCAATTCATAAACAAAACATTTTAAGAAAGGTGACAATTTTATTGCTTTTTCATTTGTTCCCTAAGAAATTTGATCCTTGATAGATGAGCCTTTGTGTGTTCGAAAACCTCCATTGCGACCACGTCCAAGTCGAAGGTCTGATAATGAGAGATTTACAAGAAAAGCAACTATGTGGTGAATTGAGAATTAAATACCGTGTTTTCTCTAATAGTAGTGCACCCTGAGCGTCGCCTAAATTGGTCGAAATCTCGAGAACCGCTTATCAGAACCTATCGATGTGGGGTCGGAAAATGTAGTTGACGATGAGATCTAGTGGGGGATTTGAGTGTTGAGCTTCTGTGAAAAATTAGAAACTGTAAAATAGTCACCAACTCGGCTCACCGGGGTGCACTACTATTGGAAAAAATACGGTATCAGTTTGACTATTCAGTCAGCAGGTTACTTTTGTAAACTTCCCACAGTATATTTCTTCCAAAGACTTCCACAAACTTCCACAGATTATTTGAAGACTACTTAAAGTTATCACCAAGCCCAAGTTATCTCTACAAAAAGTTCTACTCACCCTTTGTCCTTCATTCTGCTCTCCATCTTGATAAGTTTCACTAAAAGATCAATTATTTAGGAACTAGAGCAGATCGAAAACTCGTGCGCCGCCGGGAGCCGAACCCGCAGCCTTTCTCTCACCGGGTAACTGTGCTAGCTATTACACCACAACGCACTCGATCTCCGACACTCCAAGGGAGTTAACTATTCACTTACTCATTTAATAACTTACTATGCATTTCCAGTTTGATCATCTTCTTGACTATCCGAGACATTGTCGATTGATTTCATATCCAAAGGAGGAACCCTGTAATGTCTCTTCTCAAGATTCGAATTAGTTAAATAAAGAGTTTTTGTATTTCAGTATAAAATAGATAAAATACAGGTAAAAGATACTAGATAACAGATAAAATTGTGACTTCCTCACCCAGGTGGCCGTGCATCTTTGTGGACGATTCTCGCGTGTTCCAATTCTTTGACCAATGTCTCGACTTCACTCTTTAACACCTCATTCTCTTGTCTGAATTTGAATCATTTCTCCATTTTCATCCACTTTCCTTACTGTGAGTTTTCCAGATTCCTATGCACCGATGTCAACTCTTTAATCAACTTGCCCACTTCTGTCTTTTCCTGAAATTGCATTCTTTCCTTTGATCAACTTTAGTTTTACCTCCAGCGTAGCGACAGCAGCTCTAATCGGTGCTTTCAATGCTCTCGTTTCTAATCGATTCACCAAATTGATCAGATCTTCCTTTGACCAATCAGAAAGTTCTGAAAAAGTGAAACCAATTGTGTGTGATGTGTGACTGTGTTCTTCTGACTCACCGTGATCATCTCCATTATGTCTTGTCTCCAAACGAGCTATCCTTTCCCTCAAATATTTATTCTCTCTTTTGAGTGATCGATACTTCTCCGCCAATCGTTCATTCTTTGCGAGAAGATCATCCAAAGATCTGAAAGAACTAGAAGATCATCGAAAGATCTGAAAGAACACAGTCATCAAGCTTGCTCACTGTGATCTCTCTTGTGTGGGTTCTCCTCCTCTGATCCCTCTCGTTTCACTGTGTCTCCTTTCACTTGCAGCTGATCGAGCTCTCACACGATCGTTCTTCAGTTTTCTGAATTATAAAAGTATTTCAAGATCTTGTTCTCTTGATGTTGATCTCCATACTCGATAACATCTTGTTGTTGTTTAATAAGTGCTTCTGATTTGATCAATCTCTTCTGAAAAGTGGCCAGAGTGATCGCTTCATTTGTGTCATACGATTCGGCCGGTTCAAACTGAAAATAAATTGGAAATGCTTAAAAAATACAGTGTACTTTTGTACTTCCTTAGCTACTAAATTAAATTTTTTTAAATTTGAAATTCTCTCACCGATTCCCTATTGAGCAATCGCTGTAAATGATGTTCTCTCTTTCCCGATTGTGCCGATAATTTCAAGAGTCTTGTCTTCAGAATTGTATTTTCTTGAACCAACTTTGCACAATTCTAAATGAAATCATAATCTGCTTGCATTTGAATATCACTCTTTTTGATTGCAATAATTGTTCCCTAGCATCATTGAGTTGTTCCATTCGGGGTGATCGTCCTGCTTTTGATCTTGCCAATGAGAAGACGGATTGAGCTGATGGGACACGATAGGCAATCATTCTAGTGTTTGCTGAAAATCGCATAATTTTATACTAAAAATTCAAAGACACAGTTCGATTTTTGAACGCTAACGTTGTGTCTTTTACTTGGAAAGGCTGACTGACTGACTGACTGACTTGACTCAGACTTGGAACTTGACCGACTTGGAAAAGCTGGCGGAAGTGTTGGTGTTTTTGATGTTTGTGGATGTCCAGACTCATTCCTCGTTCGACCACCCTTTCCACTTTTTGCTCTTGGGGCATAGATCTATAAAGAAATCTTATAAGATTTTATTCAAACAAACGAAGAGATCCGAATTTGGCTTACCTGTCTAATGGTGGCCAATCTGTCCTCAAGCATTGACACCATTGAAACCCCAACAAATGATCAGCACATCCTGGAATCTTATGAAAAAGTAAAAACAACTTCTAACAAAATTTTGAAATTTCTGAATAAAATGAATGGAGATTTCATTTTCTGAATTGATAAAAGAACATCTTAAAAGCCGATTTTCTGCCTCAATAAACCCGGATCAACAATAAAAACGGCAAGTTTTTGTATTATGCAACAAAGAGATTTCAGAAGTATTAGCTCTCTTGGGAAAGGAAAAGAAAGGAAAAGAAAAGAAAAAGAGAGAAAGAGTGGGAAGGGTTGCGTCTCCGACAAACATTTGTTGAAACCATGGAAACCAGGAAAAACTCTTTGGCTTTGGCTTTTGGAAAAGAAAGGAAAAGAACCCTTCAAACGATTAAAATCTAGTAAGTTTTCACTGTACAAGTACCTACTCCAATCAAAGGAAAGAAGTTGATTGCAGATTCAGTTTATAAAAATTGAGAGAATTGAGCCTACTATTAGATAATTTTCTTATATTTAGACTATTCAGAACTTGCAATGAATTGTCGATGTCCGAACTGAGGAGTGTGATTTTTATGTGAGCTGTTTATTTGTGTCTTGTATTGCTTTAAAACACTTTATGTTTTATTTGCTTTGTGTTACACTCAAAAATTTATTCAATCAATAACACCGGAATCACAAAATAATCGAGATATTGCTATGAACAGAGACAAAGAAAAATAGCACCATTTGATCATAGAATAAGTAGTTGTGGGTTAATTTTTGGATACTTTACCAAAATCGATAAAATATTCACTTGACAGAGTCATTTCTCTCAAATGGAAAAATGAGTTCAGCATTTTGAGGGAAAACTTACGGTGACTAAAGAGACTTACGGTGACTTTTCAGTGATAAAAACATTTGACTTGGTTCAGAGAATTACCATTAAGCAAAGGTATTGTAATTTGAGAGAACGAGAAAAAAGAGATCACCAAATGAGTGGCACTGTTTTTTTGCGAGGCAAGGTATGGATAAGGAGAGGATTGAGAAATGAATCAAAATTGAGAAATTATGAAATGAGAAAAAGAATCTTCTTTGGCATGGCTGTATTGGGAAATTCAAGCATTCAAATAGACATAAAGATTTGGACTTTATATTGATGAGCACTCGTTTTGGGGGAAATGAAAAGTGGTCGGGGTGGGTTTAGAGCAATCGATTACGGACAATTGATCGCTATTCGCTTCTGCATCACTGAAATCTTTTCATTAAATCAGAAAGAGTCTACAATCTCCAGTACAAGGTGGCTCATAATACGTGTGACGCCTTAGATGAAGGCAGCTTAAGTCGAAAATGTGTCAGATTACTTAAAGTTTGTTATAATTTCATCTCTATAACATTTGACACTACTTGCGACCTTTTTCCGAGAAAATCCTGGGTTCGCGCTTTAAAGCGTGGTAAAACTACCGTACCCATCCAATTTGCGCGAAATTTCATTTTTTTCATTTTTGTTCTTTTCATTTTATTCTTTTTGCATTTTTCTGGTGTGGTCGCGTTTGTTTTTGCAGGAAACAAAGAAGTTAAAGCTAAGTTACGTTTTTAACAGCATTTTCTGTGGCAGAAGCTTTGTTTGTAGAGTTTTTTAGACCCACTTGCTTCCTGACGATCTGCTCCACGAACTTGATGCCAACAAATGTTAAAATTAAGTGGTTTTTATCATTTTCTATGGTGGAAGCTTTGTTTTTCTGACTTTTTAGTTGAAAAAAAACGCAAAAAGAATAAAATGAAAAGAACAAAAATGAAAAAAATGAAATTTCGCGCAAATTGGATGGGTACGGTAGTTTGAATTGGATGGGTACGCAAATTGGATGGGTACGCTTGAAAGCGCCAGCCCAGGATTTTCTTGGAAAAATGTCTCGGAAAGTTTTTACACTTATGTTCCAATTTTTAGCCCGATTGGTTGGCTATAAGAAAAATTAAGGTCATTAGAAGCTCCCGTAAATAAAATCGTCTGACACAATGCATATTGTCTTATGAAACCGTGCTTAAAATGCTTTAAATCTCAAAACTCCTCCTCAAATAGTGTTTTCTGCTTTTTCTATTTTAAGGGCATAAACAAATTTTTGTTTAAACTATCATAGAATTAAATTTTAATTGCTTTAATTGTCGCCATGTTGAAAACGAGATGATGCTTATTTTGGGTGTTTTAGAGGAATCCAAAAATAACATTAGGCCAAAAGCTTAAAGCAAAAACTCGCAATTTTAATTTTATTAACCTTTTTAAAGCACTAATAACTAACTAAAATCACTGAAAAGTTTAGTGCCTTCATTTTAGTCACCACTCTTTATGGACAAAAGCATCTCCGAGCTAGACAGAGCTTACACAGCTTCTAATGGCCCTAATTTTTCTTATAGCCAACCAATCGGGCTAAAAATTGGAATATAAGAGAAAAAATGTTATAAAAAAGGAAATTATAACAAACTTTAAGGAATCTGACACATTTTCGACTTAATCTTCCATCACATAAGGCGTAACACATATTATGGGCCACCTTGTACTTACAACTAGGCCAATTTAGACTCACATTTCAATAGTTGAGCTCCTTCTCTCGGGCGTTGTTCTTGGCAATGATTGAGGAATCGCAGCAATAATTGAGCGATATCGCGGTGGAGGAGAACTCGTACAGACACGTTGAAGAGCCCCACAAACAGAATAAACTGGTGGAGCACGACTAAATGAAATGAATGAGATGAAAAGGAGATAAAGATTACCTCAAATATGTATTATTTGGTTCCATTGTTGCCCAGAGTGCCGTTTGTGAGGCATTTTGTTGTAATCGCTGTGAGAGATTGTATGTGGGAGGAGGTGGAGGAGCGAGGATTGATGGAGGAGGATCGGTGGGCATGATGAGCGGACGGGGGATACTCATTGGAGCCGCTGAAAATGGGAATTGAGTTTTCTGGGATGAACAATATCATGAACACATCTCCAATTACTCTATTCATTGAATAGGGTAATTGGTCTCAGTCTCATCTCATAATTCTCGAGAAATCTGATCTTTCTCCGCACTCTCCTTCCCTTCCCCGATTCCCCTCAGCTGTCAATTATCTTCTCCCAATCCACATCCACCCAATCACCCAAAATATCAGACTATTTGTCTGTCCTTGGTTCTTTTGCCCAATGTTTTCTTCTCTCAATGTCAAATTGTTCATCTATTCTAAATGATCCCTTTCACTAGACGAGTACAGGTGTTAATTATTGGGTTGTGACAAGCAAGTTGGCATAGATGTTTCCCCAGAACCTTCATAACGCAATTTTTTAGTCCGATGATAGTTATCTTAAGCTTGTTTGCTATAAAATCGTTTAGACGTTGCTCTTTTAGGATTTTGATTTTGAAGTGAACCGAATCGGTAATTTCTTTTTGAAATCTGTCTACCGAATTCAAATCTGACATCCAGCTGGCCTCTGTTGACATTTTGGTGAGGTTTAAAAGCAACCAGTCGGTTTTTCTTTGACTCAAGTCATTAAACCGCGTTAAATCTTAAATGAATTTCTGAATTCAGTTAAAATTTAGTGATTCGGCAATATCTATTCTATGTTTTGAGTGAATAAATAAAGGTTTTGTTGATGGTTTGTTGTGGGGATGATTCTCAAATCTCATCTACGAGAAAATAAAGGGGAATCTTTTGGGGACACCATCTGTCAATCCCCCAATATAGAAAGGGGAAAGGATATGGAAAGATTCGTCTCTTTTCTCAATGAGTGAGCGCCAATTGGTGCCAACACCCAAACCTTTCCTTTTCCTCTCTTTCCATCCCATTTATGAGGTCAAACTATCTTTTCTATATCTTTATGAGACGGATATTTAGGTTGTAAACGATTCACAAGTATCCGATAGGGAAATGTTAAGAGAGAAGAGGCAACAGAGAAAACAGCATCCAGATGGATTCTGAATCTGAAATACAAATGGTAATCTGTATCTTGTTCTGTTTTTCTTGAAGAACCTACCATTGAACTATTATTCACTAGTAAATTTGATATAAGCTCAGGAAAACCTTATAAAATATAGATTATCATTTGTCAAAGTAAATTTGAAAACAGTTGTTTTATTATTCTTTTCTTTGTAGAGTAATTTGCCGTTAACACCATTTTTATTGAATTTTGTTTCCCGACTACTCAACGGAACAACAAAGAGATCCGAACTGAAAGAGGGGCTTTTTGAGGACCATTGGAAAAGAAAAGAAAAGAGACATAGAAAGGGATATGATCGAATCAAATTTGCATACCAAATGGCCTACCCTTTGGATAGATTGGATATTGGATATGGACAATAGATTCGAGGCAAGATTGCACTTCATCTTAGCGTAAAAAGCGTTCAGCTCAAAATCTGAGCTTTAAATACAGTGAGTACAGTGAACCTGCCTATTTCCCTACAAAACCGAACTCTCATTCCTGAAATTTCCCGGCTCAAAACTGATCTTTCCATTTCTTTCTCCCGTCCAAATGCACATCTTCTCTCAATATTTCCCACATTCCCGTCATCGCACTCCAAAGAACCGATCAAAAGACATCTCTCTAATTGGGGATTTGATCCGGGCAATTGTCCATCCCAGCCATGTCTTTCCCTTTCAATTCTCTTTCCTTTCCGTGTTAACCGATCAGTCTCATTTCCTGTTAACCGCTCAAATCCTTTCACGGATCTCCTTTGCTAAACTTGTCGTGTTTTGGGATTGAGACTGTCAATCAGCTTACGATAACAGATTGTTGAGTTGATGGATCAGGCTAACATAGCACACAAATCTCTAACAAGCCTTGACTCTAGTCTTTGACTAATCTTTGATTGGTGAACTTAAAAGTTGAAATCTAGCCACGATAGCATTTCCAAAAGCCAATCTCTAGTCGTAGTCCAATTTTAGCCCATGGTCCCTAAATAATCCCAACTCATTCTACCATGGGTATTCCTAGCTGGAATGAGCGCGAATTTGCATTCATAATGTTGTTGGTCAACGAAAGGAGATTCGACTCATAAGGCATTCGACCACAAAATAGAACAGGAAAGGGAAAAGGGGAATAAGACAAGAGAAATGGGGGACACCATTTGTTGCATCGATCACTCAAAGAGAAAGGAATGAGAAGATAAGTGAGAGATGGGACACCAGCTGGAAGGGGACGGGGAATTGTGGGCAGGAAGGGAATAAGTCATCAGCCGCGATTCGATTCCCTGATGACCCCCAACAAACTGATTGATATTTTCTTACCCCTAAATGGCAACATATGGATGGGAAAAAGATGGATTCGGGTTTCAATTTGGGTTCTTCAATTCGTTAGTTACAAAAAACTGACTTGGACAATGAAATGGCAACAGAGCTGGATGTCGTTGTACACATTGGGGGAGGGTTTCATCGAAATATTCCGCTCGATAGGCTCGCAAAAAGACGGAATTCACGGGATTTCTTCCCACAACCACATCCATTGATGTCATCTTCCACGCAACACCCGATACAAGCAACAGAACTGAGCCAACCACTGAAATTCAGTTCTTCAGCATTTTCACTTCAGCAAGTTTTCATTAAAGTTTACAATAATAAGCTCTCTTTTCTAAAAGATCAATAAACGAAGCTTTTACTAAGCTTGAGTAGAGTTTCTTTCTTTCTCGATATTCTTGGCTTTTACTAGAAAGCCTCTACTCAAGCTTGCCAATTTTCGGGACTATCGGATCTTTTATACGCGCCCCGTCCCCTTCGCCATTGTCAATCTAACTTTGAGCTCAAATATCTCGGTGTTGGGCTGTTCAATTTAAATATTTTTGGTATCATTAGATACACCAAGTCTTTCTCTGTCGATTGGTACAAAAACTATTTAAATTGAATAGCCCAACACCAAGATATTTGAGCTCAAAGTTAGATTGGCAATGGCGAAGGGGGCGATGTCCCACAATCATTTTCGGTGACTCTTTGTCTCTTTAATTGAATTCTCTCAAGTAAAATCGGACATCTGCCTTCTGTTTGAGTAGAATCTTCTCAAGAACTCTTTGAAAGATACGAGAAAATGCTGTGTGATTGGCTAGACTTCCTTAGGTGGGTTTTTAAGGGTTTACAACATAAATAGGCACTCATTTTTGAATATCTATAGCAAACAGATACAGTGGTTAGTTTGTTAGGCACAGAAATCCCATAACAACGTCAAAACAACTTTGAACGCTTCGAAGTCTTTCAAAACTCAAAAACAAGGTCTTCCTTAGATTCCTCTTCTCCATTCAATAAACATTCATTTGATTTGTTCACTAGTTGTTTGTGGCAGGCTTAAGGGCAAAAGAGTAAAGGCAATCGAAAACATTCCCTTCCAGTCCTTTATCCTTTTCCCTTCATTTCCCCAGTCTGCCCAAGGCCAAATTGCAAATCTGTCAATAAGCAAAAAGTGCTTTGTCTCCCTATTGGGGAAGGTTTTTGGAGATGACATGTGACCTGGGAATTACACTTCAAATATTTCATTGAAAACATTGAAAACGGGTTTTGTCAAAAGCTTTTTAGGTAATTTCTCCCACGCCCAAGAGTCTGACTAAATTTTTTTCTGGACTGAAATTTAAAGAAAAACGAGTTGTGCTGCAAAGAGGTAAACGGGTTCTTATGGGATTTTAGTGCTTAACAAACTAACAACTTAGATTTAAATATTGAAGAAAACTCACAAATAATGAAGGCTCTCAAAGTCGGACTCGTCGTCACTAACACGAAAACGGCAGCAAAAATTGACGCGGCACCGATTCCCGAAACAACAATAATGAAAAATCGTAGCAAAGTGAGTAGATTGAATTTCGGTCCATACCAGCCCATTCCTGAGAGATTTGTTGGGAATTTACATAGATTGATAGGAATGGGGAAGTGATGGGTCAGAGCCTGGGGGTACTTTGGGCAAAGGGATCACAAAATGGGAGGATCTGTTGGGGTCTCTGGATTGGAAAGAGAATGCGGTGGAGGGGGAAAGGATCGAAGGGGTGGCACCCAGGAAATCCTATTGGGAGAAAGGAAGAGAGAAAGGAAAGGAGGTGAAAGGGAGGAGATGGCAGATGGTACCCTTTTGGAAAACGAGTGGATCAGGTCCACCCCTTTCCCCCAAGGGTACAATGGATCCCACCAGATCCCCTGTGTTCCCTCTCTTTTCACCATTTGGACTAACCATCTTACACTAATTATCTAAACCAAATTTTGAGTGGGCCAAATTGCTGAAATCACCTATCGTAATAGGGGTAGTCGAGCGTGAAAAATGAAATCTTCGACTTTATCTTTTTGCAGCAGCGAAAAAACCCACCAAACGGCTGGTTTTTCTAGTTAGATGTTTTGGAGCTGACGCGGATTTGGGGATGTTTTGGAGCTCCAGACTTTCTGTGGCTCTGGCACAGTCGGAAGCGCGCTTGTCTACGGCCCGACTCCGGGGTGTGCCATGACTTTTGCTTTTTAGAAAAACAAAATATAAGATGCATAACTACATAGAATTCTAAGCCTAACAAACTAAAAATCATGCAAATTGGCCCACGGGGAGCCGAGAACTCGCACGTGCAGACAGACAGACGGACGGACAGAGAGATACTTCCCTTCTATATATGTTACGCCCGATCTAGAAATCCGTCCGATCTAGCCTGATTCTAGATCGGACGTCCTCTCTGGAGTGAAGTGAGGGCAAACGTCTGATTTAGAATCAAGCCGACCACTCTAAATCTAAGTTTGAATCGGACGTTTGATTGATTTGATTTGATTTGATTTTGACGGACGTAACATATATATATAACGTAACATTTTGACGGATTTTTAGATCGGACGTTTGACCTCACTTCACTCTAGATCGGACGTCCGCTCTAGAGTAAAGTCTAGATCGGAAGGACTTCTAAATCGGTTTTCTAAATCAGTCTAGATCGTACTTAACATATATAGTATATTGTTCATTTTCTGAAAATGAATAAACTAGCCTTCCAGATTTCCTTCTTTCTCAGAACCTCAATTGGCTTATCAGCTTACTTGTAACCGCTTGCTGGGGCTTGAAACTTTGTCAGTCTTACGGTCCAACTTTTGAAACCATATGAATATCTGATTGCTAGATCCATAACCCTTTCTTCCCTCATTTCCTTGAGGCAATGCTCTCACAAAGAATCTCTCCCATTCTTTTCTTTTCCATATTGCTGTTTATTGTGCGTGAGTGTCAATTATGACCCTAAAATCCCCCGAGCTATGCCAGAAAATGCTTCAATGTGCTTGGAGATGACCAATGGGAATTATGAATTGGTTTATATTTCATCAGATCAGGGATACAAGACACGAGTTGCTTTAAAGTTTATGATATAGTTCACAATTTACTATTAGAACGGTAGTTTGAAGCTTCAAATGTAAGCTTACAGAGTCAACCTAACTTTCCCGAGTCAATGGTCTCAATGGTATGGTCTCATTGCCCCTGAAATGTCTCAATTTTCATCTCATTCAACTTTTCAAATCGAGAACACAAAGCTCAATGGATGAGCCTTTTTATTCTTTCTTTCCAGATCACTGAACTCATTTGTATGTAGAAAGGAAACGAAAGATTTACAAGAAATGAAGGGGAAATAGAGAACAGATCGGTTACTCCTACTCTTTCTCTCCTTTCTATTCTTTGTTTTGTTCGCATGGAAGATTTCTGCATCAAGACATCGAAAAAGCAAGAATTTAGTGTGTGATTTCGGGAAGTAAACAAGTAAATATGTTCCTGGTTTTGTGATTAGATTGTTAGATTCATTAGATCGTCCGATCAATCGTTAGATTTAGAATTCAAAAGAAAAGAAAATACCAAAATTGCCCATTATATGGGAAGAGATTTTGAATTCACACAAGATTCGATGGCTTTCATTTCAGTCAAAACAAAATCGACGTTTAAAGAGCGAAAAAATGAGGAAAGATGTTGAAAGTCATGAACAATTCTTTGATCTACCTTGTGCTTGGTTTGGGATGCATTTCGGCACAAGTAAGAATTTTCATCGTCGTCTATCAGTCATGATCTTTTTACAGATCCCCGCCGCTTCCTCGTCAGCAAATATCCGAGTCGTGAGTCGTTTCTAAATAACACCAATAAGCAAATTTAGCCACGACAGTTTCCACCATTTCCCGATGGAAGTTGTCAATGTACGTAAAGTAGAAAGGCTTTTCGAAAGGCTTAGCTCTTCGAAAGGCTTAGATCTTACCAAACTGTTTGAAAAGTGATTCTATTTGAGCCTGTCGCCCTGTGCCCACTTTCCCTACAGTGAACCGTCTTGCCAACTTTGCTCCTTGTTCATTTTGGATGGGTTCAAATGGAGCGGATTGCTGGCAATGCTGTCAACAAAAGGCATTCGAGAATCAATGGGGACAAGTGGGTTCCGGTATTTGGTTGTTAATCTTCAAATGAAGTAAATGATTACGGTACTACTCTAATAGAACGCCACCCTCTTGTACAGTCGCGTAGTTTAACTTCTTTTTAGGGTTAGGCTTAGGTTACGACTTTTTTCTCAACCCCTACATTTTTCACAACTACAATTTTGATACCAAAAAATGCTAGATTTCAAGGGCTATCATTTGACACCAAAGCGAGTACTGTAGCTTAAAGCAGTGCGGAGAACGGGACGTTTAAAGATAGACTGAGCGACTTTGGGCTCGTCGTTATGGGGATGGCGTTCTATTAGAGTATTTACGGTATTTGCTTTCAGTTGTTCTTAGTGAGTCCATCATTTGATGGAACTTTCAACACTTGTGTCTGTTGTACCAACTCATGTGATGGAGGATTTCCCCCAACGGGAGGAGTTGTCGCTGCCGCGTAAGCACAAAAAAATCGAATAGTTTTTGGTCTAGAAAAAAGGGAAAGGAAAGTGCTTGCTGTGACCTTTGGAACGGGACCAAATCCATCTTATAGAATCGACTACGCAGGTTCCGAATCTGCTTTTAATTTTTGCCCTCGAGGCTTGTAACGCAAGATATCTTGCTTACAAGCTTTGGTTGCATTCTTGATCTCTATTTGAGGCCTCCACGCCATCCGATGGGATGTGGCTGTGGCTGTGGCTGGGTGACCAAGGAGGTAGGGCTCTCGGTCACGAGCCCCTTTTACGCTGGTTCGATTTCCCTCATGGCAAACTTTTTTTGCTTCTTTTTATATTAATGAAATCTTTTTGATGATTAAAGACAGCTTTTTATGGAGCAACCAAGCTCCTAGACTCCTTAAAACAAATAAAACTATCAAATTATTAGACACCTCATAAACTGTCTACCTTTCTATAAATTTTTGGAATTTTTGTTAATTGCTTATCCTTAATATGTGGAAAATAATGGAATAAAGTGCCATAAAAAGTTGTTTTTAATTATCAAAAAGATTTTATTATTTTATTACGGCAAGTGCTTGCCTTTTCCTAGTGATTTTCTGAGTAGATCAAGCTAAATCGTTAAAAAGTTACCGTCCAATCGATTCTTTTTAAGGATTCAACCATCCGCTCCACAAGAAACACCTTCAAACCATTTTTGAAAAGGAATTGAATAAATCTACATGAATCTTGCTTAAGAAATGCATTCTTATTTCATCTTACTAAAAAGTCATTTTTCATTTTTCGCCTAATCCATTGAATCGAGTGAAAGCTAAACAAAGAATTGGGTAAAATCCGACAAAAATCCGGCTTGTTGACCTGACAGTTCATAAGAAAAGAAGAAAACCTGAAATCGAGGATCTTTTTCGGATAAAAGCCATCTTGAGGTCATTCACACAAAAGAAATCCTTATTGGACTCGAGAAATTATTTTCTAAACCATATCCATTTGCTCAAAATGAATTCCTTATCCATATTTTCACTTTTCTTATTCATTCTCTTTTGCGAGGCGCAAACGAATTGCAAACTGAATGTGAAATTTCGATCAAAGACGAGCAAACCGGTAAGTTTTATAGGAGCTTAAAGGCTTAGGCTTAAGAAATAACTTGTTCAATCAAATTTCATTACTTAATCATTTTCTATTTCAAGGTCCAAGTCGATATGATCATCCCGGGTGCTCTCATCAAAATGGAACCATTTGTGATGAGTCGAATGAATCAAAATAAAAGTGTCATGGTTTGTGAGAGGACAGACGGCTAATAATAATCTTTGAAAGTAAATCTTCAAAGATTAATTCTTATATGATATTGCAAGTCAAGTCTATGTAACAATTTCAGGTGAAAGGTGATGGTTGTGAGAAGAAACATTGGGTGGTGAGAACATGGAAAGAGGATGAAGAAGAGGAAAGTGGATGGAAGTTGGCAAAGAAAATTCAGATGAGATTGTACGGAAATGGAGGATGGTGAGTCGATTCAAGAAAGAGTAACGAGGAAGGGAAAGTAAAAGAAGTTGAAGATCATGATTCCCATAAGTAATCCAAAGTTATAAAGGTTTTTGTCTACTGCAAATCTTTAACTCTTTACCGAAGACAATTTCAGGATCCGAATTCTGATCGAAGATGATTACACGCCTCGTTTAATGGACAGAATGGGAGTGATTTGCAGTGATGGAGCTTGTGGGAAATAAGGGAAAACGGGGAAAAGATTCATCAAAAATACAAATGATTTTGAACTTGTATAAAGGTTTTGGATTAATTATCGAAACTACGAAACTACTCGTTTCATTCTTCTTTCACTTTTGTTATTATATCACTCGTTCTCCGTCTTGCGCACAGAAATGTTTCTTTCTTTTCTTGAATTCCCCACTCTTTCCTCACTTTTTATCTTCTCATTCCATCTTTGACTCATAAAAACTGGTATAAAAACCCGATTCTTGCTGTGAAAGCAGAATTTCCGAAAACTGTCAAAAACCACTAATTCAGCAAATTTTCAAAGAGTTCATTGTAAACATTGGGCTTATCTTTGCCGATCGTTCACTGAATCGAACCATTTATTGAAACAAACAATCAAGAAGCAATAAAACAGACCGTTCCTCGAGAAATAACCACGACTTCGTAGCTTCAGCAAGATTTTTTAAGGTAAACAAATGTGAGATAAGGACTGATTTGAGCGTTCTCTAATGCTCTAATTGAAAAAACGAAACGAACGAACGACCACCAAACGAACAATATCTAACATATTGGATTCTTTTGAATACAAAAGTTTATCTCGAATTTAAAATCTATAAAGTGAACTTTTTGCCTAGTTTTTTCTTATTTCCCAAGATGATTCTAATCACTTCGGCCGTTCCTGGTACCACAACGCTTCATTCAATTTTTTTACAATCAGTAGACAGCTATAAGGAAAAAAAGTGGTCTTTGGCTGAAAAAAGAGCATTCTGTCTGGAAAAAGACGAACACAAGAGGCAAAGAGTGAGTGCAAGTAAAGTTAAGAACTATAGAAAGTTTCTTAACCTACTATAGGATTCGTAGCTCTTCTGTGCTCTACATGGTGCGTCACAATTACCGCCTCACCTCTCTTACAATAGAATTTAGTTGTTTTCCAAGGAAAACTCTTCTAAATTTTTGTTTGCTTTTTTGACATTTGCTGTTTTCACCGAAAAAACCTTTAATCTAGTGATGGCAAAGCGATCTTCACAGTGCTTCGATCATCGACTTGTAGACTAAAGGCTATGGGACACATGAGATTGTTCGACGTCTAGGAGTCGATAGAAGTGTTAAAAAGTTAAAAGTTCTCGCAGTTAAAAAAGAACAAAGAGTTTGGAACTTTAAACGACCACCCTAAACGAGGAAACAAGAGAGCCATTGCCATCAAAGCTAATATCAAGATGGTCCATTCGTCAAATGGCTCGTCAAATGGTCAAATGGCGTCAAATGAAATGAGAATCAGTGAATCGTCGGTGCGTCGAATTGTTCTTAATCTTAAACTTAAACATCTTAAACTTAAAGCCTACAAAAAATAGATGCCAAGGATTATCGGCAGCTCAAAAAAAAAATCCGCCGTAAAGACCGAAGTCAAGACCTTCTGAATCGTTTTCCGGGACAAGCTCATCGCACTTATTGTTGAAGCTATTGGTAGTATGATAATTGCAAATTAGATCAAAGTCATGAGAAAGTATTGTGTTTGATAAAGCAATGCACACTAAACTTGAGCCAAGGCATTCGGTTCATACATCACCACTCTACAGCTCAATCGTTAGGAATCCTTTGACAAGAATAAACAAGTCGCTTCTGCAGTTAGAACCGTTTAGGACAAAGACTTTGATGTGATTTAAGAGTTTCATTGGAATTGAACAAGATAAATTAAGATATTTGGATTGAAAAAGGTAAGTAAGATAAGATAAGTAAAGCATTTATTAAAGAGACCAACAAAGATAATGAACACAAGACTTCAAAAGAACATTCCTCCTCCTGGATATTCTCGATTTTTCCAGATTTATGCTGTCGCTTTCCCCTTCACTCATGATGACGAGCTGGCCTAAAACAACTGTAATAACATCTGTTTGAATAACTCTATTGCCTTTTGACTGTATGAACATTCATCTAAGCGTCAGACCTATTTTTCGTCAAAATTTTCAATCCAAAGCAATCTAACTGTAAGCTTTTAATTCGGCCGTTCACTTTTCTTCCACTCGCTTCCAAAAATCTCCAAGAATATTTCAACGAATCCCCCTTCCGAATATGTTTTCTTTGATCGAAAAGATTCGGAGAAATGTTTTCCGTGCTGTTATCTGTGTTCAAAACTGCCTACGCAGCACAAGAATTGAGAATTCGAGAAGAAAATTGAAAAAGGGAAAAGAATAGGTGATAGTCCGATCAAGGGGGAAAGAACAGATAAATAGCCGATGAATGGACTGAGGGATTCCCCACAATTCCACACAACACACCATATTGGAGAAAGGATGGATGGGGAAAGACCCATCTTTGGTTCTGATCAGAGCACAAATACGCTTGGCTGGTTGTTTATCATCAAAATTCAGATGAAGCGATGATGAACATTTGGCTTTTCTTATCCATTCTTTCAACAATTCATTCTTTTTCATCTCCATTAACTCCATTCTCCATTAACTTTGTTTGTTCTTTCGTCTTTCCTTATGTCAATCAATCGAAATTCCCCTCAAAATGACCACGTGATTTCTCTGCTGAATTCAGCGATTTTCGTGATGGCCAGAACCGGAATTGTGAAAAATTTATCTTTTTGAAAATTTTTGGGTTCCTTTGGGGCAAAGTTTACAAGGTTTATGAGGATATTTCTTTGAGTTTGAACTTATTTTTATAAGTAAGTTGAAATTTTTAGAATACTTTTGATTAATAGAAATAGAAACAGATCCTATATTCACAAAAGCTTATGATTTATGATGTTTTGGGCTTCAAAAGCAGCCTTCTGACAGCCTCAGTCAGACTTCTGACTTTGAGATGTTTGGCGCGGATTGACCTGGAGAGATTCGACTAAAATTGCTTTTACGGATTCAGAATCCGTTCCTTTTCTTCTTAATCTTAAATTCTTTTAAAAAAACTTTCAATTTTAGATGTAAAATAAATCAAATCTCGAAGAAATATCACAAAAACTCGTAAACTTTACAAGAACCAATTTTTGCTTTTTGTTTCTTGAATATTTTCGTTCTTTGCCCGACTGAATGAATTTCCTTTTTGTCAACTTGTTTTTTCTGAAATTGATTGGCATAAGGAAAGATGAAAGAATGAAGTTCCACAGTTTCCACCAAATATTTCAGATGGATTCAAGTTTTATGTCAGACTTCGAGACCTCTTCCCTGCACTCTCTCCCCATCGAATTGCTCTATGGAGTCCTTTCCCGTCTTGATCCAAAAGATCTTCAAGTGACTCGACTCGTCTCGAGACGTGTAAGTAAAAGATAAAACTATAAAGCAAATTGTAAACTTCGAATATAAATATATAAATAGAATCTTCAGCTGGATACGGTGATCTCAATGCACGATAAATTCCTCGCTCGTCCTCCATTCCACGTGACAATCTTCGTCGAGAATGGAGTCGCAAAGATCTCACACAACAAATTGGGACATCGGACAACAATTGTTCAGGTTTCACTTTGGTTTTTTAACTTTCTACAATTTCTATAAATTTTCTCAAGTTCTAAAGTGCATGATGCATCATTTTGTGTTTATTTCCTTGACCTTTCCCTTTCTTTTTCTTAATTTTGCCCTTTCCCCTTTCGGATCAATTTCTCATGAGTTCATCTAGCTGAAATTCTTTATCTTTTTGCTGAAAAGACGGACGCTTATCGAAGAATTTCCCCTAGAAAAGCACTTTTTTGTTGAAATTGGAAGGGTGGTCAATTGATCTGAAAAATATGAAAATTTGAAAGAAATTGGGGAAAAGAAATGGGCAAAAATTGGATTTAAAAACAGTATACCGTATTTTCTGTAATAGTAGTGCAGTCTATAATAGTAGTGCAGGCTGGAGGGGAGTTGAAAAAATAGTAGTGCGTACTACTATTACAGAAAATATGGTAAATGCTTTTTAATTGAGTTATAACTTAAGATATTATTTTTTTTCTTCAGAATTTCTCCAATTTCGACTTCAAACAATGGAGCCGCATTGAGGTTTCAAAATTGGAGATCCGAGATTTCGAAACTCAAGAATTTGATCGCAACTTGTGAGAACTTAACAAAATGCTTTACCAAGTTCAATTCCAGATTCGAAACTCTCTCGAAACTTCTCCAAGAACTCCGCAAATCCCGGAATTTCCCTCCTGGATTGGCCCTAAATCGACTCAAAGTAAACTCTTCTTACTCGGAAATTTTAAAGAAGCTTTTTGATCTTCTTCTTCCAAAAACACAGGTAAACCAAAAGCTATTAAAGTTGGCAAATGAGAGTTTTAGAACCTTTTGATTGATGACTGCAATTTGCCAGTCTCCCTGGAAAAATATTTTGGAAAAGCCGAAAATTCTCTTGTTCATTATCGTTGTTTGAATTCTCGATCTGAAAATGATGAAGAAAGGTTTGTAAAAGTGAAATCAATGCATATGCAAAATCATTTAGTAACAGCTTTGTGCTGAAAAAGTTTGCGAATGATTTGTCGGGAGGAGATTCGAGAAAGAATTTCCATTTTGAAGTCAGCGGGTCGAGTCCGTCAATGATTTGTGATTTCATTCAGGTTAATTCATTGGACATCAAATCTATCGATATGACAAACAACAGCGCTTACATTTTGACTTTATGTCTAACTTTTACTTACCCTCAACCCTTACAACAGTACTCTTGTAGAGTTTAAATCGCTTTCAATTGCTAGTTCTTTGCCAACCCTACGAACCTTGGGATTCCTGGATCCTTGGGAGAAGTCCTCGGGATTCCCGTATTTTCTCTAATAGTAGTGCACCCGGTTGGTGTTGGTTGGTGTTGGTGACTATTTTACGGTTTCCAAGCTTTTGCAGAAGCTCAACACTCGAATCCCCCACAGGATCTCATCGTCAGCTACATTTTTCGGCCCCACATCGATAGGTTCTGATAAGCGGTTCTCGAGATTTCGACTAATTTAGGCGATACTCACTACCATTAGAGAAAATACGGTAATCAAACGCCTTTCACGGTATTTCAAATTCAAGATTGATTCAAGATGGAGTAAACTTACGAACGCTAAAACAAAATGGGTGGTTAAAAATCCGCTAGTTGCTACTCCTATGTGGCTTATTGAATTGGTTACCAGATTAACAAAGCTGAAAATTTGTACACGGGGGTTTTCGGGGTCGAAGAATCGATTGGCGGCATTTATTTTTTACTTCTACAGCGTAAAACCTCTATTTTAACTTGCTTCTAATGCATCTTGTACAAAACTCTTGACAAGACAAAACAAAACAAAACAAAACCCATAGAAACTCAAAGCTCTTTTCTCCATTGGTTTAAAACAAAAAAATATGCATAAGTAATAAAGTGATAAATATAATTTTTCAGGATTGGATAAAAGCCGAGAATGCGGCTTTCTTCAATATTTTCCTTCATGGCTGTAATCAAGTGTGGAGGGCTGAAATGGGATTTGAATTGAGATTGAGGGGAATGGAGGGACATTTCATGGAATTTTCATCGAAAACACATGCAAATGCTCACATAAAAATGGTTTTTGATGAGGTGAGTGAGAAAAAGAAAAGAAAAATGTTTATTATTCTCTTCAATCATTAAAGTAAATCTCAGAACTACAGAACTGTAGCAATCAGTTTTAAAAAAACCTTTTGAAATGAAGGTTGAAAGGTTGAAATTGAATCTGATAGTCTAAATGGTTAATTTTTTCAAATAAAACTGACTCTTTGATTTGATTTAATTGCGTAACTTTTTCAGTCAAGTAACATGTGTCGTCTTTGGCCGATTTTTGATGTTCCCGCTCGTACAGCCGGTCAATTAATTTGTTATGCTCGTTTTTATAGAGATTTCTAGGAAACATTTTATTTGTTGTTAGAATAAAGAATTTTATATATCTTTTTCAAGAACAACACGAAATATGGTGAAGAAAGAACAGTGAAGAAAGAACAAAACGAGAAGGGACTAAAGGGATTCAATACCAAAGTACTTAAAAGGATTGAGTTCACTAATTGCTGTGGAAAGGAATGTTTAAAAGTTTTCAATGTCAATTCAACTGAATTCAATGTTTTACTCATTTCAATGTGAAATTCAATGTGAAATGAGTTAAACCAAGAATAAAGGAAAGCAAACAAACAGTTAAACAGTCGAAAAAAACAAGTTAAACAAACCAAGTTTTTAGTCAAACAAAGCTCAAACAAAATGATGAAGTACAGTCCGTACCACATCATCCGGACCACCTAGCTACGTAGTTTTTTAACCTTCTTTAATCTTCATGAAAAGTTTCTTTTTATATCTATTATTGGCTTCCTTTAACACCTATAACAACAAACAATGCAGCATCCAAACACAGCATATGCAAAAAGCAAAGCTGTCATAATAACTGTCAGTAAAACTGTCAGAATATTCGCATCATTCTCAAGCTTTTTAAAGTATTAGAACATTTTATCAAAGAATCCACCCTCAGCAGCCTTTCTTCGGTATTCAGCTTGTTTTTCCTCAATCAATCCCACGATTTCTTTCTGTTTACATAGCGAAGATTTAAAGTATTAAATTTAAAATTTAAAGTTTCCGAGCTTTCGCAACTGAAAACCACGCATTTTTCTGAAAAAATAGTTGCGGCCCTAGAGAGATTGAGTGCCAAGCTTCCAATGGCTGCCAAAAATATCGGATAGCTCTAAGATAATTCGTTTTTATGCTACTTAGCGTTCAATAATATTATATTTAAAAGTAGTTTTTTGTTTACCCATTTATAAAAGAGTTATGTGTTGGATTTTAAGGACCGGTGATCTCTTGTCATCCTGTATTGCATTTTGAAATCTGGTATTTTGAGCAGTGAGCAGACTTTAAACGTTAGAACCTTTTCTAAATCTATGCAAACTTTTATTTATATTTTCTCTTCAATACAGAAGACTTTCTTAGCTTTAGAATGCTACCAAATAAAGCTTGCTGACCCCACTCAACGTCGAGAATGAAGTGAAAGAAAATCAAGTGAAAGAAGCTATCGAGTGAGCTCGTCAGCTCGATTTTCTCAGCGCTGAGTGACTTTATTTTGTACCATTCTAAAGCGAAGAAAGTCTTCTATATTGACGAGAAAATATAAATAACAGGTGTCAGATTTTTAAAAAAGTTATAACGTTTAAAGTCCGCTCACTGCTTAAAATACCCGGGAAATTACAAAATACCTGGAAAGCGGACAAGAGTCGAAAAGGGCTCTCACTAAAACGCCAAAAGTAGATTTAAATAAAAAGACTTTTACCGATTGGAGTTTTGCAGTCGATTGTTTAGACCCTCAAATGAGCCCAATCCGATCCCAATCCTCAAATGAGTCTCCGGCACGCTTGCATTTTCAGCTGCTGCTAATTAACTGCAAAACTTCAATCAAAGCTCTCTTGATACAGAAATGTAGGCAAGAATTCAGACTTCAATTCTCTATATAACACTTAGGGTTTTTGAATTGATTGCGGCGTTTGGCTTGCAATCTGCTGAAAAGGTGTGGCCCACACAGACCACCCCCATTCTTTCCCTTTCCTCACCACCATTCCGTCCTCTTTTCATTTTCCTTTTTACCCATCCAAGACAGAGTTTGCATATAAAATTCAATCTTTTCTTTTCTTTTTAAATCTTTTCCAAAAATTTTTCTATAACTTCAAAACATTCTGTGTTCAAAGTTTTACCCCGACTTGAGTGCTATCGAGCTCACCGTTTTCGAGCATTTCATCGATTACCATCTACGTCCATAGTCACAAAAAATGGATTTAAGTCTAAACTGACTAAAAAAGCTGTCAATATAGAGTTGATATCATTGCTGTAAGTGATCGATGAAAACTCAAACTCAGTCTAAACTCACATCATTAAAAAATTGAAAAGAAAGTCGATTTTGGCAGCGTGCCGTCGTCCACTTGTGCGCGGCTCAAAGGGTCAACCATCTAAAAAACTATGAGCTATGGGCTCCTTATTAGAGATTTTAAGTATCCTGTTTTTAAGGCTTTTATTTTAAAAAGTTTAGTTGAATAGCTTTTAGCCTCAGTTGAATAGCCTCAGTGATTTTACAATCAAGTTTTCGTAAAAAGTTGTACAGGAGCTTTTGGATTCGCCTGTACTATCCGCCACATAAGTATTAAAGGTATCAAGAGCGGCTCAAAATGAACAAGCACTTTGAAAGCTCATCACTTTTGAAAAAGCTAATGTTTATGTTTATGTTTTTGAAAAGGGAATGTTGTAATGAAAAGGTAATGAACAAGGTAAAAGCACCCATCAAAATTGTGATCATCCTGGCATATCCCACTCAAAAATATTCAACTATTTGCACAGTCTAACTTTTAGTTAAAAGACTAAATGCATTCATAAAAACAAATCACTCCAAAATATTTATTCACTGCGGTCAGCTCACAAGGTTAAAACGATGATTTGTGCTCCATTTGCCCATTTTCGATCAATCCCAAATTTCTTGATTCTCTCGTAAATAAATAATGAATAAATAGATGATTGCAATGAAGGAAAAGTACAGAAAAAGACGAGCAATACGTGGCATTTTCAAATGGGAATACTCGGTTTGTATAGGGGAATCTCTGTTTCAGCAATAATAATCCGGATGGTAAACGTGCAGATTAGTTTTTTTCCTTTCGTGTCAAGTTTTCTGAAGTTTAGATAAGAATTTTTTTTATTATTATAAGCGATGATTTAGTGGCGAAAATTGTAAACAGAATTTGAATGAATTCGATGATTTGTATTCAAAGAAAGATACAGAAAGCCGATCCGCAAAGAAAAAAACGAAATTTCATCGGGAGTTTTAAGAAAAGAAGGGTATTTCTGAAAAACGTTTGATTTACAACTAAAAAGTTTACAGTTTACAGTTTGCAATCTTTCAAAAAAGTTTTTATGTGCAGTTTGAAAGGTGTCAATTAGTGGGCTCACTGTGCGTAATGATGGCTGAAACGTTTCACACATTTCGGATCGTCCATGCACGTCACAGCCGATCAATTCCCGGTCGAACTTCACCCAAAACTCATCTTCCTAGTCATTTCGATTGCAGTTTTTCACCATTTAACTTTGACAATTTATTACAAAACAATGAATAAGTGGAATCTTTTCACAAACAGACAATTCCCTAAAGCAATATTTGAAAGAACGAAAGGAAAAGAGATCTCAGAAGTATTTAGTTATGAAAAAGAAAAAGGGTTTGTTGTAGACCTGCTTAATGAGTCTGAGCAAAATTTTCAGAGATGATTCGCTCTTCGATTTCTTTATTGCCTAAAGCTCCTTCAAGCATGAAAGCCAGTTCCCCCGCAAGCCCTTATTCTAGGCTTCATTTTGATATTAAACATGACTAGGTTCTGTTTTGCCATTCTTTAGATCTTGATCAATCTTTCGCCGGACTCGATAATGTTAACGAGTCCAGAAAATTTTTATCTAAAATGATCGAAATCTAAAGAATGGCAAAACAGAATCTAGTCATGTTTAATATCGAAATGAAGCCTAGAATAAGGGCTTGCGGGGGAACTGGGTTTCATGCTCGATGGAGCTTTGGGCAGTAAAAAAATCGAAGAGCGAGGCAGACTGTCTGAAAATTTTGTCCGGACTCGTTAAGCAGGTCTAATTTGTTGTGTACTTGAGAGGTCATGGTAATGCAAAAAAGGGTAGCAATTAACTGTCAGATACCGTAGTAGAGAATCACAAATGAATTTTGGAAAAGGAATAAAAATGAGCACTGTTTAGAAATCTACGAGAAATGGACCAGATTAGAGGAAACATTGGGATCAGGTTTCTTTGAGAAGCTGAAAAGAAAAGGAAACCTGAAAAACTTCGAATTTTAATCCGAAATTGAATATTTTAAAACTTTAGCTTGGTTATCTCTTCACCTTTTCAGAAAGAAACCTTTTCAGAAACAATTACGGTAATAAAAATGCCACAAAATAGAAGGGAGCACCGAATAGAGACGAGAGACCCGTTTGGATAATTCATTGAAGGAAAAGAAGTGAAAGATGAAAGAGTTGAAGAGAAAATCGTTACGGTAAGGAAAAGAAATGAAAGTGAGACACCGGTTTTGACACAAAAATCAAGAGATTTCTAAAGAACTACGAGAAATGGCACAGATTGGGAGGAAACATGGGAGAAGCATTCAGTGTACTTTGGGTTGTGAATGTACTTTATGCCGTGCTTTGTGGCACAGCTTTCTGGCACATTCAGCCCTTGTTTTCTGAAGGATTACGGTAGAATATCGATCTCTACACAATGATTTCCCTAATCACTCTTCCTTGTCCTCCAAATGCTTCCGAATCGGAATCTCCTCCGTCTGAATGGGTTGTCGTTGTTTGATTTTCATTTCCCGATCCACCGCTTCCGTCATGCACTAAATTTCATAATCTAAATGCATACAAGCTTTTGCATACAATTCACTAAACTAAATGGTTTTTCAATGGTTTTTTGACGAGTTTTTGTTAGTTTCACTTGACAAAAGCTCTTTTCCTCATTTTTCACCTTCAATACAACCATCGAGTAGGATGGATATATCCGAATAGTCTGTAGAAAATGATTTCATTGTTTTATGGTTTGATTTTAAGTCAGTTCAGTTTTTGAACTCACCGCTTGTCCTCCATGCTCCTCCGTCATATTCATTCAAATATGGATCATTATGAAATGGATCATATGCTGTATTGTGATGACTTGCTGGTGCTCCTCCTGATGGCCATGAATCTCTCTCGGCTATCGTCTCATTACTGAAAATTCATTCTATCATAGAAATCGTTTGTAAATCAATAGAAATATAAATGAAATAATGTAAATAGAAATCGTTCTTTTGAAAATCTCTTGTCAATCTTCTAGTGCATTGAGACAAACTCACGCGCTGAATGTCTGTGTGTTGTACGAATCATGGTGTCCTTTTTGTCCATTCTCTAAAGTGAACACTCCCGAATCAGTGGCCGATCCATGGGTCACTGTATTCTTCGCCTCGATTGGTGGCATTGGGCCCGAGACTTCTGGTCGACTAAATGAAAGGTAAATGGTTACAATTTTTGTCCACTTACATGTCAACTCGTTTATTCTTCTTTTTATCATCCTTTCCTCTTCTCGATCGACAACAGATTGTCAAGATGATGCAAAAAAAGGCCAGAGCAATCAATGCGATCAGGACTGGCACCAAGAAGCGCCATTTTGAGGTGAATGGACTGGGAGAGATTACTTCGCGGCTAAACAAGGTTGTTAAGTTAGGCAATATCGTATTTTGAACAGCGCTCCACCAGTTAGACATAGAACAGTTAGGCATAGATTCTTGTACTTACCTTAATGAAGAGCAATGTAGCGGATTTGTCCTTGAGCAATATCGTATTCTGAACTGCGCTCCACCAGGCAGATCAGAGATTTCTCGATCAACCGGCCAACATCCAACTCCACGATAGAATTCTCCGAATGATACATACAATTGAACGCAGATCTCGGATGAGGGTTGAGGCTAAAATTCATGATTTACAAATATTATCAAATCAAAAAAAGCTTCCTGAACCTCAAGTGTCAATCCCATTGTTCTCGTGTTGTATTTGACTCCAATGGGTGTCTCAAATGTCGGATCTTCATAAATATCGCCCGTTGTTGAAACGATTGGAGATGAGAAATCAGAAGTTCCCTAAAATTGTGTAAATTTTATTTAAAGATTTTTTTCTCACAATTTCATTCTTTGCTTTTAATTTGATGTAATAAGTTGATTGTGGGAGAAGTCCCGTCAAATTGTATGCCACTAATGATGTCATCGTTGGAGATCGTTTCGCTCGATTTGAATCTTTCTGAAAAGGGCAATGTAAAGGTTATACGTTTTTTTAATGTAAAGAAAAGTTCGATAATGTAAAGATTATGTTTTTATCATAAAGCTTACAGCCCATAAAAGCTTACATTTCGCACTTCGATCCTTTGCAAATTTTTCACTTCAATCGTTGTCACTGCCTCTTCATCAGCCACTTTTTCAGTAAACGGATTTATTCTGGAAACGGGTTGATTCTGATGAAAATTGAATGCCAAATTTTGCGAACAAACCTTTTATACTCTAAAATAAACGTCTGCGAATATCCTCCATCGAAGCCTCGTTTCCAGGCAATGTTCAGACTTGTTGGAGAGGTGGATACCGTTTGAATTTGTTGAGGTGGCTCGGGTTTGCCTGAATATTTCATGCTAATCCTAATAGAGTTGATAACAAACTTTTCTCTTTCAGCAAAATGACGACTTCAGCTTTTGGTCCTTTCCCGTTTGTCGCTCGACACATGTACTTTCCGTAGTCAGCTTTAGTGGCATCAGTGAATGAAAGAACCTAAACATAACCATCTTTAACCTTCAATCTTTCTTTTAAATCTTTAAATGATCGTTTTTCCATTATCTTACCGATTCAAATTCATCAGGCCGACTGGATAGGCGATTGGCTGAAATGGCGAATCTTTCTCCTTCTTCGATCTCCACCGAATCTTTAAACCATTTGAATGTTGGCTCGGGACGGGCAGAAACACGGCAGGAGATACGAGCCTGAATGGGATACAATTATTGTAATCAGTTCAGCAAAGTAAGGCTTAAGCTTAGAATTGGCTGGCCTTACAATTGGCTTAGAATTGGCTGGCCCAAATTATAGCCTTACAGTTTTTTCCCGCTTCCCGAACCGGTTGAATTCCTTTTTAACAGGAAAATTGCGATAATTACCTACGACGAATTTCTTTATACAAATTGTAGAATGTTCTTGAGCTTTTTTTCATAAAAGGCTTGAAAGATGCGCTCAAAACAACTATTGGCACGCAACTCAATCTGCAACTTTTCATGAACAGGTTTTAAGGGCTCTCACAGCCCTCAAAACCTTTTCTAAACGGGGTTTTAAGGGTTTATTTGACTCTTTTCCGGTGAAAAAGCTTAAAGCAAATGTTTTTGAACAAAATCTTCAACCATATGGTGTTTTTAGGAGCTCTGGATGAAATATGCAATCGCCTTCTCGAAAATGCATTTTTCTTGAAACTGGCAATCGGTTAATCTCAAAGTTAACTTAAAGAATTGACTTAAAGAATCCAAATGTTATTCTTATAGCTTAAATTTATCAAAAAAAGCCATAAAAATGAACTAGAAAGAGCTGGAATCAAGTTGGGTGCCATGGGTTTTTTGGGCGCATCTTCCAAGCCTTTAATAAAAATCTCAAAAGCATCCTACAACTTGTATAAAGAAATTCATTGTAGAAAATTATTGCAATTTTCATATTAAAAAGAAATTAAACGAATTCGCGAAGCTACAGCCAAGATATAGCTCAAAAACTGCGAGGCGATAATTTGCGGCCAGCCTCTTTAGGCTCAGCCTCTATGCTTACCGTTGTTTCCAAATCAACCGCAGCCAAACTCTCTCCATTGTAGACATCATTGAGAATTTGTGGAGAATGAACAACTCGAACGATTGACCAAGTCTTAGCTGCTTCTCCACCACCTGAATTAACTTGTTTAAAGATTCGATTCTTTCCTTCTTACCATTTTGAGCTGCACATGTGTAATTTCCCTTATCGCACCATTCAACGGGATATTGAAACGCGAGAGTTGATGTGATACTCTTTGTACAGTAATCTCCGGGTGGACAATTCTCTCGGCCTTCTTTCGTTTTAATCGAGAAACGCAATGGATCAACTGGTTGGCCGTCTCGAAGCCATGCGATATCGGGAGTTGGGTAACTAAACCAAGCCATGTTATAGAAAGTTGTTTGAAGATTTGTAATCTTTATCATCTTAAAATTGTGAACATATCGTCAAGAATTTACCCCTGGGCTTCACACTCCAATCCAGTAGTTGTCTCTCCAGTATTGTACACTCTTTCCGTAGCCAACGGTTTCGAAATCTCAGCCGGTTCCACAACAATCACTTTCACTGTAGCCACTTCTCCTTCTCCAATTCGATTGAACGGAAGACATTTGTATTCTCCATTATCAGACAATTGAGCATTCCGAATCGTCAAGATTTCCCCATTATGATCCCTGGAATTGCTAAACATTTCAGCTTTCGAATTCCCTCTTTCTTACATTGTTCCATACTGTCCTCCACTGCTTGGACTTGCCCATTTATATTCAGCAGTCGGACTTCCGGGATCCATAGCAACACAAGTGAGTTGAATTGTGCCTCCAACGGGAACATTCAATGTTGATGGAGTGATTCGAGCTGAGCCTGGCTTTCGACGGACATCCACCTAAAAATTTGAATAGTTTTTTTATGTCACAAACTCGAATTAATGACCTTAACAGTTGATTGTCCAGTTCTTGGCTGAGCTCCCGTTTGTCCGTAGAGAGTCAAGTAGTTGGTGGCTCGGCAAATGTAATCACCAGATTGATCTCTGGAAAAAGATTTTCTTGGAATATTAGCAAAACAAACCTTGAAATTGATGGAAGAACAATCTTTGGTCCCTTTGATGTGAATCCATTTGGTCCAACCCATTCGATTCCCTCAGCTTTCGGATTGGCATCAATTGTGCAATCAATGCTGACAGTGTCTCCCTCTGATGGATTCACCATATCCTGAATAATGGTTAGAAGTACTAAATTATCAATAAGTTATCAATAAGTTCTTTTATGGGTTGTGGCTGGGAATACAAAACATGGTCGGCGTCGGGATTCGAATTCACGACCTCACGTTTACTGAACGAACGCTCTAGCTACACTGACATGCCATTGCCCATTGCCCATTGCCGCCAGGATAGAGCCTTATGCTTTACTAATATCTTTTCAAAAGTACCTTTGTCGTAACTCTTGGTTTATATTGCACATCCAATTTCATCTTGTCAACGGATTCTCCAATCGTATTACTCGCTCGACACTCGAATTCGCCCGCATATTTTCGTTCGGCTTTCAATGGCCATTTTGCATCAAGATATCGTTCTCCAGTTTGAATGTGCTTCCTGAAATTGAATTTGGTTTAAATCTATAAATTGTCAGAATCAGAATTGTCAAGTACTCACAAGGGGACGCCACAAAATGGCCCTAGCAGATTTTGACGCGAATACAGCACTGGATTGTCCGATAGGCGTTTGCATCTCAACGGCGTCAAAATCTGCTACGGCCATTTTGTGGCATCCCAGCTTAGCCCCTCTTCACAACTTGTATTCTCCTTCATCCTCTTTATCCTTCAGTATTTTTAAAGCTCACTTATCCAACTCAGAATTCTCCCGGAAATGGGGCGCAGGTGACTTCCCCTTTTAGTGGTTTACTCAGGTATTCTATCCTCTTTCTATTCTTTCCCTTACAAAAACTTCTCCCCACCTGGCCCCTTTCCTGTCATTTTATTCAAGAGCTGTCAAATATAATGGTTTGACCGTGAGCGGTTCGTTTTTTCAGTTTTTTTGTGGGTTTTCCCTCTGCTCGGAAAAGGTGAGGCCACAATTTGATGAATCGTTTTTTTTGAGGGTCGACACTATGGCGCCCCATCGGTGTTTTTATTTCAAAGAAACAACAAAGGATTGTTTTTATGTAATCGGAAATTGCTTTGTGTTTAAAAAATAAACTCACCATTCGAAACCAGTTGGTTGAGGATTTCCCTGACCGGAACAAGTCAATTCGATCTGTTGATCTTCTTCCACAATGTAGTCAGGTACTGGTCCAACGGTGACTGTCGGTTTGTAGAGAACCTCAAATCGTTTAGTTAAATCTTTCCAAAAGATTTAAATTGAATTGTATTCAATTAGCTTTTAAATTCAATTATCATTTTAAAATCTTTTTAAATTGCCTTACATTCAATCGTGGACTCTGGACAGCTTTCGGAGCTCTTCCCTCCAATGCCTTATTGCTAACCATACACGTCAAGAATGCTCCATTGTCTTCAGCTCGAGCTCTCCATCTAAATAGATCAAATTCTTGATGTTTTTTTGAACTCTGTAAAGTTAATGTAAGTAAAACTGACTGGATTCTGCTCTCAACAACTTCATCTTTGACCGAAACCGAGTACAGATCCTGATTGGCGACAGTTTTGTTATCGAAAAGCCATTGAATTGTTGGAGGTGGAGATCCGCCTTCAGTTCGACATTTCATTTGGATTCCGTCTCCTTCTTTCACTGGTTGTGATGGGTAATCGACGATTTCGGGTGGGCCAGGTTCGACTAAATAAAAATCAACTTGATTTGTATTTTTCTTGATCCACAAACCCTTGGTTGCTTAAATATTCTGAATCTCCCGAAATGGAACTCTCAAATCTTGCAAAAGGATATCATTTTCATTCCAACCCAATCTCTTATTCCTTTCCCTTTCCCCAAAGCTGAATCCTCGCTAATTACCATAACGGAAGCTCCCTCTGTTCGCTCAACCAGTCACACATCACCGAAATCTTTTCCTTTTTCAAGATTGGATACCCTTTCCCTTGAATCCCCGACGATCGAACGGAAATTTGGTGTCGGGTCACAAGAAGGGAACTCCCGATCCTTGATTCTTTTCTGAATTTCCTCTCAAACCCCTCTAATCCTTTGTGAGACTTTCCTTCTCTTCTTCACCCATCAATTCCTGACTTTTAAATGCCAGATCGAGTGTCACTCCAAATTAGTATCAAATGGCTTTGAAATTTTAGTGAGCAAGGTAATTTAGAGAGTAGTTTCTATTAGAGTTCTCAAATAACGATCAGCAGAAGAGAAGATCGGAAACACCTTAGTTCTGTCTTCTTGAAACTCGAAGGCCTTGTAATAAAATCAGTGTGAGCACTCAAAGCGGTTCCTTTCATTTCCTTACATAACACTTGTTGGTTCTCACTCCTTTTCGACAATTTTTGTTTACCCCTCCCAATGGCGGCTTGATTTTGAGAAACGGTTCACAGCTTTTTGCGCAAATGTGACCCAGATTACCCGTTCTCGTTGAATAAAGAGGAAAAGAATGATAAGACCTTCCGGATTTATGGCCACGCGACAACTTCTCAATATGGAGAAAGGGAAATATGGAGAGGCGGCTCTTTTGACATTTCCTCCTTGGGGTTTCTGTTTGCTTTATGGGGACAACTTTTAGTGCTTTTTGCACACTTTGATCAACTGATTGAACAGATAGCCATAATGGTAATGTTTTGGATGACTATGAATGGCTTGCTTGGCTGACTTGCTTGGCTGGCTTGCTTGGCTGGCTTGCTTGGCTGATTTGCTTGACTGGCTTGCTTGGCTGGCTCGCTTGGCTGGCTTACTTGCTTGGTTGGCTTTCTTGGTTGGCTTGCTTGGCTGTCTTTTTAGATATTTATTACTGGTGTTGTACCAAGTACATGTAAAACTGGCGAGCTAATGTCCCCACATGTTATCATAAGTTTAAGTGGGTCTCCTTGGAATGGTCGATATCGAGTGTGAGATCTCATATTTCTCGTTCACGTGTTGTCACACCCAATGGCAGAGATCCTTATTTGTGAGTTCTCACCTCAAAACAAGGTCAACGAAAAGAGAAAAATAGACAATGAGGTGTCAACGCTTCATTTTCATTCAATCTTTTGGGAGAGCCCAATGGGGTGCTTGACAAATAAGCTCATTTTTGACTCCAACTGAGAGAAGAGACTGGAAGAGACTAGGACGAGGCTAGGAGGTGTCAAGAGTGTGCCATTCTCTCCCATTCCCTCCATTTCACCTCTCACCGCTCACCAGTTGAACACCTGTTCTCATGGAGTAGCTGAATATTAGATTCTTGACAGCTTGTTGACCTTAAACCCAAAGATCTGCACTTCACTATACATCACTTTTGACTTTAGTGGCTTGGAAAGTTCACAAGATTTGAGGAAATGTGTGAAATATGTTTTGAAATCAAATACTAGACGTAGAAAACTATTGCTATCCACATAAATCTATTGCTATCCATGTTATTCACAGAAATCTTCCAAATCTCCATTCAACCCATCATTAATTGGTGACAATGACTGTTGACTAAAATGACACAAAGTCACCTTCACAATCTCCCAAAAATCCCAATGGCTAGCACTGCCCATTCACCTATAAAGGACAAGGTGGGAAGTGAGGCTAATTTGTGTCTCTCCCTGCATGGATTGCCCTCCAATTAGCACTGTTTCCCGACATCCCCTTCTCCTCTCCACTACTGTCTCCAGGTGGACGTTATCGACTTTTTGCAGTGCAGAAGTGCTCAGCATTGAAGCTTGTTTCAGGTGTTATTATCGATTAGCATAAAGCATACTAAAATATGAAAGGCTTGGTACAACCTACACGAACAAGTCATTCACTCACTACTAAACGCTGCACTCATCTGCACGAAGTACCCCTTAAATTCCCCTCAAATATGGCTATTCGTTTTGCCTCATAGATTGCTCCTTTGGTAGTCCTTTCTAGAGATCGGGTATGCAAATATGGTGTTGCTCTCAAATTGAGTCCCTTTCCTTTTGTTTTCCCCCTTTTCTTCGAAAAGACCATCAGATCGGACCGACATTTCCCCTACTGTGCACCCATTGAGTAAATAACTTCTAGCAGCTTTGCGTTTCTTCTCTTCGGTCCAAGGGCTTTTGTCTATTGAAAGAAGTCGTTAGCAAATTAGTTTCTTATATCGAAAACGTTATATAGCATCAATTCGCCCCAGATATTGGCCTAACTTTTGAACGAATTCAATTCGTTTCACCAAACTTTGAAGGGCAATCTGTGAAAGGTTTGCAAAAAAGTGAGTCAAGGTCGAGAAAACATGGATTTTTCTTTGGTTTTCTAAGAGATTTATTGAAATCGTTTGAGTGTAACTGTAAAGTTAAATTCAAAATTGAAATATTCTTGTTTGAATAAAGCTCAAATTCTATTCAATTGGAGAGCAGATTGGCAAATCTCAAAATGATGTCAATTTTTGGTGGATTTCCGAGTCGATTTGTGTGATTGCGCAACGACGAGGAATCACTGACTCAACTAGGTGAGAAGTGTCGAGAATGGAAAAAGAGAAGAGAATGACGGAAAGAGATAATCCGGAAGAAATGAGAAAGAATCTCGTAGATGGGACATCGATGGAGTTATTAGACCTTTAGGTAATCAAGGATGGAGATGGGGAGGTCAAACGGAAGAGAATGGCTGTGAGGAGAATGAATTCAGAGCCCAAATCAAACATTTTGTAACAAAATCAAGTACTTCCGTATCTGATCGACGTTAACTAACAACAAAGCTCATGATCAGACATTGTTTCAGTTCCACTAGCTTTCCCACACTCACCTAACATGACCACTTCGAGTGAATCGGCTGTGTACTGTTCTCCGGACTCTAAATTCAGCACAGAACACTGGAATTTCCCCTCGGTGAGCCCACGAGCCACCTAAAATTTTATTGTAAAATGGATTAACTTCAATTTGAACAAACCTTTTTTATCTTCAAATTGTAATTGCCAGTCTTCGCATCTTCAACCAAATCAAAGTATTCTTTCGAGAGGAGTTTTGAGCTTCGAGAGATATGCCTGGAAAGTTGATGGATTTCTAGAGCTCTTCTAGAGCTTATGGAGTTCTAGAGGTCTTCTAGAGCTTATGGAGTTCTAGTTCTAGAGCTGTACTTTCAATTCTCAAACCTGATATGTCCATGTGAGTACAATGTCCACGAGACTTCATGCGACTCTCTGTCTCGATATGTTTCTTTGATTGCACATTCAAGCGTTGGCCCTGATTGCCCGTCCACCACATAGAATGGTTCGGATGGGGATTTGTGAGTGAAGACGTCTGTTGGGTCACCTGGAAATTTCAGCTTTTACGATCAGCGTTTAACTTTATCCTTTTAAGCTTGAATCTTCAAAACTAGCCCAGCTCTAGTTGAGGTAAACAAAAGTTACCCAATCACATGTTTCCCATGTTCTTTCTTTGCATTTTCTTTCAAGCCTTCTTTCTTTCAGCACCCAACCATCCCATTTCTTTGTTTATTCACCTTAAAATCCGTGTTCAACCCTTAGGGGACATCCATCCCTATCATCCATTCTCATACAAAAAGAAACACAAAATGCTAATCGTGAGCAAACATGGATTAGCTCCAAAGGCTATTTTGCTATTCAAAGCTATCAAAAAGATTTCTACTTTAAAACTTAAGCAAGAGCTTTCAATTGTACAATTTTTCTATTGAGTTAACTATTGGAAACTGAGGGACAGAGGTACTGATCGCTTTTCTCTTGAAGAGTATTTGAAAGACTCGAGGGGTTTAAGCCACACACTGAGTACACAAAAGAGGATGGTGTGCTATGGGAAATTTCAAGTTATTATAGAGACTATTGTGATTGTGATTCCAAAAACGTACCATAAACAGTGCACAGAACGGTGAAGGCAATGAGTGCCAGGCCCTTCATGGCCTCCTCTTATAAAATTCGATCGAAAAATGGGGGGAAAGTCGTGGATTCCCTGATCTGAAATTATTTGTTTAAAGCGGTTTGGTTAACGAGAATGAGTGATTGAAATGATAAGAAATCAAAGGAAAATGAGTTGTTATTTCCCATCAACAATTTGAATAAGATCAAAGAGAAGGGCAGATGATTGAAAATGGTTTGTCGTGTCAAATTTGACACGACACCTTTTTGGGGAAAAGAGATCCTTTGTGTGAAAGGGTATGTTCTGTCAAAAATGGCAATATGGAATGAAGTGAAGAAGAAGAGAACAAGAGGATGAACAGGTTGACCGATCCTCTCCATTTCTCTCCATTCCATTCTCTGATCTCAAAATTAATTACGGTCGGCTAGATATAAGGATGGTGGATGGGACAACCTGTGGATGGGACTCTCGAATATGAAAAAGGGATAAAGGAATGATGCGCAACTGTTGCCCCATTCAGAAAAATGGGGGAAGGAGGGATGGCTGAAAGGAGGATTTCAATTTAGAAAAGCTTGGTGATGATGTTTCCGTGATTGTGTACAGCATAGTTATTCGAATGGCTGATATTATGATGGGCTATGACTGATGATTGTAACGCATAATCATTCGAATTTCTAGAAAAAATGGCAAAGCTGCTGAATGTTTTTTGGAAAAGAATGTTCTGTACTTCAAGAATTCGATTTGAATAGTGTACTGTACTTCGAGAAGGGAGATTTAAAGCGAAAGCCGAATGTGACCCAATCAAAGACTAAAAATTCAACATTCAAATCAATTCCTTAATGTTCCTTAATCTTTAAGATGTCGGAAAACGAAATGAAATCGAAATCCTCATCTAATTATTGCTCAATCCCCAAAAAAACGATCGTAAATGAGGATTTTATGGATGAATCGAGGCAAAGAAAAGGTGAAAAGCGGCGCGCTTATTCTATAAGGAATGGAGGGAATTAAGGAAATGAATGAAAGGAAATCGAAAGCATTGCAAAGATCATAAAAGAATGATTCGTTTGGCATAGTCAATGAGAGCTTTTGGATAACAGAAAACGAGCTGGGGTCACATAGATAGATGAGGAGAGAAAAGGACAAAGAAGAAAGAACATTTGTAGAACATTTGAGGACAGAGAAGAAACAGCTGACTCGGATAAGTTACTCAAGGGTCAAGAGTACGGTTTATAAAGTCTGAATAAGGAATTAGTAGACAACAAAATAAAGTAGGCATCTAGAGGGTGATAAACAAATCGAAGGTGCAATCTAGAGGGTTTTGTTGTATGTAAATACTGAGTTTGGCAAAGTCTAGTGCTTGGAAAACTCGAATATTACAATATTCTTGCATTAGATCATTGTTGACATTATCTTAACCCGTAAAAATGATGTCTTTTCAAAAGGAGAGACTTTCTTGTCGACAGGTGCCTTCACACAGAGGGTGATCCCCTCTCCCATTGGTGAATCGGCTTGTCCCCGTCTTTCCCTTTGAATGAAATATCTCTTCAATCCACTCACTTGAGAGCAATTTGTTGCCAAATAAACCACGGTCAGTTGGTCAACTCAAAATCAACCATTTGATTGGAAAAGAAAAGGGAAAATTAAGAACTACCGCATTTTCATTTCACTGTATAACAACTGAAAAGAAAAGATGAAGGGCTTACTTTAAATTTGGAGTACTTGGGCAATCAAGCACTAGGTAAATCTTTTGATTCTTTTGTTTCTTTGAAAATATTCTGGTTGTTGAGAGTTTAGTGCGGCGGATTGTTATAATTCTTGAGGAATCGAGAGGGAAAACAAATCGAAAAGGGGAAAAGTAAAGAAAAAGAATGAAAAGATCGAATGGCAATGCTTTCATCTGAAAGGAAGTAACAACCTGTTCTGTAGGGATTGTTACTTGCAAAATCAAAAGAAAATGAAAGAAAAGAGATCGGATGAATTGAGCAATTCGAAGAAAAAGAGTGAACAAGTGGATTTGTAAACAAGAAAATACAGAGATTAGAGTAATTGAGATGTTTTGTCAGTCTTCTGAAGATACGGTAATGTTCCCCTCTCTTCTTTCATTACAATAACTCTTTCACAAAAGTATTCAAGTGAAAAGCTAACTTGAAAATTGTGTTGTAAACTTTTGAGCGTAAAAAATAGAACAGACTGTACTCATGAATAATTACAGGTCATTTCTTTACTCAACAAGTCAAGAAGTCAAGAAAGGAAAAGATTCAGAAGAAAAGAAAGTCGGGGAAATCTCAAGAGGACACCAATTTGCAGAGGGGAAATGCAGACACAGTGATCTGAATCTGAACAAGTAGTAGAATGGAAAGACTGGCTTTTGATATGTAATAGTTGAGATAGTTGAGATGTAATAGAGATTACAGTTTAGAGATTATGACACGCGCCTCTTTATCTCATAAAAAAACTTGTCTGGATACGATTGCTAGCAGATAGACAAAAACTAGAACAATATAAAATGAATGTAGAGATTAGCAAGGATGGAGATTAATAATTCTTGGTATTTGTTGAATTGGTAGGTGATGGTTGGTGGAAGAGAAGGGGAGGGTCTCGTATTTGAGTAGAGGGGAGAGGGGATCGGGTCAAAGGAGAGGAGGAGGTGGCCCCTCCCCTCCCCTCCACTCCCTCCATTCCCTCCACTCCCATTTCTTGTCCTTTTCAGGCATTCGGGTCTTTCCAAGGATAAGCAGTAACGACCGAAGAAAAGACGAAAGATCGGAAAGGAAGAGACGTTCCGCACGGTCGCATTTAGGCAAATATGGATGGAGGTGAGAGAAGAGGAGAACGGGGAACACCTGGGGAAGCTGGGGGAAGTTCGAATGATGATATCTGATAAAAAGTTTAACAAGTCAGTTGCAAAGCCTAACAACAGTTGAGAAATCTACCTCGTGACAATAATGGACTGGTTTAAGAAAGATGTTAAGAGCTCTTTGAAAGCAGAAGAGCAGAAAAGCTCTTTGAAAGAGATCCATATTGAGATCAGAAGATATGCAGGTGTGTTGTGGATGATGATCTTCTTTTCTTTTTCTTTTTCATCAAGCCCATCAACAGGTGCCGATTCTCGGTTTACGACCTGAAATTATCCAAATATGAGCTGATTTTTGGCGGTAATTGGGTCACAAGAGAATTCCTTTGAACGTAACGAAGGAAAAGATGAAATTGAAGAAGTATGGAAACAAGGAGCGGTTATAATTTGGAATGGATTGAATAAAGTCGACTAATACCTCAATCAAACGATTTCCCCGCAAAGTGAAAACGACGAAAAGTCAGTAAATCGCTAATTTCGATCGAAAAAGAGAAAAGGGGAAAATCCCATTGAATCTCTGAGAATCCATTCGAACAGATCACACAAAGAATGGATAAGAAGAGGAGAGAAGGAGAGGAGGAGAGGAGGAGAGGAGGAGAGGAGGAGAGGAGGAGAGGAGGAGAGGAGGAGAGGAGCGGAATGTGTGTCATAATCTCGAGAACGGGATCATCGGTTATTGACAGTTGCAAATTCCCGATTGGGAAAGGAAAGAGATCTTGAAGAAAGGAAAAGACAAAAGGAGAATGAATGCTGATCTGAGCACATGATATTCCAATATGGATAGGCTATTAACCTTGTTGAATTTGGTGATTTTGTTAGAAATTCCAAATCTTTTGTGATACAAAGCCAAAAAATTGTCTTGCCGACAGCATCCCCCATCAGCTCTCAACTGTCAATTTATGATTCATTCACAATCGATTCGATTAATTGTTTGCACAAAAACGTGCGAATTCATCTGAGCAATAATTGTCAAAAATATTATCTGAAGAGGTAATTAAGGGGTTAAAAGCAAACATTTGAAAATTGGTTGATCGACAAGAAAGTAGGAAGTAATTCTGAAAAGTCCGATCCCTATTGTTACGATCAGTAGGAATCAGAACCAAGATCGAGTAGGAAAGCAAATGAATCTAGTAAAATGAAAGCAGCTTTGCTTGCACAAATGAAACATTGGTTAAACGTTAAAAAATAGTGTTCACGGGAAAGACAACGAAAATTTAGGGCAGATCAGATGTGAAGATCGGAAAGGAAAAGGGAGAACAACCACCTTCCTCTGCCCTCCCCAAATCGAGCACCGATCCGCTTCTAGATATCCATGAAAGGAGGGAAACCAAAAGAGAGAGCTCATTTTTCTCATCTTCTCCTCTTCAATCTTCGCATTCACTTGGCCTTTCATCGTTTTGTCCTTCTCATGTTTTCCTCAATTGAAAAGAGATCCTAACAAACGATAACTCGGCGAGAACAAGGTCTTCTTCTTTTTCTTTCTTTTTTCTTTCAATGTGTTTACAGAAAATGTGAGCCGATTTGGCACCGTTTCTCCGCAAACTGTCAATTATTGAAACATGATAATTGATAAAATAGCAATGACAAAGGAATAACGAAAATGAAGCTGGAGTTTGAAAAAAAATATGTTCTGATCATAAATGCTCAAATCATAGCTGCTTTTTCTCCGCAAAGTCAATCAATTAATTTTCGATCATTTATTTTCTATCAATTTGTTTCCTTTTTTTGGGTTGGAAACCAATGAGAAATCCCCTAAATCAAAGGGAAATTCAATGGGAAATGACTGGGAGGTCTGCACAATGGGAAATTTCGATGATAGTTGTTTCGAATTCTTTAGATTGATCAGAATCAGATCAGATCAAAAATATTATAGTTTAAAAGTCAAATCAAAACAGTACCGTTGTTGATCATCAATGTATCTCAAAAGTTTTTGATCGAAATTTAAAAAATCAAAAGACTTTGTTGACTCTAAAAGTCAGATCCAGATCTGGCCTTGAAGTCAAAAAGATAGGAAAGTAATAAAAGAATCCTTAAAATAGAAATCAAAAACAGTCTAGTAAATATTGATGAATGTTTTTGAAAGAAATTGATAGTGATCGGTTTGGTGTGAACTTCAATGAAAAGAGAGCAATTTCAAGAGGAAAAAAGAGAAATGAGAAAAAGAAATGGGAAAACGAGAACGGTTTT